GGCCTTATAATGTTTTAAAATTGATGATTGGCTACATGTGTTCCAATCAGTGCAAAGACTTTGATGCTGCGTTTGATGACAATTGGGAGAAGGTATATCCTCTATTAAACACTTATGTCATAATAAAGTGTGATACATTAGCCTCAAGGGGACATATTTGTGAATTGTTTTTAGACCATACACATCATATATTTTAAAATACAAAATAAATTTCAGTGTTTTATTGAAAAACAAAAAATCAGCATTGAGTATATTTTGTTTACAAATCAAAATAAAAACTTTTATTCAGGTTTAAAGATATAAAAAAATCATTTATCAGCCATAATAATGTAAATCTTGATTAAATAATTGAATATTCTTGATTTTACCGGTCTAGTGGAAATATCAAAGTCCATGTTTTCTTCACAATACGACAAAAAATGAATGTATGAATTGTGTTGAGATCCTGCTGAACTTTGTGTACATCAAAAACTAAATTGATCAAGCTAGATATTCTACATGAATTATATAAGACAGTTTTGCTGCAGTGATTTATCCTGTATCACCAAAATATCAACCAAACAACACTGAATTGATGAGTGAGCCCTGCTGCTGCAATAAGTCTCTCATTATCAGGATTAAAACAGTACATTTGTTGTACTTCTCAAACAAAAGGGTCCAGATGACTCTCAAATCCCACTAAGACTTGAGGGACAATCAATGCCTGCATATATCTTTGGATGTAAGTATCATAGAAACTCTTCTCGAAGCCACTTCAAGAAACTTTGAACTGACTACACAATAATTAAATCACAAGTAACTTAAATGATGATTCTGACCTATTTATATGACCCAGCAACACCTGACAGCTTGGGAATGAGTCTGCACAAAATGTAGCTATTAATAATTCGCAGACTTCCTCCTTTACCTAACAAGTTCATGCATGCTGACATGGCAGGTGTGGGTCACCTCCCAGAAAAAGTCTGGATTACCCGTTTTTACCACCGCATTCTTGTCACTCTAAAGATGCTGACAAAAGTCGACATTAAATACACCTTTTTGTGTTCAACTTAGCGAGTTACTTTCTAAATCTGAAGCATTGACTTGTTGTTCTCTAAAGGGCTGCTGTCAATGTGCATGCACTGCCATAAACATGTGAATTGTCCCCCCCTTGGCACTAAAAAGCCTTCTGAAGTGACGGAGTGTCATTGACCCGAATAGAAAACAGGTGTTTACTTCCTTGGAATAATTCTGAGAAAAAGTGGTATCATCTTATAGGGTTTAGTTAATCAATGCCCAGACAGTGGTGCCACTTATCTATAAAGCAAGTGTACTTCGAATGACTGAGATCAGACATCAACTTACCCCTACAATGCCAGAAGGAGGATGAAAAATTGAGAAACACAATGACCAGAGCACAAAAGTAGGACTAGTTATCCAACAGCTAAGGGAGAAATGAGGTTATGATGCCTTACAGGAGGGAAAAACAATGCAGCAGAGACATTATGTATCTGCAAGATGGCCAATAAGTACAGTCAGACATAGTATACTGACCAAAGATCTTGCTGAAGACAGATCAAAGATATGCCCAATACGAGAGTCAAATAGACTGTATGTTCATTTTTAGTTTTTATGTTTTTTTTTTTTTTTTTTTGTTAAAAATAACAAACTAATTTGTTTTATCCATGTTGTCTGCTTTTTCATTTTTTTTCCCTTCACAATATCAAGTTTGGTCTTTGGAACAACTTCCTAAAAATAACCAAATTCGTCCTATATTCATCAATATACTAGAATTTACCAAAAAGAAGGGTAAATCAAATATTAGGATTAATGTCTGCTTAGGGCTTTTGAAATATAGTTGAGCATGTATATTTCCAGTGTAATCTTTGCCCAGAACAATTAAGTTAGTAAAAACTCTTCACCTGCTCTTACTGGCTTCAAACATCAACTCAGAATCACAACTATCACAGAGATTTTCCACAGTCAAGTGAACGCATCACCACTCACTTAAAATTATGCACAATGTCAACAATACACAAGCCAGGTTCAGGCACTGGTCATGTTGTAGTAATGTGTCATTTATTAAGCGCATGACTCATTTAAAACAGACTATTGTTTTCATTTAAAAAAAGCATAATATTGAGGCAGTATTTTTCATTATATTCATGTCTCGTTTTCTCACTTTACATCGCATATTGTACGTGTTTGAAATCTGAATAATATTCATAGCTTTTGTGACCTGGAAATGTCTAATTTCGGGGGAAATTAATATGAATACAAATTACAACAGTTATCTTTTATGTCAAATTCTTCTCCATTTCTTAACAGCATTTTAACAATTTAACTTCTAAGCATACATTAAAGTTTGTTTGACACCTGTCTAATCCTGTTTGATAAAATAATTAACCGTTTCTATTTTTTCTTCATATCAAGACGAATAGTTGACACAAATGCAGTTTTTCTGGTCGTTATAAGACAGCTGCAGTGACAATTCTTGTGTCCCTGTCAAGTGGTGCGCCCACCCTCTCTCCTGCTAGCTGCGGTTAGCATCGTAATGACAGAACAATCGGTGTCTGTGCTAAACGCTCACAGCGGTTCAACCTGAACACTCGAGTCGATGTAACGTTCAAAGGTTCAAACTGCTCAGCGCCTTATCACCGAGCTGACACTCCACCACAACACTCGACACCTTTAGTGCGAATAAACAGCTAGCTACAGCGGCTAGCTTTACGAAACACCACGCATCACATAACACAAAATCTCCTGGGTTTCTTTTTTTACCTTAACGTTGTTTCCCTCCTTGTCGACATGTTTGTTTCTGCTTCAGTCTTATTTTTTTTAACCGCCAACGGTTGTGTCGGAGCCGAGGAGTCCGAGGAGCCGTTACTCGCTCACTGGGGAAGAGAGAGGGGGGAAAGAGGCTGCAGCTTCCTCTCCCACAAACGATGGTGAATTATTCGGTCGAGAGCATACAAACCCAGAGAGAAAACTGAGTGTTATGTGTGAAGACAGTATCAGTATTAGCACGTTATTATCTCCAGTCAGAGCCAATGTGCGAACGACACTTAAAGAAGAGATATAGTTATCTTGCCTTATCGCGGTGCTTTCCCTTCACCTGTCTCACACAGATTAAGTTCTTCTCCACATCTGAACAAGAGACAAGTGCAGATTTCTGAGCAAATGATACATTTGGGTATTTATTATTAATTTAATACTTCCTTGTCCTAAATGCACAACAATGGACCAGCATTAGACAGCTCAACTACGTGCTTCAACTGCCTCTTGTCAAGTTGGACAGCTCCAACTGGGCCTTTGACATCTCACGCAGAGGCGGATCCCAGGGGGGTCTCTGGTGGCCTATTTGCACTGTTGCCAGAGGAATTCTTCACCAGTGCCTTCAAACAGAGCCAGCCCAAACTTCAATAGGGCCCTAAGCAAAATTTGATTTTGGGGCCCTCTATTTCTGCCGGTTATATTGATCATTGATCATTCACACACCTTCACAAATGTCTGATTAACATTCCCTGACATGCAAACATACCTTTATCTTGGCGTATTTTCTCTTCCTCTTTCTTTTCTCTGCTCCAGAAGGATATGTCCTTTTTTGCGACATTGGTTTGCCCCAAAACTACCTGTGCTTTGGATGCTCAGTGCACATTGCACAACAGAAGGCACATAATGGTAGCAGAGCTTTGACGTATCAGCAGTAAGAATCATAGGCGTACATCAGCAGCAGCACTAAAATGTTTTTACTTATTTTTACAATAATGTATATGTGATCACACAGAAAGCGTCACTCATACATGCAAAAAATAAAAATATTTTTTATTGCTCTTGGGGGGGGGGGGCCCTACTGGCCGTGGGGCCCTAAGCAGGTGCTTAGTTCGCTTGTGCCATGGGCTGGCTCTGCCTTCTAATGGGGTCATTTTCTTTTCTTTTTCAAGACAGGAAACCAAATTGACACCCCCTTGTTAAATTATTCCCAACAGGAGTCAAGTTTTTCTTGAAGTTTAGAGTTTACAAGTTGTGGTGGTGATGCAGAAGTGCTAAAAACTATGTTTGGGGGTTGATAAATTGATCTCTTTGTGTCCAGGGAAAGCACCATAGTCTAGAGGGCAAAGTCCAGCACAAGCTTAGTGTATACACGTAATGTACAGTCCACAAAGGTAAAGACAGCCTGCAAGTTGGTCTAGAAGGTGGAATTGAGGTGAACAAGTAGTATACATAGTGTATCAAATCAATCTGTATTATTATAGCCTAGTACATAAATAGCACAATATATAGCACCTGCTTGTTTTTATAAAATAGTGTTCACAGTTAGTTTCCAGTCAACACCAGCTTGTCTGTACGGACAATGTGCCTTTATTTGTGCTCATTGTGAAATCCAAAGCTGACAGACTTCCTGGTTAGGTGCAGAGATATAGCACTGTCATAGATGAGGCTTATGCAGAAGTAACCAGGCTGGTAAAAGCCTCATAAATGACTTCACACCCTTTCTGCTTAGCAAGGACCAAAGATCCCACAGGCTGGTAAATCTCAGAGCAGAACAAATTCTCGAATTGATTTGAAGCAGATGTCTGCTAATCGGCGACAAAGCTGTCAATCATCTGTTGAAATTGGAACATCTACAGAAATCTAAGCTCCTCAGAAAAATTAACACCAAGAACCTGACTTTTACTAAAATACATGTGTTGTTTTCGTTGACGATGATGTTGACGAAAAAAACACCCCTTTTTTTCCACGATGAAGACGTGACGTTGAAGAGCTAAACCTAAGTCTTAGATGACTAAAATGTGATAAGACAAATGTGCGTTTACGTTGACGAGACAAGACTAAACGAAAAGATTAGTGGTGGACGACGGACAGAGTTGCAAAATTCATGAGCATTTCGTCAGTCAAACGCTAAACATATATTCTGCAGTGATGTTTTCCTTGATGATGAAGTTGACGAAAACAACACTGAAATACATGCATTAAAACTCAGTATGAGGTGAACAGAAGTAACAGATCAAACACACCACCAAAGTGCTATAAAATGCTTTATTACAAAATTGTGAACAATGCCTCAGAAAAATGTAGTTCAGGCCTGTTTTGGTTGCATAATTTTGATTTATTTTGAAATGAAACTTTCTTAGATTTGCATAGAGCATAATTTGACTTAAAGTTTAAGTCATGGAGCAGATGTATCTTTCTAGAAGAATCATGTACAACAAGCGTTTTGAACAACTCAACACCATCATACCTTGTACGAATGATACAAAACGTCTAAAAATGATAACTGTATCAATTGCAAATAAAGTTTCTTTCACAAAGGCACATCAGTTGGTATAAGATACTTAAAAAGACACATTCATACAGACGGTCTTCAGACATTTCAAAATATCAAATACAGTTCCCACCAAAAGTGGCCAGTTCCGTTTAGTGTATCAAGACATAAAATGAGGATTTTACCAGATACAGATGACACTGTGCTCTTCCTCGAAACAGGTCGTTCCCTTGACTACCTAGAGAAGTGTGCTATTCATGTATTACAGGAAATGATTGTGCACAACAAAAATACATGAGAAAAAAACAGCAGTCAAGAAGTGCCCCTCTAAAGACGGCTTAGCTTTGTTGGCCTCATACTTATGCGCAAGTATCTCTCGCTTGTAATCTCAAAGCAAAATGTGACACCTAAACCGCGGTTCGAAAGAGTAATCTGCTGTTGTTAGCAGTCGTAACTACTTCACTAATCAGCTTGTGTAATTAAGCTAGCCCTTAAACGTAAAAGTATTGCTGATCGAAGAAAGATACTTTCAGAGATCATGGCACCAAGTCTTTGGCAGAACTCTTAAGAAAACAAAGATTGCTACAATTGCATTACATTATGTAAAATAATGAACAGTGTTTCTCTTTCAATTATAACAATAGTGTAAACAGGCATAATACCGTTGAATATATTTTGCGTGTGCTGAGCGTCGACCTTGTATTGTACTTGTAACAACTCCTCAAGTTCATGTGCTTTAACCAAGCGAAGGTGAACGAACAATGTGATAGTAAAATTAGCAGTACAAAGTTATAAAATAGTCTTAATGTTTGAATCTGGAGGAGGCCAAAATAAGCATTATATTATAGAAATCCAACTTCTAGTCAAAACATATACATATTCCTAGGAATTTTAAAGGTAGAACAAATTTTTTACACACTTTAGAAAAAAAAAGCTTCCCAGTAAGAATCTAAACTTAACTCACACTGACTGTCCCAGCCTTTACATTCTACCAGAACAGCAACTGTTACAGACAGGACGTGGGACTAATAGAGAAGCTCTGCCCTTACAGTATTAGAGTGAGGGGCGCAGATATCATAGCTCTGATAAAATATGTTTCTGTCCATTCAATGTCCTCCTGGACGGCTGGATATGACCAGCATGAGACAAAGCATCAGGAGCCTTTAGCTTACTGGTACCACGGGGTCTTCCTGACCCAGTGGAGGGTGAAACCTGCATCTGTTCGGATCTTAATGGAAGCTGCCTCGGCCTCTCTGACCGTTTCCTTCACAGACTGCATCAGGTTTTGAGCATTGTGGACCAACATCTCAGTCGCCTGTAGAAAAAGAATTAGAGAAGGAGACACAGTGATGAAGAAAAGTGGAACAGAGGGATAAACAGTGATTCTGGTGAATCAAGACGTACAAAAAGACTCAGCTTACCTGCTCTGACTCCTCCTCGCTAATGTTGGTACGACCCAACATGGTGGCCTTGACTGTGGACAGGATTTTGAGCTGAGTGCTGATGGTGGGAATACGCTCACACACCTGGGAGAAGGTCAGAGTGGTCAAAATGTTAAAAATTTCACACCAAAACAGTGAGGTATCTTCTGATTGACACAACCGGACTGACCTGGAGCAGGTTGGTCCTGATACGCTTGTCAGTACACTGTTTTGCCACTTCTTTTGCCAGCCGTGTGACCTCGTCCGAAGCCTTAGCGATGTCCTTGGCGCATTGGATGAGGGCTCTTTTGTTTCCACTGCCTCCACGCACCAGACGTGACATCTCGGCCATGAGCAAGGCCATGCGTTTGGCGGCGCCAATGATGTCGTTACCCTTTAAAGGAAATAAATGGAAATCTATTAGTCTAGATGGAAAAGAGGGTCAATGCACACCCCTGCCTTTTTAATGCCACCTGTTTTTTTTAATCCTTTAAGTGTGTTTTTTTTAGAAAATGCCAGGTACCAAGCTGAATTAATGTCCAAAAGGCTTCATTCTTAACCCTTTACTAGCCCGAACTCAAATCGAAATATGAGTGGGATAACTTTTGATGTAAACAACTTATAGAGACAAAGTAACACATTTCCACATACAATTTTGACACAATTCAATAAAATATTTATTTTTGATATTTGATGACAGCTTGATTCTGTTTTCCTTTATTTATGGCCAAAAAACTGGCCAAAAATGCTCATTTGGCAACTACGTTTCATATCACTACCTACTAATTAAGAGCTCCTGGTGTCGTTAACGCTCTAGAATCCTAGGATACAAGACGAATAGGAGTTTATAAGGGTGTTAAAGGTGTCGGCTTACTTTGCTGGACCATTTGCGGGCTTCATCGTGAAGTTGTCTGGCAGCCACCATCATTGGCTCGTTGACCATATCACCAGCCTTCTGCTCAGGGAACTCCTCGTCCTTCTCCTCTGGGGGAGGAGGCCTTGGTGGAGGAACTTCACCCTCAGGAAGAGGAGGTTTGGGTGGTGCTGCCTCATCATTGAGCTGCAAGGACAAGGTAAAGGTCATTTAAAGCATGAAAGAGGTTGTAGGTGCTTCATAAAGCAATTTTAAGCGTCGAAATGTGTGCTGATCTGTCAACTCACATTAAGCTGATCCAGTTCAGGAGGAGGAGGAGGTGGGAAGTCTGGCTCCTGGGGCTGGAATGCCTCCCTGACCTTTGCTACAGCACCAAGAATCTTATAACCTGAGTCCAAGAAGCCCTTCTGCAGACCTGGTGATCGGAATAAAAGGAAACATGTTCATAAAAAAATCTTCCTTTATGCGTGTTAGGTATAGTTCAAACATTAACTCACTTGGATCCTGAATGTTTCCAGCCACAGCCTTAGCGTCCATCACCATGGGAGAAATTGTCTGGCTCAGCTCATCAGATGCAGCCTTCACCATCTCCCTGAATTTAGGATCCTCTGAGTTCTCCACCTCTCGCTTTGCAACCAGGAGGATGCGATTGGCTCTGCGGGCGATGCTGGTGGCGCCTGCGACCAGCATTTGAGGCTGGTGGTTGGTCATGGCCACACGGCACTTTTCCAGGTCCTTCTTGATGGCCTCCTCTGACGCATCCAGGAGAGATTTGGTATCGATGGCCTCGTCCACCAAACCTAAACATCCATTTTGATGTTAGATTAGGGCGTTACAGAGGGATATACAGAATAATGATTACCAGAGGAGTACAATCAGTGAATTTAAAACATCCCCACCTGTCATTTTCTCCACATTGTCAATCCACTGATTCTTCATAGTTTCAAAATGTTCATATGCAGCTTGGTTGCCAGGATTTCTCAGCAGAATACGAGCCGCAGACACCACCTACAGAAACAAATAACAATCCGTGCCATTAATTGTCAATCCAACAACAACTGCTACAGACTTGGCTCGTGAAGCGAGAAACACTGAAGCTGTGCGAGTGGTGTTGCAGAGTGGAGGGCGCACACAAACAGAAACAGATATAAACACTAAACCGTGACATACTTGTGGTGTTAAGTCTCTCGTTGACTTGACGGCCGCCTGGATTCCTTCCACCGTGCTCTTGTTGGCGGTGCCAACAGCAGCAGCCTTCTCTGCTGTGGCGCCAAGCTTGTTGGCGTGGTTCTCAAAGTTGGCAGCCCTGTCCTCAAAGACCTGCGCATGATCACGTCGCAAACAATTATCCAAAAGGCTTGTTAGCAATAATACAACACCCTGCCAATAAATACAGAACATCGCTGAAGGGGGTCTGTTACAGCGAGGAACAGAGTGACTGCACTGCTGACCTCATCTCTGTTGGGGGCGTCCAGAGGTGCGGTTGCAGCCACTGCCAGTAACTTGATGGGAGTGGTGGTGTCGCTGAAGATGTCAGACACCTCTTGAGTCATCGCCTCCTGCATCTTCCCTTTAAGTTCCTGTAAGGAGGAGGAGGAGGAGGAGACACAAATATCACAGCTTGTAACGACTTCTCACTGAGATAACTCATACAAATGTCAGGATTGGTTCGTCATTATGTATGTTACTGTTATTGACTCCATTTTTATAGATCTAGAACTGCATAAACCCACACACAGAGTTTCTATGACCTTTCAGCTCACTTGGAAGCTTATGATACCCTAAATTACAAGTTAAAATATATCATTAAGATGTCAGCTCTTTATTATTTCTCTAGTTTTTATTATTTGGTTATCTTCAAATGACAACTTATTACAACTTAAGAATTGCATTTTCAATCAGATATAGTCTTAAAATCCCATCTAGATTAGGTGTTATCTTTTTTTTGACTAGATTCTTAATGTGCTTTTAAAGACCTTTTATTGGCATAGTTCTCATTATGCTCATGCTATCAGAATACTTTATGTCTTCCCCACTGCTAACCAGCAGAGGGGGTAGTCTCTCTGGCTCTGTGTGTGGAAGCACTGATCCATCAAAGAAGCTCCGGCTCTGAATGTAAATGAGAGCGTGAGTAATCATACTTTCAAAGCCTCCTGGAGCTGCTGAGCCACAGCACGAGCCTGAGGGGAGTCCCCTTCGCCGCGTGCAGCAAGGTCAGCCAGCTGGGCCATGAGCTGCTCCACCTGCTCGCACTTCCCCAGCATCTCCTGCCTGAACGGGCCGGGCAGAGCGTTGGCCAGCCTGCGGCCCTCTGCCACCAGTCCGCGGATGGCTGCCTGACCTGAACACACAAATAAAAACACATGATTAACACAACATGAAAAACAATATTTGGACAGTGATCTATCTTTAACCCTTCTGGTTATACCTCCAGATGAAGAAACACCAACATTGTGAAAAGAGTCAAACTTGAATGTATTTTGTTAATCCTCCTTTGCTTTGTTTGATGATGTTATTGAAGCTTGCAGTGGTTCTCAACTTTTTTGACTTTGAGGATCACTAGATTGACACTTTGACTGCAACTTTGGTGAGATTTTGACTGAGTTTGAATCCTCTGCTGAGACTTTTAACAGACAGAGAATAAAACCCCATGACAAAAACAGTAAAATATCTCTTTGTTTAAGTTGTGTAGGGCCTATAAACTCCCAGGGAACCAGCTAAAATGGTCCTCTAACCAAGATTTGAGAACAACTGCTCTGATAAACGTCACAGAATTTGGAAAATTGCTTAATATTCATCGTGCCATTTTAAATAGTCTGTAAGATATCAACTTGATTAATGTAAAACATTGAAAAAAGGGGAAATCTTTCCTCTGGGAGACATGACTGGATCCTTTGTCATTGAAAATGACTTCACAAATGTGGTCATTGTTCCGGCACCATTAAATCATAACAGTGAGCTTATTTAGACCCGGGTAAAACTTGGCCACCTCTTGCAAATGACTGCACACCGAGCGTTTGAGAGATCTGGTATTTTTATCTGGCCTCTTCTGAGTTAGTTCATGTTTGTTCTCTGAGGTAAGCATTCCAGCGGCCAGCCTGCTGCTTTGTTGTAAACACGTAAGACGTTGTCCAGGTTTTATGAGGAGCCGAGCCAAAACCAGGAAAAAAAAATACAGTGTCGGGAGATCGTTGTGGAATGTCCCGTACAGTGTGAAGTGACATTTGCACAAAGTGTCTGGTCTGCAGTTTTTAACCACAGGAGCAGTGGAAGGAATGTGAGGAAGTGTGAGGGAGAGATAGAGAGATGTGGATGCTGGGAAGGAGGAGGAGGAAGAGGAGGAGCCAGACTCACCCACACCGCTGTCATCCATTGTTGGATTGTCAATCCAGCGCTGTGCCTGCTCAATCTTCCCCTCCAAATGAACAGCTGCTTTTGCAGGCCTGCTGTTGGCCACAGCTTTGTTGGTCTTGGACTGCAAGTTCTGCAGAGCGGTGGCGATCTGCTTGGCCAAAGCTCTGGCCTCAGGAGTGTCACCTTTACCCCTATGAGGAATTAAAAATAGAATTAAGGATTACGAGCAAATGACTCTGTTGACCTTTCAACAAACAGTCTTTTTATACTGCCAGTATTGTTCAAATCTGGAATAGAAGCCAGGCGAGTTCACTGGAGGAAGTGGTTAAATCTGCATGTTTTACAGTGAAAACCCACAGCCCAGACCACCAGTGCATAGTGGAAAAAGAAGGATTCCACTGGAATTGTTGCATGAAAACTGTGCTCCAACAGGAAGAACAGCCATGTGTGCGTGTTTCGACAAGATTTTACAAGATAACGGTTCAAAGGGAAACCGAGGAGATAAAATACCTCGCTGATCTATGAGCAGAGAAACACCTTCATGCCAAACTTTGAAGATAATTGCCCTTATCTATACATTTATCATTACATTTCTTTCATTTCCTTTCATTTGTATAACCAAACAGACATAGTTTGAGGTAAAAGTGGTGAAAAGGTGATGAATTGAAGCATCTTAAAGACTGCAGAGGAGAATAAATGGAGGTTGTGGAGAGGTAATCGCAGAAACAGCATGAAATGATGCAATCTTTCTTTTCCAGCTTTCTGTCACTTACTGTCTCCTGAGATCAGTCAGCTTGGCAGTCATGGCAGCGATCTCTCCAATAGAGCGCAAGATGTCTTCTCTTTCTTTGGGATCCTCGCACATGTCGGCAATCTTTTTGGCTTCAGCGAGCAGAGCCTTGATGTTCTCCTCTCCCTCTGGGGCGCCATTCGGGTCTGCCAACCAGTTCTGCAAAAAAAAAAAGATATACAGAACTTCATGAAGTGCTTGAATTTAGAAGTTAGGATAAAACAATGTGTCGGGTAAACAGGGTTAATGACCCACCTGTGCAGCATCTATCCTTTTGGCGATGACCTGCTTGGAATTAGTCATGGCCTCCAGCTTGCGTGCGGCATTTTCCACCTTGCCAGTAAGGACGTCAAGCCCCTGGGAAACCTGCTGCGCCTTCTGCATGGCTGCTGGGGACGCGCCCTGACCTCTGGGGTGGACAAGGCGAACATATGGAGACCATAAAGAGCAGCATTGTTGTAGCGTTCCGTTAAAAATCCACACACGCACACTCTTTTTGTCTGTTTACTCAAAAGCTTACGCCCGGTCGTTCTATTTCAGAGCGGTATTTCCTAACTTAATACTCCTATTTCCAGATTAGGCTCACAGCCATCTCTTACTTTTCAGAGGAGGAGCTCAACTAGGGGTTAAAGTAGATTATGGATTAATACTAGACAGCTGTTTTTAATCTAACGTGACTAAGCAACCACCAGATTCAATATCAGAGGAATATGACTTCCACTCTTACACGCTATAATCCCCACTTAAACTCTTACTGCCTTACGCTGCCTACCCTTTCAGAATGGGAGGTTTAACACATGGATTAATAAAGCAATATCTATCTATATAAATACTCAAGGAAGACGAGACAACAAAATCTAGCAAACATCGGACATATATGAGGGATTATCTCGCCATAACGTGGGCAAACACAGGTGAAATTTATGAATGAAAGAGTTAAGTGTACCTTGCTCTCATCTCAGACACCTGATCGGTCATCTGGCCCAAAGTCTTGGCTGTGCCCAGGATGTCTCTGCGCTCCTTCCCAGCGCACAGCTCACCGACTTTCCCAGCTTCATCGAGGATCTGGCGGATGGCCTGCTCACCTGCGTCCCCTAAAAACACAAAAATGAAACGAGACATCAATCCCTTAACTGGATTGAACTCGATAATCAGTCTGACAGTAGTAGTGGTAGTGAAAATGGGTGTTTTTGTTACCTGGTTGAGCGTTTGGATCTCTCAGCCAGTTCTTAGCCTGAGCCATCTTTGAGTCGATAAGCCCCAGAGCCCGCTTCATGGCCTCTGTGTCCTTTGGGTTTGAGAGATGGAATAAATGAATAATTTAGAGGGAATCAATGCGAGTCAAGAAAACTGTACTGTGTTTTACTCCTTATTCACACTGTTCCTGAGCAGGTAACATGGTCAAGAAACACCTCAGGTTTCTTTCATCTTGTTTTAGTCCCGATGAAATCTGGTTTATTGTTTAATTTGTTTCAGAAAAAGCAACACGGCAAAATCAACCTGCAGGATCACCAACGTCAGACAAGCACAATCCTGTTTCAAACAGCATGCTCCTCACTTTATTCTTTCACTTTTAAAAATATGAGTGTGTTGAGTTATAAAAGCCAAACGACCTAATATTGTATTTCAATCAGGGTGGATGGAAATACAACAATCTGTGTAACAGCAGCTGATTTGACAATGAGTCCACTCATTGCCTGAGTTTGTAAAGCAGAGCAGAGTCAGGGTCAGAGAGTATGAGTAAGAGCAATGTCATATAACATGTCACACTTAATCAATAAGGAAAACCATAACCCTCAAAAACTTGTCCGATCTCTCATACAGATCCTCTATTTCAAATTAAAGAGAACAAAAGGCATGTTTGTCTGACTAAGTGGGTGTGGGGAGGCAGAGCTGAATAAGGGAGGGGACAAAAAGGAAGTGCAAAGGTGTGAAGTGACGGTAGCCGAGTTGTGTGGGTGTATTAGTTTACTGTTCAAACTTGCGCAGCTGCTACTTCATCGGAAACCTCCGGTTTGTATGTGTGTGTGTGAAATGTGAGGAGAGAAAAGTAAGACATGGATAGATCTAAGATGTAGGATGGCATGATGACTAGAAAAGCATTTGGATGTAATAAATGAGAAACTATTATCATTAAAAAATATGATGTGGTTTGTGACATTTGGAGGAAAGATTTAGTAAAAAGAGAGGACATATTTATTGTGTCTGGTCTTGAGGACTTGAGGCAAACTCAGCAACATTTGTTGTTATACCAGCCATAAAAAACTACTAAATACATGTCAAGTGCTCTTTATGCTGTCCTGTAGAAAATCAATTTACTGATTCCTGCAAACAGAGGTCTTTGTGATAACACAACAAACAATCAAAATTTAACTTTTAAGCCTGTCAAAGCCAATCAGGGGTTAGATTTCCCAACTTCTGGACTGCATCAAAAATGATCTAGCTGACCTCCATTCAAAAAAACAAGTATTCTTGAAGACAGATTTGACAAATCTTGAATTTTTATGTGTTAGAAATCTGCATTGACTTCTTTATGTCTGCAAACTGAGGAGTTTTTGGGAGTAAATTACAAGAAAACTCGTTTTTCCAGTCTCTACAGCTGAAATAGGTCAAAGTAAAGCTTCTGTATCACTACTTGTTTACTGTGAAACTGAGACCCACCTGAAACAGATGAGGTGGCGCCCCCTCAGGGGATTCAACCAAGAAATACTAGTATTTATTTTCCAGTTATATCTAGAGGGGAACTTCTTTGTTGCATTTTCACAATGGTTTCGAACTGAACTGATCGCACAGTCTTGGCTGGAGGTCGTTTATCCAGAACTGATGACTACACTGGAGTACCAAGAAGGTGTCCATTGCTCTAAGAGGCTTATACCATTTCTTGTAGTTAGATAACGGCCAAGAGGTTCTGGGATTAAGATCAGGAGAACAGATAACTCTCATTATTAGCATCCACATCAATACTGCTGCATGAGTCAGGTCAATCAATACCCAGACAGGTTGAGGACATGCATGTATTCAGGTTTGAATGACACTGGAGGAGGACACTTAAGTGTAGATACAATGACATGTTATGAAGCAAAACAACTTCAAATATAAAACAAAAAAAAACAGTTTAAACCAACATTTCAGCAAATCTACCTGCTTTAATTCTATAATCAACACCATTCCATTATCAGTAGAATATATTCAAATATCTAATTCAATCTATTGTTGTAATCATCAGTCAATGATTCAACCTCACAGCAGCGTCACTAGAAAAGCACACGATGGCACTACAAAGCAGACAGCACACACATCTGTCAGACATGCTGCCGCACAACCAAGGTGCAAGAGAGACACGGCTTACCTTCTACAGGGGGTGAAGGGGGGGAAAGAAACAGTGAAAAAGAAAGGAAGAATGACAGAAATGTAAACACTGAGCGAACAGGACGTACCAACTAATAAAAGAGCAAACAAAGAGAAAAGTGTCATAGGACAGGGATATTTCAAACATGTCAGGACAGGAAAGAGGTGGAAGGACATGCAGTGCAGAATAACAAAATATAGGGAGAAAGTTGAAGTATCGCATCTTTAGGCTCCTGCCAGGAACTTTCACTTGGTTTTTGCGCTCCCCGTGGGGACCACTTTTCTCTGAGTTGATTTCATCCTGTCTTTTCTTCCTATTAAAAATTGCTACTCTGCAATCTTTGTCATTCAAAATACAACAAAAAGTCTATTTCTGTTGTTTTCTCTCACACCTACCCCGCAGCAGCTGTTTCAAGCATTAAAAACATCAGTTCAGATGTGTACAGAAATAGTCAGTCATATGCTTTTGTAGATCACAAATCAAGCGTTCAGTTTCAATTTTAGTCTATTTTCTGTGAGCTGCTAAAAATACAAAAGAGGAACTTCAAGAAGGCGTTTTAAAAATAGCGAAAGCATTTTTAACACCTGTCACCTTTTTAATTGAGATAATTGTGATGACAAAAAAGTGAAATGTTGAGATCTACACAGCAAGATGATTCCTGTCCCATCCTGATAAAGGGAATGTGAGATTATGTGAGAGAAAGGGATAAAGTCATCGGCTGTCAGCGGTGACTTTGATGTTCAAACAAAAACTCGTATAATAATAGAAAGTTATTTATTGTGCGCACCTTGTTGGCCCAGGCGTCCTCGTCCCAGGATGTGAGCTGAAGCACTCTGATGATCTCGTTTATCTCCGCGCTCATCTTCTCAAAAGTGAAGTTACGGTTCTTCAAGGCCTCCTCAACACCCTGACTGCCAGACGTCTTGGTTGTCACAAAGATTTTGATACCTGGGAGAATCATAAAAGCACATTTATGAACAAGCAAGCTCAAAAAAAATCACACTGTGAGTTTTTCCTTTTTATTTTAGGATTATCACCTGAGATGAGGATGGGCAGCAGCTCTTTGACTGTGTTCATGGAATTGACCAACATCACACGGTGCTCCTGGTGGGTCAGCTCCTGCTGGCGCTCATCGATCATCTTTGCCATCTTTGTCATCCCTAGTAGAAGTAGAAAACAAATACATATTCAGTTTAGTTGACTAATTAAGGGCAGACACTTGGAATTAACTTACTGTGATATAAAATACAACACCAGTAGGAACAGTCTGAGTTCAAACAAAGACTGACCTGGTCCCAGGTTCTTTGTGTATGTGATCAGATCCTCCATAGACTCCACCACCTCTGCCACGGTGAGGTACTCCAGGATGCCTTTACACACTCGGATTATTTTGCGGACCTGTACCAATGATCACATAAAAACAATAAAAGCCGACATCAATCACAGTGTTTCAAGAGATTATGTAAACACAGTCCCCATCCCCCCCTGCGCCTTCACATCCTCTCTAATTACACTCTGATAATGCTGCCTAATGACATTCAAGCCTCTTTGTCCCATTTCTCTCCAGCTCTGTGTGGATTGCCAGGGTCACCACTCCACTACACAGAACTGGAGCTGTCCCTGAGCTGAATCGGAAAACATGATGCCACTGCTGACTGATGACTCCTGCTGACTGCTGCAGACAGCGCGGGGACGCCTGATGTCTGCTCCGAGAGAGCTGATGTGCGACTTTCTCTTATTTTCCTCTCCGTCCCTCAGAGGAAAAGAAAGATGGCTCTGCCTGATAGATGATGCCCCTGTCTGCTTTAAGATTGAGGGTGTGTTTGAGTCAGAAATATGGGCAGTCCTGAAGACTTTCATGGTATATCTGTCTACCTCTCTGTCTTCTCTATAAGCATTACAGTACCCAAGGGGGATGCAGGAGTGGATACTCACTGTCCTTAAAGCAGGAGAGGCATGTGACTGCAGCCCTCTGCTGTACTGAAGTGACCATTAAAAACACACTTTAGCCCAGCTTCTGCTCAGTGAAAATCAATGATACAAGATTGAAAACAGTTATAAGCTATTACAGCTACACTGTACCCATTTTTAACCTCTGCTACCTGGTGGTGTTCGGTTTAAGATGGTGTCTCATCTTTCAGGCTCTTATACAAAATGAAGATATGAAGTAAAGGATAAAGATTTTAAAACTATCAATAATCCTCCTCAATAATCAGTCTTTATTGATTCCTCTGTTGAATCTGTACTTGTCTGGGTTGTCTTCGTTTTGCTCTGTGAGGCACTTTGTGTTGCATTTTTATGAGAGAGGCTCCATATAAAATCAGCTGAGTTAAGCTGCAACCTTTATAACATATACAGTTCCCTTGGTGGTGCTGGCAGGTGCTCAAAGTCCTGGCGTGGCGTTTTCTCACGGAGTACTCAGTAGGTCATCAGCTTATTATAAAGTCTGCGTTCATTAGTGTGAAAGAAGACCAGCCCGAAAGAAAGGATGCCATGAAGACAGAGCTTCACTTGTCTAACGTATTATCCATAAACATTAGGCCAGTTCAGGTGTAGAAAAAAAAGAGGAAACACAATCAAAGCGCATGTAAGCGCACACCAGTTTGCACCAATACTTGAGGAGGCAGGGGAATCAATTTTTAATTCTCTTTTAATTTACTTAAATTCTGAAGTTAGGAGCTCAGACACATCCTGGGAGGTGTAGGATATCACCTCATAATTCAACCCCTGAAGCTAGTCATGTACCGATCCTGTCCTGTGTGTATTTACTAGGGCTACGGGATACGATATTGATATCAGTCCAATATCAGCCAAAAAACACATATCGAATTAGAGCTCGGCGGTATGACGGTATATATTATGTGACGGTATAAAAGTGTCTACCAGTAGAAATTTTGCTGTACCATTCATACCGTATATATCTCTCAGCCAGTGTGTAGTTGTCTGCGCTTGCTAAAGCAGAGTGCATCTGTTTGGGAACATTTCCGTATTTTCACCAGCGTGTCATGCGAGGTTTGTTCGCTCATTTGATTGGTCAGGTTTAGGTGCGCTCCCTATAATCACCAGCATGTCCAGCAGACTGCTTCACTGGTGGTAGTCATGGCGGACGCAGAGATTAGTGGCAGTACCGAGCAAACGGAGGCATTACGGTAATCCTTTCTTTTACGGTACAGTTATTACCAGGTAATTAACAGGTAATTACCTAGTAACAACATGAAATTATCTGATAATTACATAATAACTACTAAGACTACTAATAACTACTATTTCTAGGATTTTCTCCGCTTCCTGGAACCACTACTTGCGCAGTAGCATTGTACCAATCGGCGGGTGAGTTGCTGTGATAATACTCGACTTGAACAGCGTATTGCTACACAATCTTCGCACGCCCATAGGCTGTATCAAGTGTCAATCATAGAAAATAAGAACCCCAAATAGCTTTTGAAAATGGAGCTGCACAGAAGAAAAAAAAACTAGACAGTTTTGACTTAGTAGTTATCATGTAATTACCAGATCATTTCATGTTGTTACTAGGTAATTAGCTGTTAATTACCTGGTAATAAGTGAACCGTAAAAGAAAGGGTTACCGAAATTGCTCATACCGTGATATAAGATTTTGCATCTAAAATCTTCGATATTAGCACTCATACAAGCAGTCCATTCCAGACTCCACTCCGGCATCTTTGATATCGAAATCGTATCGGAAGTAAAAACGTTGTATCGGGACACCCCTAGTATTTACTGTGACAAAATCTTCTTTCAGCAAACAGAAATCTGAATGAAAGTTTTTTTTTATTCAGAATTATGAATGACAAGCTGAATAAATCATTACCTCAGCTTCATCAAAGGTCAGTAGCAGGTCAGAGGTCCCGGAGAGGATGCCCCTGGAGCCATCAATGAGGTAATCCCGAGCGGGGACAGAGTAGGGATCAGCTTTCAGCATGGAGGCAGCCTGCACCAGCTTTGTGCATGCATTCTCCACTCTGGGGAAAAGAAGAAAAAAGACTGATTTAAAACCCTCTACTAAAAAAAATCTAAACAAGTCATGCTGTTGATATGAAGCCCTTCAGAAGCCAGATGGACATACTGCGTAAAGACAGCAAGCTGCCTGCAGCAAAAACAGATGGAAGCCTTGGGCTACAGCTAGCCATAACATAGAGTAGCTGCAGTGTAAGCATAACTTTTTTTTCTCATTTCCTCTTTTTTTATGCTGTCCACTAAATTTGAATCAAATACTAAAGTGAAAGCGGATGGTCTTTAAATATCAAATATCATGTTTATACATAACTAGAAAGGCATGATGGTTTTCTGTGCCAGTAAACACCAAAATCAGACGGGCACATACACAATATAAATGAAAGGATATAACTTTGTAACCTGATTACATCTGGCTGTAATAGATTCTGTGTATTCAACTGTACTGCAGACATCACAAAAACTATAAAAGTTAGCTTAAAGATGAAAATCTGAAACTGAAAATCTTGTCTCATGAAAAGCTCGTCTGATCTGTCATCCTTACACATATGTCAGTAACTTCCTTCCTGTGTGACAAGTGTTTTTCTGTTTTTAGAATCAGCATAAACATGTTCATACAAAGCTGCAGCACAGACTCCAAGAGACGGCCAGTAGGATTAAGCTTGGAGAGGTTCTGAAACTTGGAAGCTGTAGTTCTCTTTCATAGGTTTATGACGGTCACGGGTTTCCAGAAGAACGCATCCTGGAGGATGGTTCAGACTTGAGCACTTCTGAAATCGTTCTAACAGCTGAAGGGGGACAGAGTCATGTGTTGTACCGATTGTGAAGCCTTATGAGGAAAGTTTCAGATTGTTCACACAGGATGCGAGTTTAACCACAGGAGGCAGTGCTCCGCCCCTGGCTGGCTCTGGCCCAATTTAACCCCTCCATCCAGAGACATGTACTAAAACATAGACTGATAGTTTCAGATCTGGGCTGGGTGTACTCAGTGAACTCCAGAGCAGCAAAAAAAAACCACAGGCTCAGTCCTTTGATTCAGCGTCAGACATGCCACCTTCATTGTATCACAACAGCCATATTGCACATAGAAACAGGCAACCAGCCAATCACCGACACATGTTCTAGCAAAAGGGGTGAAGTATCTATATGTTGCCATGGTAACAGGGGGTCTTTTTTTGCTCTTTTGCACGTTTTTAGAGGCCAAACAAGAGGAGTTCTGTTCCCATTTGTCCAAGAAGGCAAGTCTCCTGCAGGATAAAGGCTAATGTATGTGCATGACATCAAGGCCTGTGTGTGAGTGTGAGTGTGTGTGTCTGTGTGTGTGTGTTTGTTTGCAGAGCCAGCCAGGAGTGTCCTTCAGCATGCTAGCGAGAAACAGCCATGCATTAACCGGACCCCGACAGACCCTATTTTTAGTGGAGGAGACGCATTCCAGCTCATGTGCTGATGGATGACGACAGGGTGACGATGTGACTTCCAGGCGCCAAATGTGTTGAGCCTGACGACCTGTGCCTGCCAATGTGTTTCATCCCTGACCTTGTGGGTGGGGTGGGGTGAGGTGGGCTCCTGGGCCCCGCCTCTTCCTGCCTTGATTACAATCTCAGGTAATAATGATGGATGAGACTTTTTATCAGGGCAGATGGCAGCTGAGCACTGGTTACTGATTTAGCTTTCACAGTGAGCCAGGAACAGATTACATACATATGTTGATCTACTTCTCTACAGCAGTATGTGAACTTTTTGGTGTTTTATGAACTGACATAAACCAAAAGCAGCAGCAGCAGCTAGAGGCTCTGATGTATGAGGGCATGTATGAGTTTGTGGCCCTGCTCCTTTAGAGTAAAGGAGCTCCTCTGTGTGCGATGAAGTATTTATGTTACACCGGGGCAAGACTCTGAGGCACTTAACATGCCATGTCTGACCTTTGCTTGGGCACAACCAGCCATTACTGCAACAGATAAAGAGAGAAAGAGAGCCCGAGAGGAGGCCAGTGGGTTCCACATACTGAAAAGAGAGAACTGTTTCATCTTAATACACTGGAGAGGTTGACACTGTAAGAAATTAAGTTCTCGAAACAAGAGATCTCTGTGTGTGCTTACTTGATAAAAGCAGGTGGCATGTCCCTTTTCATGATCTGGTCCTCTGTGGTTTGAACAGTCTCCTTTCCCACCTAGAAAAGAAAAAACAGAAAAAAACATGACTTATTGATTAAAAAATATATATATTTAAGTTACTAATGAGGTAAAATCAATCTATATAAAATGGTTGATCTGCTGTTAATCCTAATTCTCAAGGCCCTTTCACACCGGGGCTGACGCAAATATAAAACGTGAAATATTCAGAGGTGAATTTTGACACGGCTGACTATACACATCAAGCCCGATGCGATTTTGCGACTTTCCTGGGGGGAACTGATGCATCCCGGGGAAGACTTTTCCCAGGGAAAGTCCCGCCTCCTTCGCCTCTGATTGGCTAGAAAAGCTGGAAATGTCATCACCAATCAAGCCAAACGGTCAGCACTAAAAGCCAATCAGAGGCGATAAGATAACTACATGTAACTATGGTAACAACCATTAGCCTACATTAGCATAGATGAAAGTTAAAACAAAGGCAAACTGTTAAAGCACACAAAACATCGTCATATGAGAAATTCGACGCTATGACTCTCCTTAACTTGTCGCTCAGGTCGTTATGTTTGTAATGTTTGTGTCTTTTATCATAAAGCACTGTGTTCTCCAACACATTCTCCGACAATCAGCCGGTCGGCCATGTTGGATATACCGTCCCAACAACACGCAATCTGATTGGTCAGAAGTGGACACACAGTATGCGAAACTTAGAAAAATCAAACATGATCCGAAAAAATAAATGCCGTAATACTGCAGGACAGGAAAACGTCGCTGATGTGAACGCTTGTATTGACAGGATACGGGTTCGAAAAAAAAGTACTGACGTCCAAAATAATCGCCAGCAGTGATTCACCAATAACACATCGTCACCTATAACACATCAGCACTGATCCCATTGTGTAGCAGGTGCTTATTCTGACCTATCCACTAACTTTCAAACGGGCTTCACCAAGTTGTTATTCGTTCCTTTTGTTTAATCTCTTTCAGGGTCACAGGGGGTCAGAGCCTGTCCCAGCATGCACCGAGAAACAGGTCAAAGACAGCCTGTGCAGGTCACTGGTCCACCTCAGTGTGAATACAGATAAGCCTAATGTAAAACCATGGCGAGACAGCTATTTAGAGGCATAAGAGGACAGGAGAAAGAAAGTGAGGTGAGATACCAGTGTGGACATGATGAGAGCATGACAGACGGGACAGAAATGATAGGAATGAGGGCCAAGGTTCATGAAGCTGATACTGGTATCTATGTTAGAGGGAAATCTCTAGATATGCTGGGCAACATGAAGCTAATTTTTGCAGTTTTAGACCTTTATTTGATACAATAACTTAAGAAAGAACGACAGGATATGTGAGGAGTTAGAGTGAGGGGTGACATGCACCAAATCCACCAGTGCAAAAAAAGCTATAGCTTCTGTATGAGGCATCTGCTCTGCCAACTCTACCAAACTGACCCCACAAGTAGGGCTGGGCGGTATGGCCTTGAATCAATATCACGATATATTGAGTAGTTCACCTCAATAACGATAAATGAACGATAACTACTCCTTAAAGTGCTCACTCCCTGAATAAGAAACAAACAATTTTCCTTAACACACTGAAAGCAGTTAGATTACACTCAAAATGTTCCTGATCAATACCCTAAAATGTGCCAATATATAGATCTGACAGAAAACATAGGTTGATAATTTGGGCTCTCTGACATATCAGTTTGGCTTTATGTATACTTTTGCATTTAGTAGGACATTGTGTTGCATAAAAATTCCAGTAAAAATACGTACTATTGTCAGTAATGAACAATTATGTAAATTTTCCTTGGTCAAAGTTTGTACTTCACCTCTTTTTTTAGTTATCTTTTGTGTCTTCACATCTTTATAAATAGAGGATTGGACAGGAGATAGAGTGGGGAGTGACATGCAAAGAAGGGGCTCCAAGTGTGAGCTGAACCCTGGCCTGAGGATTAAAGCCTATTTGCATGGGATGTGTGCCTCAAGCACTCGGCCAAACTGGCACTCTCACTTGTCCTTTTTTTTCATCTATTTTTCCACAGACCTTTCTGAACAGAGCTCCTCAATGGCTGCAGAAGTCTTTGGATTTTTCTACAGTCCTGAATCTCAGTGCAGTACCCACAACTTTCATTTATTCTTCTTTTGTTAGTCAAGAATAATTTTTTTACAATTAAACGAGTATTTGAAAATCATGACTAATCCCTAGCAGGTAAGGCTTGTGGCCGTTTCTCATGCCAGCCCCTCCTCACTCTCACTCGGATACAAAGTACACACCGTTCAAAGTCACAGCGTCACACCCACAGCTGAATATAAACACCCTTTATCAAGGTGGAGTGATCAGGTAAAGCTGCACGCTTTTGGACTCCCTTTGCTCCCTCAAAAACAGGAACTTCACGTAACCATGGTTACTTGTCAAACAGAGGATAAGTAGTTTACGTAAACTCACAAAAATCCCTTCAAAGCATGAGAAACTCCCCATCTCCTTTGGTGGCAATTCTTTTTTTTCCAATTTGATGTTTGTAACTTACTTATCTTTTAACTTGCTTATTTAGAAATCAAAGGAAATGCAGGTTTCACAACTAGAAAGAAGTTGATTAAATCTTGAATATATTGTTGACTTTGACATTTCTACATCTGTGCGACTGTCATTTTTTATCTTGATAAAAGCCACTTCTGCTTGTGTTCAGGTTGAGAAAAATGTAGCGGTCGAGTTATCTCAACAGGAAGTTTATTTTTTCTGCTTGATTGCGCCATGATAGTTTCACTTTAAATGAAGCTCAGATCTTCACAGGTCTCCTCATGCTTCTGAGTCAGAGCATATTTTCAATCACTTTAACAGCTAAAGTGTCATTCATAGTTCAGTCATGGAGCTTTTTCAGAAAAATTAGATTTCTTTAGCATAAAGATTTGGTTGCGGCGACTTCACAGTTCTAATGGTGTCCTTATGCTGTTTATAATTAGAGTGACATGACAGAGAAACTATAGAACTGTTGAGTTCACCATCTGCTCACTATATGGCCTTACAAAGAAGTAATTAAGTTTCAACTTGGCACAGCTGCAAATTAGGGATTGTATCATATTTCAGAGGTGGTAAAGGTGGCACTTGGCGTTGTAAACAGTCTCCAGAGCGCTCGACCTCTACCCTGATGACTAGTCCATCAGTCATGAAGATTTTGCATTGGTCAACACAAAGTTTTGAAGGAGTTGTTCTGATTCATTACAACTCGAAATTACATCTACTCCCAAGCTTTTGTGAAACTCGAGCTTACATTTCATACATGAGCAGCATGTCGAATGAGTCGGTAGAAACTCTGCGAGCACAACTTCCCCTCCCTTTGGGAGTTTTGTCTTTAATCATGCAAGATTTCCAGACTGACGTCCCGTTACTCATCCTGCCAAACGTTATATCAACGAGGCAGCTGCTGGGGGGACGCCAGGCTTCAGCATAGCTATAATGTGCATAGCAGCTGAACGCCTCCTCTGCCTCAAATGCCAAAATGACTCACCTCCCCCTTCATGACCTCAGCTCTGTAGGGGGACTCGACTCACCCACATCGCGCTGCCATGGGTGAGGGATCACGTGCGTTCATACAGGGACACGGATCGTGCTGACTGGTGTAAATCAGCTGACATTGGACAATAGGGAAACATTTCACCTTTTACATTTGACATTATTTCAATAGTGAACATCAACTACATGATTAAGATTCTCACATAAATCACTGAACCTTACAGTAACAGCTTGAGTTCATGGTTTGATCGATAAATAATTAAGCAGCCATATTGGAAGTATTCAAAGAGTTAAGTTTCTGCTTTTATTCTGAAAATTTTGGGAAGTGATTTTGAGTCAGTGGTGGGCATGACCAGAGAGCTCGTCACTGTTTCAGACTACAGGCAGTAAGCAGAGTCATTCCAGGTGGTTGACGTGGAGGTTGTAATGGAGCAGAGCAGACATACATCTCCTCGCTCACTTTCCCCACATGACCAGAGAGATTCGACTGAGTAACCGAGGGCTCATAAATCAGGGGCCAGAGGTTGTGCCAAACTAAAAACCGGGGCTTAACAGAGGCGGTCCATCTCGGAGCAAAGTGGTAATGCCACCCTGACGCTTGGTCCAGTGAGCGGTCCTGAACAAAAGCCAACAACAGCTAAAGCCGTTCTGGCTCGTTCAGCTAAAGGGCAGAGGGGGTAAAGACTGGGGATATAGGGCACTGAAAGGGTAGTAAACATAACTGAGGGGGCAGGAAGTAACACAAAGACCACACACTCTTACAAGAGTACAGAATTACTCTCAGCTATACACCGCTCTCTTTTCCCGGAAGGTCAACAAACAAAGTGCCAAAGTCTTTTAGCGACTTCCAGTTTTAGCTGGATTTGTTTTGGATTGCAAAACACTTCGTGGTGAGACCCAAAATTGTTCATTCAATCGAGTGTTTTTGAAACTGTCGGCTATTTCACACTGTGTAAATCCACCTTATATTTCTTTACATGCAGATGACAAAACAATTTAATCTCCGAATCTACTTGTTCAACTCAACATTTGTTCTTATAAGTTTAACCCATTGTGAATATTTGGCCTCCCCCACACAAGGGCTTAATTAAATTTACATATTCTTATACTATTTTCAAAGCCGAGGTTTTCACGCCATTTAAATCTTGAAATGACACCTCATCTAAAAATCATCTTTTATTGAAAAACTTGTGTGAAAAACTTGTATGCCCTCAGAACCAAACCGTTAATACAAAACTGAGATTTACACAAGATCAAGTCAAGTTCAGACATGATCCAAACCGACAAATGCAAGAAGACAGACTACACCATAGGCCAACAATGTGGGACCAAAAGCCAATTGCATACTGTATTTAACGAGTTCTGAGTCATGTTTTCCCCACAGTGTCATGCAGAAATGTGTGTAAAAACCAAACAGGCTTGAGGTTCTCTTGCTTTCGACAGATCCTCACGGTCTTCCTGTCTGTCCTCCCTGCAGAGCCTCTTCCTGCTGTCTGAAGTTCAAAAACAGTCTCCAGTTGAACAGGGATCCAAACAATTTGCTGCAAAAATAGAACTGTGACCCAACTGTTGTTGTCAAGCAGTTCATAACGCCTCGCCTTCTTTGCTGTGCTGAGACTCTGTCCAAAAGTTTAGACATCCCACTCTTCTGGTACCAACAATGACCCAGCTTGACATTAGGGCTGCAAGATCTTATATTAGAGTTTATTGAAAGTTTGCATTTCTCCATCTCTGTATCTTTATCATTTTGGACTTTAAGATATTTAATTTTTAATTCCACATAATCTGGTTAATAGGATGCACACCAACCATTTTTGTCATTTTTGTATCTTAACGATTGACTACAATAGACGTGGGGACTTACCTCACAACTTTAAACCTCAACATTGAGCTTAATTACTGTTTTGGAAGCTAGCAGGGTTGCAAACACCAGATTGCAAAAACAGGCTGCATTAGACAGAGTCGTTCAGAGACTACTGAGAGCTCCAAAGTATTGCAGAAGACTACATATTGGCGATTAAAGGATAAAAACATTACGTCATTATTGCCACAAGTTGTTACTACAGCAGAGAGAAACACAGAGGCATAAGTTGATATTAACCGACTACAGTGAGGTTATATAATGAGAATGACATCAATTATTGTATCTCAGACCTGGGAATAGTACTGAAAAGGCATAGGCTGTATCTATGTAGGAAAATCTCAACTGCAGGAGATGTTGATGCTCCTACTTATGTGTATCATGTCCACCCCTACTTAAAAGTATATCACTTATAAGTGAATTATTATAGCCTCGCACACGCTAAATTTTGCAGTAATAGGTCTTGTCTTGGGTAGGAGTAGGGTTGGCTATAAATAAACAAAATCCTGAGGCTAGAGCTCCAATTTTGAATCTTGCAGAAATAGTTTAAAAGCTATCCTGAGACTGAATATGGTATGGCAGATCTCAAGTTTATCTATTTTCTTTTATTCCATGTGATGGGTTTTCTTTTCAAAGAGACAATCAGTTTCAGGGGGGCAGATGACGCTGAGTGTCAAGAGTGAACTCATTCTTTATCAGTCAAACCACAACACAAATAACCACTTCCTTTTATTCATTCTGGTAAAACCACCTCTAGGAGGACCAGTTTTCACTCACACCTTCTTTTCGAAACCTTTTACTGATTCAGTTTCATCTTCTTTCAAGCTTTCACACAGAGTACTACTGGTTGACTTGTCTCATTCACCATTTGTGGCTGGAGTGGAAACACTGACACTCCTTTTTTCGTACAAGAGTGCTGTGTGGAAACCCTGTGTTGTGAAGTAGCTTGATAAAGTGGCTGCTCCTTTAGAACAGGCCGGGCTTTGTTGACAGCGGCCCATCGCTCTGCTGGGAGAAGAAAGGCCACACTGACAGGCTCAAAGCTGCCGAGACACTGGCTGCCTTTTACATGTTGAGCACTTTTAGCACAATGCTGCGTTGGTAATGGTGACCACCAGGATGTGTGATGGTGAAATTCTGGCAAGAGCTCCCACTGCTGCCCTTAGCAATGTACTATTCTTCACAGAGGACTAAAACACTGATACGCACTATTAGTGACTTTCTACTGCAATATGATGAGACATGCTCACATGAACTGATGGCACAGCACTCCATTAGCTCATCTTGATCAATACTCCCATACCCAGCAACAGCAGCATCTTCAGATATCAAATGACACTTTGCTGATAATGACTCAAGGGTACAGCAGAAAGGTTGCACCAAAGGTCGGCACCTTTACAATATATCTGTCAAGTGGTGGCCAACATGCTTTATTCATTTTGCTCAGGATGTAGCTCTACATGGGATGTCCAAGGCGATGAGAGACACAAATCAAACATCCCACTTTGTCCTGGCAAAACAGTCCCTTCAGTCAGAGAATACATCACAACTATCTATCTCGTGTTACAAGAGCTTAGCAGCTCTTGTAGTGTTACCGGGGAGTGGCACTCGTCAGAGGAATCCTTCTCCTGAAAACAGAAGTGAGTCAATACAACGAGCGTCACAGATGAGTTGACATTTCCCACCAGAAAAAAATGGATGTTAGAAGAGCTGAGATGACAAGAGATTACTTTTAATGGATCTGCTGAGGACCGGAGAGAAAGGAGAAACCCAACACCCAGTCACCCATTGGGGTGATTTAACATCCCATAAACACAGGGATTTAAATCCTGGGGTGTGCAGCACTATCAACTAGCATTTACGGAGAAAAAAAACAGTGTAATCATAAATTAAGTTCAGAGTGCATACATACAACACGTGGATGAACTTTCCTCTTGATTCTGTCAGAGGGGTTCACTGAGACCTCTCAACCTTTCAGCAAAATGGTCTATTGTTTCAATTTTCAAGACAAAGACAAGAAACAGGAAAACGCTTAATAGCAACATGTGGCACTGCTGCTAGCAACAATGAATGAAATTTCAACTGTGTATTTGGCTATCCACATCATGAAAATGATCGCTGAACGACAAAAATTTGGGAGTAAGTGGGGGGCTGCCATATTTATAATGTAGTATTGTTACAGCGGTACAAACCATCTTGGATCCTGGGTGGAGAGAGGAGAGCATGGTCAGGAACTAGAAAGTGTGTTAGTAAAGCAGAGGGACAGAGTGAGCATCATGGCAAAATGCTGTGGCAATGAGACTTAACAAGCTAATGACTTTTAAGCTAAATAGTGAGTGACATCAGCCTGTTTCATGATCAAATAAAAGCCTCAGTCTTGATGTTGTGAAAATGGAAGCTTGAAAAAGGTGACTGGTCTCTTAAAACTACAAAAAATGTGATTTCTTTGGTTACCACTGTGTTCATTTCAATCATTTCAGCCTGTTACGTTGGTAGAAGCAGTCACCCTATTGCCTTGTAGTCTTTGTAACAGTCAGCAGAGCAGTCAGAAACATCTCATTACAGAGGGAGAGGGGTTTCCCTTCCCCAGCTCACACTGCTGTTCCTGAGCGGGGCCGACAGCTGCCGGGTCTTCCTGACTTGGCTTCCTGTGTTTCCTCATCGGGTCAACACTCTGCTGCTCCCTCCTATTCTCACTGATGACAAAATACACTCCAGAGGCGCTGTATGCATCCATACCATAAATACATATTTTTGAATGTCAGTCTCTGTGGTTCGGATGTTCATGCAAAGACGTCAGAAACAAACAGCAAGCTGCATGAAATGATTTCCCTCGACAAATGACAGGAAGCTGGAGTAGCAGGCAACAGGAGTTTTCTTTTGTCTGCCTTTAAGCACTTCAGTTAATGAACTCATTTGCTTTCCATTTGTAAAGGATTAAAGCAGTGACTGATCGAGTATTTTCACACTTCTCAAGGGCTACAGTTGAGCTTTACTTCCTTGCAGTGTTGGATTCAACTCCAGAAAATAGTGGAAGTAGCTTTGTTTTCTTGTACATCATGATCAACTGTAAAGTACAGTAGATGAACGTTCCACACGCCGCAAGATCAACACACGTCATGAGATCCTTGTAAGGAGTGCAAACAGGAAGTCTAACACAGCTTTATCTCCTCCAGGACCCCCACATCCCTGGCATTCTTCTCTTTATCCCACGCCTGTAAAAAGGAGCTATAAAAATAATCAGGTACAACAGGACCCTGTTCAGTGAACTCAAAAGAATGCTGACACAAAGAAGCATGTTGTTCTTCCACTCAATCCAATAGGACAACATTTAGACTTGGGTCCACTCACAAAACACTATCACTGGTGCGAAACTTGTCTATAAAAGCAATAGAAAGTCTAAATAGGTCTGATCTAATGGTTTAATTACAATGCAAACACTCTTTAGCAGGAGATATTGAACTTGTGAGCCCTGCTATTAAGTCATTTTTCCCTTTAGTTTACATTGGCATTGCACAAGACATTTGTGCAGCAACACAGGCACACTTATTGCATAAACAGCTTATGCAAGGATGGTAAAGACTTACTGGTTGCACAGATATTTAAAACATGGTCAATCATACCAGTCCAAAAACAACATCTACCCACAAGATCAGAAAGCTGCATCATGCTGGTGAAGACATTCACACCAACTTCAAGTGAGGTGAAACCATCAAAGAGGTGTTAAAGCTTTTTCTCAGGGGAGTCTTGATAAGTAGTAATCATGCATGATGTTTTGGCAAAAACAAACTCTGTGCATTAAGAGGGGTCAACTTAACCCCCCTCCAAGCAGAGATGCATTCCTCTCGCGGGGAATTCTTCACATTCCTCAAATGCATCTCTAATTGAGGTCCAGCTCATTGTCTCAATCAGAGAACACGAAGTCAAAGATGCTGAGCAGCAGCGAGGGGTCTCAGTTGGACCAGATATATTTGACTTGCAGTAGCTTGGAAAGAAAAAAAAAAAAAAACAATTGAAAAAATTCTGGGTCAGTTTTACTTTTATCTCCATGCATCTGGAATAACACGATTAGACCCTTTCAGATTAATAATTCAAAAGTCTGCACATTTTACACGGCGAGTGCACAAGATCTCCCCAGACATCCTAAGCCCTCATCCCCCTTTCCTTCTTCTTCTTGTAATGGAAAATAACCTGATGCAGCCTTCAGAATATATGAACATTTCCCATTTTAACCCCAACTTGATTAACTGTGTTTGAGCATCTGGCTCTGAACAGAGATCATGAAGGAGGACATCTGTGCAGCATGTGGTTTTGTGGAAAATACAGACAATGAGGAACACCGAGTAGATCTTCCTTGACAAGCACTGCTTTGTAAAAGTGTAGTGTAATGACAAAAGACCAGTTCATCTCTTTTTTTACAAGTAGGAGCCTTCCTCTTTAATCTACTCTTTCATAAGATTTTCCACTCTGTTAAGAAAAAAAACTCCATTCAGCTGAGTCACTTTAAACAGGTGCAAGATAGTAAAACAAACTAATCTTGCATTGGCACAAGAGCAACACCTGGAAAGTTAAAAAGGGGAGGAAATTCCTGAGAATATTAAACTGTAGTACTAATTATAAGATCCACGCTGTGTGTTTATTTACTCATTTAGGTTTTCAATGTCTCTGACTAACATCAGACATCTGGAACTGAGACCAGAAGAACATCTGATCCTTAACTTCAGTGAAATCATAACACTATCCATGTTGTAATGTTGCTACAGCAACTGGAAATAACTACAGGCCTATCCTTTCATTCAGACCACTGCTGGAAAAATCTGATCACAATAAAAGCGTCCAAAGAGCCTGGATCATTTCACCCCCAGCTGGTTGAGGTTACACGAGTTATTTTGTAAGTCGGGGAATGCTGACAGGCTGAGCAGTCATGTGTAATTAATGAACAGTAAAATGTGGCGTAATGAGGACTTTTAAGGCGGTTTTTGATTTTCTAGCTGAAGAACTTTGAATCAAACTTCTTTTCTCTCCAGTAAGTTATACTTGATTCGTTGGCTGATATATGACTTTCTTTATATTCTGCAACTTCTGGCTTTTATGTTGAGTTTATATACTGTATAAAAAAAACAGAAGTGGCTTGTTTGAGTCAAGAGTCTCCCTGTTAAATTTGTGTCCATGCACACTCTTATTTTAGCCTTTCTCTACGTTTTTCAGCGGCTTTATGTTCCCTCTTTATTTTCACCAGCTAGTTACCACCACAGGGCAGGAAACACACAGTAAGAATGTTTCTCTTTTATTGATTTTATTTTTATTTTTTGCTGATATAGGAAAAATTAAAAGAAACCACAAACCTTAAAAAAAATTCCCAAATAGCTCTTAAACAGCGACAAGGGCCTTTGCCCACTCACAACATTTTTTTTTTTTGTGCTGACAATGGCAGTTTCCAACTGAAAAGCAATGCACTCAAAGTCTCAGTATCTTAAGTGCAAAAACATCTTCAGCATCAACAGCACTCACATTTTCAGGTTGGAAATAGCTGATGGGGTGTTAATGCAAACAGGCCCTAAAGAGGCAGAGCTGGCTTTCTATTCTTTGTCAACCCATCATTACAATAAAAATTATGATTCATTGATATCTCAAAATAATATTCACAGGGAAAAATAGATTAAAGGGCTTTTGCAATGTAAAAATAAAGTTTTCATCTGAAAACAAAAAACTATTTGATGAAGGCGTCTGGAACTCCTCCAGACTGAAAAATAAACGGGTAAAATTTCCTTAGCACAAAACCACCATAACATTCCCTTTTATGGGCAATTTTTTAGTGAAACTTTAAAGATCATGCTAAATGTTAACATGCAGATCTATTTGAGTTTGTCAGTAACATATTTCAAAACCAAAATTCTTTCTGTATGAGAAATGAAGTTTGTTTTGAAAAAGAAACGCAACCACATTGATTTATGACAGTATTTATTGACCGTCATCTGGTATCCGCAGTTTGATTTAGAAGGGAAGGCCTTACTCACAGCTCATAACCACCATCAAACATAAAACGTCACTTTAAAGCCTCTCTATAATGCTCCCTAGAGGAAGGAAGTTCTGCGCATGTTGACATGTAAGTGGGAACACAATAAAGCGCAGAGCTGTAGTTTTGGAGAGGACATACAATGAAGTCAGCTAACTCAAACTGCCCTGGATCATAAACTGACTGAATTAACTGTGTCTCATAATGGCAGTCAACCTTTCTAACCCCATCTTTACTGACAGAAGACACCCGAGCAATTGTCCAAATTTATCTCCCAACAACTGTCAGGGGTGCTGTGCTAGAGAGAATGACACACAGGAACCAAGTCTGCCTTAATTTAGTCTCTATCCCTTCCTCCTCCGTTTACATCCCACTATATCTGACAGCCGCCTCACATCCTCTTCTTCCCTCTCGAAGAAACTTTCCATGTACTGGTTTGTGTTCAGGCAAAATTTTAAGGAAACAACATTGTCATTTCCCTACTTTTTTTTTGCTATGATAGTTGCTTAGAGGAACATCAATGTGGTTAAGTCCTTTTTGGGTCTAAATATAAATGAAACCACAGCTGCAGCCAGTCATCAGGGTGCGTGCAATGTAATGTTTCCCTAAGAACAGTTTGGAAATGCATAATTAATAGCCCCAGAGAGACACGGTAATTGCACCATGTGGACAGAAATGAGGGGCACTTACTAGGTATGAAAATGTTCAAGTACTTCCCAAAATGCGGCAAAAGTGAGTCAGAATTATAGACGTAAGTTTTATTTTAAGGCATGTCTGCTTGATTGTTAGTTGTCAGTTTATCTTAAACACGTGTAAACAGTTTAGGGCAAATATTTGGGTCTGACAAATAAGTGAGTAGCTTTAATTCATTGTCATGTTTATGTCATGTTCCTTCAGACTCTGTGGCCAATCAGATTCTCAGAATCTGACACTTCTCTAGAAAAATGACATCTTAAGAATAACAGAGACTCACCTCATTCAAAGAAATAGGCGACTCAAAGGCTATTTATGGCCAATGAGGTAATGTTTAAGCTTGGTGGTTAATAAAGTGAATATGATGGGTCAGAGAAGGAAGCATTCAAAAACTGTGGTGTATAATTTGCAGCCATGGCAGAGGTTAAATGGTGTTGCATTGTCCCATCTACTTGTAATTATCCAATTATCGGATCGGTGCATCCTTACTAGGGCCCGACTAATTTATTGGCTAGCCGATTAAATTGGCCAATTTTAGCCCATTTGAGACTAACCGGTAATCGGCCAAACCTCGCCGATTGTCGACGATATTTTCAGGAATAAAATGCGTAGAAACAAGTTTCAGTTCAACCCAAGCCGAGTTAACGGTGAAGCACCATGTAATATGCGAGCTAAAGTTAGAGTTAGCCATTTGCTATTAGCCTTGCTACACTGTTAGCCACACCAGTAACGGTAGAATAAACAACAGTACACATTACGCGATCGAGCTACTTCTCTTACTGAGGCAGTTGCATGTCTCCAGATGAGATTGGACCAGAAATGAGTAACGTGAGTTAAGACGCGAAGGCATACTTGCTGTTCTTTCACCTTTTTTCTTTTTGTTGTTGTTTTTACAGATGTCAAAAGAAAGCAAGCGTAGCAAGGTGTGGGACCACTTTACCTTGAGCAACAGAGTTGGAAGTTAATTTAACTGTTTGCACTTTACACAAAATACCTCTTTCTTTTTCAGTTGTTTTAGCAATAAAAGGATTTGAAATGAGTTTTCTGCCTTTAATTCTTTGAAGACGTGTTTGAAAGGCTCAAAAGCAGCCATTTGTTTAAAAAAAAAGTAAATATGTAGATATATTACTTAAATTAACAACATTTTAAAACTTTAATAAAAAAATTAAAAATCGGCCGATTAATTGGTAAGTGGATTTTTCCCCTCCCTAATAATCGGTATCGGCCGATCAACGCCTATGATTTTGCATTTATTTCCCCAGCTATTAAGCTCTACAGTAATCATTCAGGCTTAGTTACCTTAAGTTCCTGAAATTAATCATGCTGTTTTACACTCTCTCTCATTCTCAGAGATATAAAATGACAATAAAAGTGAGCTGTTTTTGTTAATGTGCGACAGATAAATGAATGAGTGAACTATGGGCTGGTCCAGTGCCTGGCTGTAACACACCGCAGCAATGCCTACGTCAGGATATGGCAGTCGGCACCAGAGGAGGCAGGGCATATTTTCAAGGGGAAAAGGGCGTCTCTGCTTCTTGCCCCAGTCAAACAACTTCAAGAAACTTAAACTGCATGCATTAATGTCCTTGAGTTAAAGTCAGACCTGCTAAAGGTGTATAGTGGTGAGTGTGAATCAAAGTACAAGTATTTGGGAGCGAACGGTGTGGGACAAAGAGCGACAGGTATAGCTGCTAAAGCACCCGCCGACTTTAACGAGACCTTATTTTCACACGGTAAAAGTTACTCACCCGAACAAGGTTGCTGACTGCAGCCTGCACAGCGGCCACCGGCTGCGTGAGATCCGGTATAGCTTTCCCATCAACTTCACCTTCTTCGTGCATTATCACCAGATGGGATATCTGCTGAGCCACCGGCTCCAGGATACTTTCTATCGTCTTCGTGTGGAAAACCGGCATTGTGACAACTTTAGTCGACTATCCCAGAGAAAAACAAGAAAATATCCTAACACCTACGGCTACTGTCTCCCGAACTCCCCTTACAAAGCGTTTATCAACCCTGATAGCCTGTTTTTTTCCAGGACAGTCTCCCCCCGTCCGGTGTGAGAACTACAACTACTCCCGTGAAACCGTCAATATGAAAACTCCAAGTCAGAGAGTAAGCGCGAGCGACCCGAACGTCACCAACGCTCCCCGCCTCTTAACCAATCAGCGAACGAGATGGTGAATTACCCAGCGTGTGATTGGTCGATTGGGCTGCCGCTCAGCATTAGTACCTCCCGCTTCAAACCAGGCGAGTTTGCTCGAGATCCAAGTGCTCCCCAAATTACGTAATAGATTGTCATGCCCTAAAAAGGGAAATATGTGTCTACTGTTTGTGAGAAGTGGATTCCTGACTCTGTAGGTTAACCAGTCAGACAGGCTTTTGGCACACACAGTGTAGAGGCTGGAGCACAGACTAGTGGGAGAGCTTGTGCAGTTATCTCTGAGAATTAACAGGATACAACAGGACATTCCTCATAAACTTTAGTGGTAGTGAGTAGTCATTTTAAGGCAGGGCCGGCCCTAACCTTTTTGGTGCCCTAGGTGAAATTACTCAACGCCCCCCCAGGACATGTCTGAGTGAAAGAGGACATCATCCCAGCGTGTCAAGCTAATGCTTACTTTATTTCAAGCTAGCTAGCTAAAACATGTTCTTTACACAAAATGATAAGTTATAAAATATGTTGGCATAACGTTATCTTTATATTTGGACTTCATTCCTCCTCCTGTTTTTCTCCTTTCCTGAAACTGTGCGCCCAAGAGCTTAGCTGTCTCTTTCATGATGAAAAAATTGTAAATAAAATCGCCCATCCTGTTCAGACTCTTCGCTTGCTCGCTGACTTGAGAAGCGCCCCAGCATCATGTGACGTGACTTGCCAAGTGACAAACATGGTTACTTCATCTTGTAGTTTTATATGTTATTTTCAAGACAGAAAAGTAAAGTTATTACTTATATATATTAGATATAGCGAACTAAGCGCCTGCTTAGGGCCCTGCGGCCAATAGGGGGCCCCCCAAGAGCAATCAAAAATGTATAATTATTAATTTTTTTTTACTTTTTGCATGTATGAGTGATGCTTTCTGTATGATCAAATATATATAATCGTAAAAAATAAAATAAAATCAATTTTAAACATTTTAGTGCTGCTGCTGATGTAGGCCTATGATTCTTACTGCCGATATGTCAAACTCTTCAAGAGTTTTCTTCTTTCTGCTTCTTATCATTCACATGTTTGAGATTTTTCCTTGTTTGTATTCAATGTTTTAAATATTAACTGGATGAAATGAAGTATGAAAATGAAAAAAAATGAAATCTTTACTGAGCCCTTCAGGTAAGACACAATTTTAAAAATGAAAAGAAGTGCTGCGCATGTACTTTTTCTATGCCTGACCTTTGTAGATAGGAACTAAAACGTATGAGTAATGCGTTATTTTAATCCAGAAGCAGAAGGTAGATCTTCGTGGTGTGTTAAACTTTTAGTGTTGCATTAAACTTTCTTTTTTTTTAGATTAAAGCTGCTGTTAAGAGAATTTAGTTGGAAATTAATAGAGTGAAATTTATACTGTTGCTTCTCTATAACACTTGAAAACAAATAAGATCATCCTCTAGATGATCTTATTTTTAATTTCTAAAACTATTTTTATTGTTTTATTTTTAATATATGAAACCACTTGTAGTGGGTAGGTGTCAGACAAGCGTTTAATAACATGCGAAAGGGTTTTTCCATGGTGAATGTCACTGAGTGATGCATTCGACTATTAAAAGACATTCATTATGCTTCAATGTTGGAAAAAAACGAATTTATTGAGTCTATCTGAAATAGCACTACTTTAAACTTCTCAAAGTTGGACTAATATACCTTTTTGGGGATTGACAGCTATGCCTAAGAAGAAGAAATCATAGCACAGGGCCTAAAAAAGTCTAATGTGTGACTCTATGTGCTGTGGATACCCTTTGGTGACACTCTGTGAACTGCAGTCCCTCAGAATAGGAGTTTAAATTACTCCCCGACTTGAGCTACAATAGATGACACAAACCACACCCACACATGGTAGTTTACAAACTTAGGTCAGAGCTTGGTTAAGATTGCCCCACAGCGACATATTGCAACATTTTTCATTCCCTCCTTTGTGCTGTATGTTCACTTCAGTCTCCATCTCATTCTCATATCCTGAACTAACAAAATTTCAGGAACGAAAACCAATAGCCGAGCAGACCAGCTAAGGAATTCCCACAGAATCCCAGGAGGGCCTGCAAGGCAGCGACGTATTGCCTAAAAAGGAAGAGTCCAAATAGAAAGAATCAAGGAAGTTACTCTGTTTGAACCCTTGTGTAAACATACAAGGGGCTGATATGCTTTCCTTTTACACAAGGGGCGATTATACCAGTTCAGGAGGCTTTAATGGCATGAATGTGTGGTGAAAATTTGACAAATGTTATGTAATATTATTCTAAGTTACTAGTAGATGACTGAAACCTGAAGATAATTCGGTTTCTCTGTGTTCTTTTTTGTTGATTGATCAGAACTTGGTCCTACCGCAGAGAGACTATTTTATCAAGTAAACATTAAGAAACGGAAAATCTTCACTGGGCCTAAAAAATGACACTCTTAAGATCTTCATCATGATTTATTTGAACAAAGTAGAACCAATATCCACACACACCAAAAATATTTCACCCTCCATCCTCCCAAATGTTAGATAATTGCTCTAACCAGCTGAGTCCATCCTGAATATAGACATCAAAGATGGCCTGTTCTCCAGTTACTGACAGGGCAGACCCCCATGTCTACTCTGGAATGTGAGCAGGGCTGCTCAAGATGGGTGGTCCACACCTTCCTCCAAAGCTGATAGGAAAACTTTCTACCTCTGCAGAGAAGCGCCATAATGTCTTGATGTACTCTATGCTATTACTTTTACATTTAAAGCTGGCAGTAGATTGTGATATAGAGTCTCTTGCTATTTCAGTGCATGATCGAACAACACAATCACTGAAACAAACCTGATTGTTTTTCTTTCCATTTGCCAAAGAAATTCTTAACAAGAGTGAGACATTGGCGCCATCGCCTGGATAAGAGAAGTGAATGCAGTCAGTGAACTGTGACTATGAAGAACAGAAACCAGTCTATTCTATGGAGTCAACTTACTTTCCTCTGCAACACACAAAGAGGAACTGTAAGCCATTGGGATAAATCAACTCAAATTCAAAGAGGGTCCTTTTTGCTGTGGCACCAATTTCCCACAATTTTACAAATAATATGAAAAAATCACGTAACACTGAAGAAAATTCTCTTGCTGACTTGTTTTATTTTGGCAGGTTTTGGGGTCCTAAAGTGGACATATTGGAGGCTTTCAAAAAGTCCTTTGAGGTATGAGCCATTATGGACCTAATTTATTTAATTACCCCTTTTTTTTTTAAAGTTTTAAACAATGGCGGGATCGTACCTTTTCAACAGCGGCCCTAAAATTATGGAAATCTCTACCCCCTGAACTAATTTTTATCAATGACCTGGCACTCTTTAAAACACAACCCTCTATTTAAACAGGCTTTTAATATCTATTGTCATCTGTCATTTGTTATTTGATGGTTTCTGTGTCCTCTCATCTTTTTATTGTTGTGACATCCTGTGACTTTTGCCACTCGTCATGTATTTTCTTTTCCTGTATTTGTGTATTTGACCGTGTAAAGCACTTTGTTCATCTTTCCGGGTGTTGAAAGGTGCTATCTAAATAAATGTTATTATTATTATTATTTATTTCATTGCTGAACATGAATGATGTAGCACTTTTTATGATTTTTTAAAAACACTACCTTCAAACAAAAAATGAAACTCTTATCACTCTATTTTTTTTACCTCATGGAGACACACGGTCTTGTCCTCAAGTAAGATCTGGTCAGCTTGAGTCAGGTCTACATGAGTTTCAGTTATGCTCATATTACACATGGCACAGAAGATCTCAAACCCTGAGTTCTCATTCCACCTATCAGTTCACTTTAGTCTTTCAAAACTTAAGTCCAAAATGTCCAAAATACAATTTTTTTCTTAATCAGGACTTCCGTGAAGCATAAACCTATTTAGCAAAGACCTAATGAGCAAAATCTCTGTTACTCATGTTACATTAACCCTCTTAAGATGGATACATGTATGTTCCTGTCAATGACTATCGCCCACGTGTACATGTTGAGATAGAAGGCATGTGCATATACCGACTCAAGTCTAGGCCTGACTAAAACTTTACTGAAAGAGTGTTAAGCTGTTCTGTATTTTGGATTCAAACCATGACAAAGAACAGGGGATGTATATTAAGATAAGATAAGATAAGATAAGATAAGATAAGATAAGATAAGAAGAACTGTATTGATCCCCAAAGGGAGAGTCAATTCAATATTGTCAGTGGTGATGATTTATTTTGTAGTATGGAGAAGGACCACATGAGGGCACTAAATTCAACAAATAGAGCCAAGTCTCTGAGCATCACTTCACTGAAAAGGCTGACAAAAACGTTGAAGCTGTTCTAATACTCATACAACAAATTCCCAGTGTTGTATTTCCCAGGTTTTCAATATGTGAGTTTGCGTCTCATCCACCTATGATTGTTCCCCAGCGTAAATCTCAGATTTTTAAACTGCCAGCCTAAGTGTGCCATTTCCAATGTGACTCATACTGTCAAAGATTTGGTGTTTTCATAACTGATTCTGAATGAGAACTGTTATAATGAGTTTTAAATATTTTGGTATTAAAAGATTAAGGAAGATTAAAGATGTCTTCTGTCAAACTGGCTATGTTTTCCCCTCACCGATTTAGTACATGTCATCATCCGGGGAGACTCAGCAGGAAAGCAGTGCTGGAGGTGTCTGACTCAGTACCATTGTCGTGTCCTGTGACAACAGCAGCATCAAAAATGTGGAGGAGAGTCACAAAAACTACTGCCTGCTTAAAATACTTATGAAAATGTAATATCACTGGATGATTCCAGCAGAGCCAAGTTTATGTAACGGGCTTCAGCAGGAGTCTGTTTTTTATTTCATTGCTGTTGGTTACTTGGTAGGAGAGTAATACTCTTTGGAATATAAATTTACAAGATGTGTGTAGTTGACAGGGGAACACTCAGTACCTTTGCAAAATGAGCATCATGTTTAGTTTTTTTGTTTTAGCTGAAACAGTCTTAATGAAAACAAAACTGAAACTCACAAATCTGTTCTTTTAAATTCATCACTGTGCCAAAAAGAAACTTTAGATGGACAAAGATTTATTAAAACATACTTTTCTATTGTTAAGCAGTATATGTTGTTAACATTTAAGCTTGGAAGACTTTAGGAAGAGATTCATTGCACAGAAAAACTGGCAATGGCTGTGAAATCAGGCAGAGACTTCTCTGCCAACAACACTGAGTTTGGACTCGAAATGTAGAATTTATTTTTAGCTGAAACATAAATCGACTTGTGTTTAATGTTTAGCATTTGAAGTGATCATGTCCTATAAGCATGCACAAAACCAGGCAGTAAAAGGGGGAACGTAAACTCTTAAATAGAACTTACCACTGAGCAGGGGCGTTCTAAGGTTTTCTTGACTGGGGTGGCCAAACCGGGGTATTGACATAATTAGGGTGGCCGGGGCATATATACAAACACAAATTTGGAGAATTTAACCTCTCTGTCTTTTCTGTTTACTCTAACAACTATAATTAACAGCAAAATGGCCAATCACAACTTAGGATCTAGAACATTTCCCAACAACAGAAGCAAATCCCAAGCATTTAATTGTGAATATGTCGAATATGCAGTCCTGAATATATAAATTAAGTTAATTCATGTAAGTTTAAAAATCTTAACTGCGACATTAACAGAATAAATAATAAATAACAACAACTATGTAAGAAGTATTATAGTATAAATCTTGATATTAATTGATTGATTTCCTTCTGGGCTACATGAAAATTCACGGTGGAGTTTTATAGGAATTTAAATCGACATTTTAGTCGTCTGTTTGCAATTTTTACATTGTCTCTGTAGTTCAAACCGAATGCCATCCAACCAGTTGTCTCAGGGAACAACTAGCTTAACGGCTTCACTGTATAGGCAAAAAAAAAAACTCTACGAATATTTAAATTTAGCTTAATAGTGAAAATGAAACAGAGAAGATAAAGGTGCGTTTACAGTTGCTACCCTTTGCATTCAGTGAGTTTTACAGTATAATGCTAACAAATGCTGCGTTTCACAGGGACTATTTTTAAGCTTCAGGATTGTTGAAGCAGAAGTTAATTAGTGCAACGTCAATCTGTGTGGGTGGGCCATCGCTGGTGGCTGTCTTAGGTGAAGGTTCACAGTCTATGTTTAAAAATAGGATCTGGATGACAGAATGAGACTCATGTCGCAAAAGAAAATCAATTCCTTCAAAGTTTAGAAAGCGTGGCTTTAATTATTGGTGAAATAATTGGTTTTGCTACCGTTCAAATTATATGAAAATTACGTTAATTCAAATTTCTTGACGAAAAATTGGGTGCTAGCGAATAAGCATCTCAAAATTAGATTTAAGAGATCTTTTGGGAAATTTTTTTTTTGCATAAAATCATTGCCAAATATTTCATATGAAAAATACACGTACATTAAAAAGCATTCGGATTTTAGTAGTAGCACATGAATGATGTTTTCTGAATTAAAGACAGTTTTCATATGAGGAGCTTTCCAAACATTCATTTCTTTGAGCATGTTCTGTGCCCTAAATATCACACTCCTTCTTAATGTCTACCCTGGCTGCCAGTAGGAAAGTGCCCTCCTCAGCCCTGACTCAGATTGTTGGTGAGTGCATGTTGCTCACTCTCTCCTCCCCTTGCGTCTTTTCTTTTTTTTTTTTCCTCACAAGACGTCTAACTCTCTCCCTCCTCCTCTCTTCTTACTCTCTCTCCTCACTCTCTCAATCCGTCTCTCCTTTTGATCACTTCAGTCCTTTGCTCCACTCTCCTTTACTCCTACACTACTCTGTCACTCACTCATATCAGCTCTCCATCTCCATCATCAGAGATCTTCATCATCAGTTTGTCTGCGTTTTGCCAGGTGGACGCACTCCCCACAGTCACCATTTCCACTCCGGAGAGTTCCACGGTGGCTGCGCAGCCCCTTCCCCGGCTGAGCATCGGGCGGAAGACCCTGGTGGCAGCTGCCGTGGGGGTCATGCTGGTCCTGGTGCTGGTGGTTCTCATCCCTGTGCTGGTCAGCTCGGTGGGCACGGGTGGAGCGGATGACAGCGCGAGCCACTTTGAGATGCTGGGTACCTGCCGCATGGTTTGTGACCCCTTCCCCAGCACGGGCACAGCAGGCACCGGGACGGACACTGCAACTACAGGCCTACAAGTGGACAACGAGGCAGATCTAAGTGATCACAGCATAGGCCCGCCCCTGCCTACTTACAGCGCTCATGGCCCACAAGGAAAACCAGGACGTCCAGGTAAGCCTGGACCCCCGGGACCACCTGGAGAGCCTGGTCCACCTGGCCCTAAGGGACCACCGGGAGACGGTGTGGACATTGTACGGACAGGCATCCTAGGTTTAGGGGGGAAAGGGTCAGTTAGCACCACAACCTACAACACTTCACCTCGGGTGGCTTTTTATGCAGGACTACGAAACCCGCAAGAAGGTTACGATATCCTACGATTTGATGACGTGGTGACAAACATTGGCGGGAACTATGAGGGCGCGACCGGCAAGTTCACCTGTAAGATTCCTGGAACATACTTCTTCATCTACAATGTGCTGATGAGGGGAGGGGACGGCACCAGCATGTGGGCTGACTTGATCAAGAATGGTCTGGTGGGTGAAACTAAGAAAAAAAAATCATAGTTTACTTTCTAATAGAGGTCTTAAATACCATTTTTGATCCTTAAACATGGACTTGCATATTGGCAAACATCAAGTGCCGCTCTGATACCTGTGTAATGAAACTTATGTATAATATTCATTGAAAAACACTGCTAATATTTTGCAAGCTTGAATTAGCTTTCCACTCACACTGTACTGTCATTTTTAGTTAAAGTGAGGTGCTTACTCACTAATACCTGATATATTGAGGGCTGATAATGTCAATGATATCAGAATCAGAATTACTCTTCTGTTTGGTAAATGAAAAAGAGAGGTTGAGGTTCTCATGTTACAAAGAGGAGCGAATCACTGACATTATGATGTAAGAACCCTGAATCATACATTAAGAGGAAGCAACATCAATATGCTCAGGAAGCAGTGTAACCAGCGCGCAGGCAGTCTAAATTGAGTAGTCATGCATTCATGTGGATAGTGATTTTAGGTCTGTCTTGGTCTGGTGTTATAGCCAAGAATAATGACAATTCATAGTGGCACGCTGCCAGATTGTGTATCTGTGCATATTACACATCTGATGATGTACACGTTGAAGTGAGTGGAAGAAGTGCAGTGCTATCTCAACTCTGCACACATCAGAACACAGCCCGAGGTAGAGGCTAGTTCAAAGCTGGTGCCCTTTGAAATACAACAAACTTCATGGAGTCATGATGCGCTAGTGTGCGTTATCAGAGTGCCTGTCAGGCCCAGGCGCTTCACTCTCAAATCTTGATATTTGCTATATTCATGGGTAATTTTGTAATGTCTTCAAAGCCCCAGGTGGAGACACTGATCAAACACCATTTAAATCTGAACCTTGATATTTCCCTGCAAACATCTCAGACAGGCAGGCTGCAACAGGCTGAACACAGAGTCAACACAATCATGCAGAGACCTGTAAAAGATAGTTTAATACAGTACATGGTCCAAACAGCTAGTGGGATATTTGTGAGTCTTCAAATGAGACTCATAAACAGATCTTGTTTAAATGTCTAGTATTGTCCCATGGCGACAATATCCTCCACATCAATGACAAATGTGATAACATATTGGACAAATAGGATGTCCATATTTCCATTTTGCCAGCGTTAACAGGCAATGACTTAACTGAACCTTTAGTTACTTCAACTCTTCAACCAAACGCTGTGACACTACAAAACATCAAATAACCAGACACATACCACCACAAGTAGAGCCTTTTTCCAGTGGAATAAGATTGCTAATTCAATACAAAAACTGTCAGAATGTAGTTCATTGGTTGGTATAAATCGAAAGAACTGAATTAACTGAGGGGTACATTTACAGTCCAATAAACCTGCCTACTTAAATCTTAAAAGCAGAGATGATCCCAGGATCTTAACAAGAGGGTGATATACCTCAGTTAATAGGTTAGACCCTTTGAAACATGTCCACCCCATTTCTTGGTTGCCCTGACTAATAAAGGCTGAAAAAGCACAAAAATAAATATAAAACCTAAACATTTTCAAGCATAATTCAAGTTTTGTCAAATCTTTACATGGCCAGGGTTCTTGTAGTAAGACAAAAACACTTCAGAAATAACCGAACACTAATACGCTCCACATGGGGTCAATGAAGGCCAATTAAGAACGAAAACACTCTAAATTCTGATTAAAATATTTTCAGAATGGTTCAGCTTCGTGTTTAATCACATTAGAAACCAAAGAAAAGGGTGTACCTTGCCTCTTGCCCGATATCAGCTGTATAGGCTCCAGCCGCCCTTTGACCTTGAATGGCACCAATAGCAATAAAGATAACATATGGATAGAGTGAAGGAAAAGGTGGAATAAGGCTGCTTTAGCTTCTTTTTCTGGCCGTGTGAAATTTTGTTGAAAGAGGGCCATACATCTTTTATTTTTTTTAGCCAGTGTTGGCCATCATGCTCCTCTCAGAGTTCAGACCTATGAGAGAGGAGAAATGACGCTCCAGGTGTCGTATTTCTATCACCACGCTGTCATCTGTTGCTCAACCTTTACTTTCAAACCTTGAGGCACCTGAGAGTAAATTATTAGACCGCCTTGAGACCAATCAGACCTTCTTATTCTTGGCTTCGTTTTCCTCTACACACAAAGGTTACTGCATAGGTGGAAGCAGTGCTAATAATTTTATGGCTGATCCAGTGAATTAACATTGTGTCATTAAACCCCGTAACCCAACTCTTAGAGACGCTTTGGTAATTACTCTGTGTTGATTATGATGACTCTCATATTTAGGATGATGTGGTATTTTTAGTGTTCCACTCAAAAAAAAAAGGTGAATGTAGAGCATGAGGCGAAGGGGATAGTATGCTCAGCCATCCTTCCTCAGAGGCAGACTGACTCAAACCTGACCCTTTCAGTTGAGTCATAAGAGGAAAACACGATCTTCACCACAAGGGACACACTTAACAAAAAAAGCCTCAGAATCAGTCCACTGTTTCTGTGCTGTGCCCTCAAAGTAAGGTGCTTCTTGTCAATTTAAGTATGAAAAAAGAGGTGGCACTTGGTTACGTGTTGAGCACATTGCTTTAATCGTTCGCGCCATGATCTGTCTTTGTAAAATCACCTGAAAATTGACTGATTTTAAGTTCATGTAATGAGAATTCCTGTGGGTCATATCCGCATGCTAAATTGTTGACAATAATAGCCCATCGTTGACACTCTACCTCACACATCTCCTCACCCTTGATATGTTCCAGGTCAGAGCCAGCGCCATCGCTCAAGACCAGGACCAGAGTTATGACTACGCCAGCAACAGTGTCATCCTTCATCTGGACGCGGGCGATGAGGTTTTCATAAAACTGGACGGGGGCAAAGCTCACGGGGGCAACAGCAACAAATACAGCACCTTCTCAGGGTTCATCCTCTACGCCGACTGAGTGGCGGACAGGACATTCAGTTTCTTGCCTTTTGCTCTCGCTGTAAGGTCGACGTTGCCCTTAGCCACTCATCCACAGTCAGATTGAGTTTTAAACAGATGTTTGGGGTCAGCGCTGATACTGTGACTTACGCTGCGGATCTGTGGTTATGGGTAACCGTCCACCTCCTCATCCATACGTTTCATTGTGAACAGGGTGCCTATGCCACAAAGGGGTGACGGACGTGAGCAACAAAACAGTGACAGTCACCGCCGCTTGTCACGCCAAGGTGCAGCTACTATCCTGACAGTTGCAGAAGCCTCGCCATCATTTTTGAGCTGTCATGTCAATTTCAAGTGTGGGAATCCAACAGTTGTGGCGACTGCAGTGTATGTAAACATGCTGTTAAGATTTCAGTGGAAATTATGCTTTTTCTTTCTTTCTTTTTGCCGTGCGTATGATGAATTTGTTGTGCTTGAGGAGATGTTGTTTTTGTTCGGAAAAAATGTGAAATTGTAAAAAATTGGATGCCAAATTGAGATTACGCTTGTTATGGATGACAGACCGCCGCAAAGTGTTTTGTGTCTCTGCGTGATGATGTGAATTCTCATGTCATTTTAACATTTGAAATATGCTTGTGTACATATTGTAAGTTTGATATTGAATCTCGTGTCTGAAACGGTCCAAGTATTGTACAAAAACACCCTGTTGTGCGTCAAATATAGCTGTTGGTAGATAGTCGTAGAATTGTGTATAAGTTAATGTGCTCATTTGTTAAGATTCATGCATGCAACACCTGTTCAAATGTGCTGTATGTTTGTACAAATAATAAGAAATACAGTGATTTTAAACACGACTGGAACATAAGCTGAAGGAACATCTGTTGCCATTGCTTTTACTCCAAGCGTCCATGATTTTTCATTAAAAATGTTTTTTGCATTTCCTCGCACATTATGTGTCTTTATGTGTTCTCTCCTCATCTCTCTTTTTTCACCGGCTGGTTTTATCTTTCAATTTTCCAGTGAAAACCAGCATTTAGTTCTGCAAATGTTAGTCAGCGAGAGGCAATCAACGCAGGGATGATCACTGAAGGAAAAGGAGAGGAAATCACAGCTGTGTTAAATGCCAAGTGAAGCGGGAGATGATTGTGTTGCACAATCAAAGGAGAGATGTGTTTCTTCTTTTTTTTTTTTAGCCATTTAATGGGTGTGGAGACGCTGAGAAACAGCGAGGGAAAAGTCAGGGGACGGGTGTTAGAACGTATCATGACAAAGCTTAGATCAGTGTCGGAAAGTAATCCAGGGCAAATTAGGCTCTGCTGTGACGGCGACACAAGTGTCAAGAGACAAGAAAATAGCTTCCAGGCTCGAACTGTAAAAAGCTATATATTTATTTTCAGTTTTCTTAAGAGCTCACTTTGATATTGTAAAATTCTTTGGACGTTAGTCGCCTTTGACACAGGCTGTGTGGGTCCAAAACTTTCTCTTAAGTCTGAAAAATAAGTGTGTGAGCAAAAGTTTTGCATGTCTGGAAATGTGATCACTCAAAAGTTACAAAACGGATTATTTAATCTCAGTCTGCCACATAAAGGTCAGTTAAATTTAACATTTTGTCTGGAGCTGGTGTTAAAAAAATGACTGTGGAGGGTAGGGTATCCCGTCGTCTGATCATCCGCTCTATACAGTGAAAGCTAGGAGGCCTTCCGGTCTGGACTTATGCACCAGAATTCCTCCGGATACAATTAAGGCCAAGGGTCCGTGCCTAAGCAGAGGTCAACCAAGCCAAGAGGCTGCTGAGCGTTTGCACAGGCTGTTTTCTCCTTGTAGGGCGTATGAGCACATCGTCAAATTAGAAACCTCATGTCATTACGTCAAAGACAAACGCCTCGGGTCTGAGAGACGCAGCTTTCTGCTGAAACTACGCGAACCGAACATGGCATGAGAGTACGCAACATCTGGACTTTTCCTTCAGACCTCAAGGAGAATTAAACACATCAGAACCGTTGCTAGATATCGAGAAAAACGCTTTAGAGACCTTGAAGATGATGTCAGATAAACATTTTTCAACTGTCAGCATATATGTGAAAGACAGGAGATTATCCTTCCTCCTGTGTTAGCTTTTACTACGCACCCACTATGTTAACAGGTTGGATTTGACCTGTGTCTTAAATCAGCTGTAAATTACACTAAAAACAATTCTCTATCATCCAACTTGGTTCTCATCTCTAGGCTAACTTGTTAGGCTTCATTGTCCATGAAAATATTGCTTATAATATTTTTTGTTGTGGTCCTCTGGGCCTTTTTTTGTCAGTATACCCCTCATACATCCATACTGAATTGATCTCACATGTCTGGACATGCCTGACATTGTTTTTTGTGCAGGTAAAAACATGGAAAAATGAGAATTTCTTAAATCTCACATGATTGGAAGAGGATCTGACTGACAGTGCACATATGATTTTAGTTTTTGCTCTAATTATTAGATATTAATCTAACCGGGTCAACAGTGACCCTAACATGACAAGTGCCATAATTTTAAGAAGAGCATTTTATAATTGAGTCAATTTATTTTTTTGTTTTCATTTTGTTAAAATTAAGGTTCCAGACAAAGTCAAAAGGCCTTGATTAAAAAAAGCTAATTTATTTGGTTCTTTTAAGCATTTAAAAACAAAAACAGGTTGGTGCAGACCCTAACACAGGAGGAGGAATAAAAGCATGTGTTCCTCCCCGTAAAATAAAGCACCTTTTGCCTGGTTGTTTAGGCACAAAAGCTAATTATTGCATCATGTTGTGTTGGAAAAAAGAAAACCCCATTTCTTGTCATCTACCTCTCCTTTTCTGAGTCATTACCCAAGGTCAGAATCAACAGGGGTTCACCCAGAACCATCTGCGGAAACCTCTATGTAGAGCAGACTCTTGGCAGACACTCTGTTTAGCTTATCCTGAAGACGAGGTGATCCTTACTCAAGCTATTGTGCTTGTGTAAGCGACACAGACCCCCTCCTCAGGGGTGTCTGGTCTTGATCGTGACTTTAGCTGAACAACCTACCCAACAGGCCACTCTGAGGCCGGTGTTTTATTTAAGTGATGAAACAGCATCTGGGCTGGATGCGACGTCGGAACCTTTTGACTCATATTTCATCTCACGTTGTCGCTGACTTTAAGCAGGTCCAGGGTATGGAGATAAGCGTTCCTCTGAGAAGTGCTGTAAGCTGCTTTTTGTTGACGTAAGCTGCGTCTCTTAGACTCGGCTGTGTGGGGATATTTTGAGATTTTCTACTGTACCTCTTTTCATCATGTTTAAGAAGAGGGATTTGTAAGATTATGTCTCCTCTGCTGACTTGTTTTAATTAGGTAATCTCCTCCGTATGCAAACATAACGAAAGGAAATTTAGATTCACTCACTCTCGCTCGCTCCCTATCAGTAAACAGGGATGACTTCAACTTGACATTTGCGGGGGCCAATTGGTGAGACGTAAGGCTTATCAGTCTACAACAGAATAGTGTGTGATTGTAGCTCTGTGTGTGTGTGGGTCAGTGTACAAGCACCAGTGTTTGTGTCCATTTAGTCTCAATAAAGCATCAGAAGACTTGTCTTGTGGGGAGAAAACCTCCTCTGAAAGGTCTAAAGTGATGTTAATGAGCCCTTGAAGTTGTTATCTTGAACATCGCCACTTATCTCACCAGGGGGAGATCCAAATTAGAGATAGATGCCTGGGTTGTTGAGCTAAATTGCCCTTTGTGTTCATGTTCATTTCCTCCCACTAAAGTACAGCCACCTGCCCACATTTACAAGCTCCAATGGTTTTCCTTGTGTAAGCATGCACCTAAAAAGATGTTCTCTGAGATTGTAACACCAAGACTACAAAAATCTCTATTTTGGCGGCACAAACAGTCCCACATGTCCTAATTAAGTTGTTCTAATAGTTTTACATGATACAAACAGCAAAAGCTTTCATGAGGAGCTTCCAGCCAAAAAAAGCTGGGCACTGTTTGCTGTCATGCTTGGAAAAATAATGTTAACATGCTAAAATATTCAAAGGGTTGAAGTTTAGCACATTGAAAGCATCTAAAGGTTGACATAACTTCTGAATAAAGCAGAATAAAGTAGCTGCACCGCGCTGATGGACTTTTCCTCACCCGTGTAGTCATCCATGAAGTCTGAGAATCTCTGACCTGCTGACCCCCCAAGTCTGGCGCCGCTCGTTACGACATTTTGTCAAGGGAAATATGATTCGGCGTGATTTTTCTGAAAACTGACAGGAGTGTTTTGATGTTGTTTTAGAGTCTCTCCTCCTGTCTTACTCAATCGGCTAACTGAAGCGAAAGTAGACACCAAACATGTGAAACACAACTGGGCACAACTATCAGTACAATTACATGACACTTGAGGAAACTGAATTATTGCCTTACCCCGATTAAGACCGGACAACTGAAGTGCATGTAAACACCTATAATCTATAATCAGATTATAATCAGATAACTAAAATCAGAGTTTGAGAACTCCAATTGGAGTTGGAGACACCCAGACAATGCGATTGGAATTCGATTTTCACTACCACGTAACCAGCGTAGTCAGAGTACGATTGGACAATGCATGTGCATGTGCGCCACACCCCCGTAACCCCGGAACAAAAAAAACAAAGAGTAGTAGCGTGCAACTGTGGGAGCAAATAATAGACATGTTTTTGGAGTAAAGTTATTGTGAAACTGCACACAGGATACACCCAGAGAGAGAGAGAGAGCCAGCCAGCAAAAACATGTTTACTGAAGAAATCACATTGTTGGCCATCAGACACCAATGTGAAGGCCGCTTACAGAGTAGGACCAATGACGCCATTGGGGATGTACAGTATAAGAAGGAACAGTTTTAGGAATTTGAGGGATTATTTGGGCTTCTACTGTCCGTCTGATTGTCATGAGTTGTGTTTGATGCTGTAACCAAAAATAAAATCCCACGAGAGGCTGCCAGCTTGATTCTGTCTTTGTGTGGTTCATTTTTGCACCTTTGCATCTATGAAATCTACTATACGCCTAATCTGCAGAAAAAGTAGTGTGCACATCATGTATGACAAAAACAACTCTGTACGAGTCTCCATATTCTTGCTCGAAAATGCCCAGCAGCAGTTGTAGCAACTTCTGACGTCACTCAGAAGCGCCACTGAAAAGACCAATATCGCCCCCTAGTTTTGGGGAGGAGGACATGTTCACGTCAATAATTCCATTTTCCAGAAACAGACTGAATGTGGATCTGGTGGCATTTCCCTGTGGCTACAATCTGATCTCTTCTTGCCCCTCCTCTTCTTGTAATTTCCCTGGCAGTTACTGTACATCAGGGGATTGAAAATACGCCACTGTTTTCGTCTGTGAACTCATCAGCAGCATGTTTGTGCATCATTGGTAACTTCATTTCATGTGACAAGTAAACAGTCCTGTCATTTCAGTGAAGGAGCGTGCTGTTGACATGGAAACATGGCGTACAGTATGCCCTCGAAATCTCAATGAAAACCGAGAAAAAGTCGTGATTACAAGCGCTAGGAGGTGGTGATTGAGCCGTGAGAGACTTCAAATCTTGCTTGTATTGTTGAAAGGACAATAGTCTAATCAGTTTCTGCTGCTTTATCCTCAGTTTGCTCGGCTGAGTGGCGTATTTGTCAGAGAAGCCAGAGGGGGGCTACGGTGTTCGTGAGAAGTTCTCCTCGTGCAGTTTTGCTCTTAACTGTCATTAAGTTGTTCTGCTTATGTTTCAGAGCTGATTTGATATGATTTGCCAGATAATTACATAACATGTAAATGCCTGACTGGGAAACAAAATTAGGTGAATGGTGTTAAAAACATTCTGTTGAACCCATTCAGTGTGTGTAAGCTATAACATATCATTCTGCCTTCACTGCAGGGGTGCTTAAAGGGGAACAAAAAGGATTGTTTGAAATAGAGAGAAAGAAAGTTTTCTGAAGGACGATCAATAAAATAGATGTGTTGTTTCAAAATGAACAATCAAAAACTAAGTACATCAGATTGCGGTCTGTCTGGAAAGCTTTACCCAATTTCACTTCACTATTGTAATGTTTACAGGAAGAGAAAAGCGAGTTGTTGGAGTAATCATCAAGAAAATATAGCAAGAAAAAGGGCGATTGGAGATTACATAAGTAATAGCCTGCAGAGATGTGTCAGGGTTGTTTTAATGAGTGGATCACCAAATTGTTTGCAAATCTGAGTGTGTTTGATTCGTCGTCTCAAAGCGACTCTGTGATGTATTTAAGTCAAGAGGACAGACAACATGAATGTACACTAAAGAGGTTGTTGTGCAAAATCCTTATGTGCACTACAGTGGATAATGTTGCCATTGCGTGGGTACACTACCCCTCGTCCAAACGCTCCTTGGGAGAACGTGACAGCACGCCCACCCCCACCCCACTGCCTTTCCTCCTAATCTGATCTGGGGACTGACCAGTGTGTCAGTGACTCAATTCCATCGTCCTTGTTCCCTCATGGCCCTGACTGAGCCCGGGCTAACACGTAGGGACAGGTTGAGTCATGTGGCCGGGGACGCTCCGCTGGCGTGTTGCCTGTCTCTTCACCTCACCGCGGTCTCTTGGATGCAGCTTGACAAGGGGCTACAGAGGCGCTGCGATTGCCCCTTCCTCAGCATGACACCAGATGCCAGAGTTCAAGAGCACGACTGCGGTTACCGTTGCTCAAGCTTTTATTTTACCTGTTCCTATTCAGATGCAGTAGTGATCTGATGTGACAACAGGGAGTGGGCACTCCAGCACATGTGTAGGTTTTTTTTTGTCCTTTCTCTTTTTGAAACTTCGCACTTTTCCAGGATGATCAAATCCTGCAGTAATTCATCTTGAGTGAGTACGTCCTCCGAGTGCAATCCTATGCAACTGGATACAACTAGTGTAATATGACATGATACATCTAGACATGCTATGTTATGATACGATACAGTATGATATGACACAATATATAACGTGGTGTAATATAATGTAGGGTATGGTACAATATGGTATTAAATCAACACGTCAGTGGAGTTCAAAAAGATGCAATATCATATGGCACATTACAGTATAGTATGATATAGAATATGTAACGTCTTTGCGGGGTTAAACAGACCCAAATGCAGGACGAAGAAAGGATTAATTAAAAAAAAACTAAATAAGAAGCAACAAAAATTTACTATAATTGTCCAATTGAAAAAAACACAAGGAGCAAAATCAAAGAGATCATAAAAAAATCACATGGAGACTCACACACGAAGACATACAAACAACACAATGAACCAACAAGGAAACAGGGGAAGACAGGGACTATATATGTACACACAGGGAAACGAGCAACGAGAGGCAGGTGAGGCTAATGAGACACAGGTGCAGACAATTAAGCAGGAGGGAAAACTGAGGAAGTAAAACAAGACTAGAAACACGGGGAATAAACTACGACAAAATAAAACAGGAGGAATTGAAAACTGATTTACAGATTGAAACACCGAAAACATGAGGGAAACGGGGTTAGACACAAACTGAAAACACACAAGACAGGACTTCAGGGGAACAGGAACTATAGGGAGCAGAAACACAGAAAAAGCACTTGAATAAACAACACATGGGGAAAACTAAATCAACATAACATATCATGAAATAATATGGTTATAAAGGATATGATGTGATATGACTGGAAAAAAGATGATATGGTAGGATATGGAACAGTACGGGTACGGTATGACAGGATAGGATTCGGTACGCTATATAAGATATGAAACAATTATATATGTTAATTAAGAAATGTCAGCAGCGATAGCGATACTTTGCAATTCATTAGATATGATATGATACATTAAATACGATTCGTCAGATATGTTCGATACTATGTGATACAGCCATAGACTGTATATACTATGGACAAATCGGTTCCGCCCTCTGCCAGTACACGGATTTTAAGCCAAAACACTCTCGGTAATTCTGTGTTTTTTCTCCATTTTCTGATACCAACATTGTGCAGTAGCATTGTATGCATTTGGCGGGAGAGTCGCTGAGAATCAAGGTCATGACACTCGGCTCAAACAGCGTATCCCCCGGGTGAGCTACACAATCTTTGTATGCCCATAGGCTGTATAAAGTGTCAATCATAGAAAACATGAACCACCTAATAACTTTTAAAAATGGAGCTTTACAGAAAAAAGAGGACTTGAGCACAAACCAGTCTTACAGTAACTACATGTCAACATCGCAATTTCTAAAGTTTGTCCACAGCTCCATAAGGATTGCTGGAGGAGGCGGGATTTATGACCTATTCTGCAGCCCGTCACCAGAGGGTGCTGTTCCCAGAGTGGCTTCACCCAGCGAGGAGGTAGATGCCATCCATTCTATATACAGTCTATGGATACAGCAGATGATACAATACAATGTTAGGTTTGATATGTCAGATACAATACGATACTATGAGTGCGAAATGATACTATACCACCCATTAATATGATACGAGACATGTTATGATGCAGAATGACTCATATGCTGCACTCATTTTGGTTAAGAGTAGCTCGTATAATCAATAAAAACACTTAAAAATTGTTTTGTCAAACGTCATTGTTGCTCTAATAATCACTCTCGCACTTCTAAATGAAAGTGGTCCAGTTTGTCTATAGCTGTTTATCTTGCATTATCAAAGAGTTCACTGAGTTTTGACGGTTTCCTCTGATGATTTTAAAAGTTTTATACCCTCTAAGACATAAAATCCATTATTTGAATTTTAGTAAATGAGACATTGAGTTTGAAAACAGTGTTGACTGATTCAATAAATATTAAAATCTTGTTTGGCAATCAGTTATCTAGAGTAAGAGCCAAGTTTGATGCCAAACCATTTATTTCCATGCCTTTGGTTGGCTGTGCTACCTTCCCCGTTGGCAGTAGGAGGAGTGAATGATGAAAACCACTCAGACAGGAGATTCCAAAATGTCGACACACTGTGGTGCCGTAGGCCAGCTCTCTGAACATGATGGTGAGATTATAGAAGTCTTTACCCCCTGCCATCAGAAAATTATTTGCTCTGCTCCTGGAGAGGACCCCCAAAACGCACAATAAAGCGGCTGGGCTGTGCTCGCATCCATGCTCTCTAACAAAGTGGAAAGAGGCAACTTAAGACTTTCACCTTTTAGCTTGACACCTTCCGAAATTAAACTCGATTTATATTCAGGCCGAAACGTCGCCACCCTCCTCTGCCTGGGGCATTCACACTTGCTTGTGCAGATATAGTCCTCCTTCCACACTCGGCATCTGGCCTCTGTCTGTGTCAAAGGGAGAGACTGAGAAAAGACACACTTGGAAATCTCTGCTGAACAGCTGGAAAGCGTGGTACCCTGTGGATCTGTTTGGGCCGGGTTATAAAAAGTGAACCCAAGAATAGACTTTGCTCTCTGCATCTGCTGTGATTGATGGACAGCCATGGATTTACCATGTAGTTGTTTCATATATAAAAGGATGACATTGTGTTTGAGGAGGCGATTCTGTGTGTTATAGATGAACCATGATGTGTGGCGATGCAGCCGTGGTTCACTGACCCCTCTCTCCTCTCTCCGCCCACTGCCGCCTGAGTCACTTTGCATTAATTCTGCTGTGGCTTGATGACAACAAAGAGCAGACCAGTAGGGGTGTTAAGACGGGGCCAAGTGAGCCACACAGGCTAGTGGGACCTTAGTGCCAGGATGATGTCACCACGTGCGCCCGTGGGCCTGAATCTTCATGCATAAGCTCTGATGTGGACAAGAGCAAGGACATCCTGGCTGACTATTGTTTCAAAGTCATTATTTTCTCTCCTCAAGTCCTGTAGCAAACACATTTTCCTGCAGGATCTGTTTTTTTATTCGTGGATTACATAACAATATTTTGTTAATTATTCATTGTTCATTATAACAGAAGCAAGAGTGCACAACTCAGCTGAACAATTGTTTGATAAACTAATAAGCTTAAAATTCATTACCAACTTTTCTACCATGTTTATTAAACTGCGGTTGAATTTTAAGCAAACATTTGCAGATTAAAGTCACTCAGCTGTAAAACAAAGAAAATGACATTAAAAGAGTTGACCAGAGGCAGGAGGAAGTTCTCATACACAGTTTTCTCTTTACTTTGTAGTTTAAAACAAATCCAAAACAAAGTTATTTGCTGAATCTTCAATAAGGACACGACTCTGCATTTTTGAAATTTCTCTCTTGATAGGAGCTTCTGAAAACTTGTGCAACACTTTTTATTCTGATTTCTTTGACTGTCTAAAGTTGTCAGAGCCCAAAGTTTTGACAACTTAAAGCTTAAAGTGGCTTAATTAGGGTTGTTACACAAGTGAGATGCACTATGGGAAATGTAGGAACCAACAGCTTCAGAAAATAGCCAAGTGACTTTTAAGTGGATTGTGTCAGAATCTATTAAAACTTTGACCATTCTTCCTTAAATTCTTTCTAAACATAACTCTTTCATAACTCAACTTTTGAGGACAGTGGTTAGAGCAGGATACATTTTTTTAACATTTTTGACTTGAAGGTTTTTGCTCAAATCTGGACTATTTTTTCAAGTCATCAAAGCAAAAATTTTTATCTACTTCTCTCTTGTTGTGCGAGCGAAAATCGATGGTGCGATGATGTTTATCTGTTTATATTAATGCTTTTAAATATGTCTTTACTTAAAAGTTTAGATGAAGGGCATGCTCTACCAACCTTTCCCTTTTAGGATAAATGCATAATCATTTCAATCACTGTCATATTAAAGTTCCTAGACAGTGTCTTCTGACAAGATTCCCAACCCATCTAACACTAAATATGTTGTGAAAATTGAAAAAAAAAAAAAAAAAAAAGCTGTTTTGTTGATTATCTTACCTGCCATGTATGGCTAAGCATGAGAAAGGGATAATTGATTTATTAATATGTAGGTGATTAATCTTCACAGAGGGGACATCAACATTGATTTCGATATTTTTCACTATCAGCGAAAAACTCTTTACAGGAGCTTTAAAATCAGATTAAAGACAACTTTTCCTAGTCATCAGAAAAATTCCAAACCACCTTAAACTGTCCACAGAGGACACAATACCAAATAAATTAACACTAATACAGAACATCATTAACCGGAAGGCAATGGCAGCTGTTGTGGACAAACCGATAATGTATCTTCATATTGCTGTTAATCCGATTGGTTGTAGGTCCGTATAATCACTTTTAGAGGCACTTAAGTATGTGATGATTGCTAAATCCAAATGAATAATGAATTATTGAAAAAAAAAAAACTGACTCCATACGACAGTTTGTTTTAAAACAGTAGTGTTTGATCTTTTATAATCCAGCTAAGCAGCTAATGTTACAAATGTTGTTTTTAGTTACAAATGAATGTCACAAGATTCAAGAAACAACCAAAAAAGTCAGGCTGGTATATACAGATGATAGCTTCAAGTGTAAGAAAATACAGTGATAAATATAAAGTCTGTTAATTCATGAAAATTCACTCTGTTCCCATTAAAAATGGATTGTCAAATACATTCTGTTATTTATCTTCATTATGCAGGTCGTCTACATTCTATTGTGATCATTTTACTACGCTGTAGTTCATTCCTTTTTAGCGTCATAAATGTCTAACAATCAGAAGTACTCCATTCAATTTAAAACAGGGGCTAAAATGGGCGTGTCGGGTCTTAAATTTAAGGTGACAGTGAAAATGATGACTGCAGGAGTCACCTTTGTAAAGAATGTACAGAATTTACCTCTTTAACTCCCCTCCATATTGTTTTTGAACATATTTACAATCTTTGCAACCGCCCAACATGCCTGATTTGACAAACTTAAAAAGGTGTAAGGGTGAATCAAAATAAAATCTTTGTTTTTTTCCAGGTAAATTTTGACTCAATGCTTGTTTTGAACTGCCTGCTGCTTTAAAATAAGACATTTCAGCTGTTTTTAGGCCTTTGACAGCAAGTACTGTTAAGAACATTGATGAGCTTGTACAGCTGCTAAGCTTCACAGGAACCACCTTCATATTTTTAAGGTCTGAGAGTAAACTAGCTGAATTGCACATAAAAAACCCTTCACACCAAACCACGTATGTCAGTGCGTGTTGTGTCAATAAAGTAAGTCCGTGTTAACTGATAACAGAGCACATCACACCTCTGAGCTGTGGAGGCGGGTGCTGTTAGACTAATCTCACAGTAAATTGCATCGATACCCCTGATGTGCCTTCGGCCTCTCTCTGACCACATCTGAAGCACTTCTCAGCCCTCATCTGTCCTCTGTTAGGACAAGAGGATCTTTGCCGCGTATAGCAGTATCCCACCCAGGCCAGCTGTGGCTGCGATAGCTATGACCCTCACTAAGAGGAAGTCCATGGAGTCTTCCAGCTTTGTGTGTAACCTCAAGACCTGTCGATGGGTGTCCTCTCGGCCGCCTGAGTTCTCAATAACGTGATTGGCTAAGCCGCGCTTTTCATTGAGCGGCATCTGCGCGGCGATGCGCTGCTCGGCCTGCTCCTGGGTCAGACCGTCCCTCTGCATCAGACGCAGCAGCTGAGTGGCAGGGTCGCTGAAAAGGGAACAGACAATGGAGGATATTTATGGTACAGGCAGAGTGTCTGTTAAAAAATCCAGAGGCAGTGAGTCATGATAATGAGGACTGGAGAGAGGTAAAAAAAAAAAAAAAACAGTACTCTGTGGCCTGATGTTGTCAAAAACAAACCTCCAAATATTTCATAACCTGGACCTATGAAACTTTTAGATAAACAGTCCATCAGAGAGGCTCGACAGTGATGAGAAAATGAAAGAAAATTACTGAGTGTTCTCACCAGTAAACAACAACAGTGTGGGCTAGAAACTGAGTGAGACGCCTGGTTTCAAAAAGGAGGGGCACATCCAGCACCACATAGCGGTACCCTGAAGAGAAAGAAGAGGAGGCATGAACACACTCTTAACTCACTTCAGCATGGACAAAACACAAATAATACAATTAAGTCAAGAATTTTGAATAAAAGACTCGTTCTTAGACTTGTTTTAGACACTGAGTGCCTCATGGACAGCCTAAGAGCTGCACTGTGTATCTGTAACTGTATCTTTCAACATCCACTTCTGTGTTCTCACTCGAAATAGTAGTAAACACAGAACATATTTACCTTTTGGCTCTCTTAACCCACTACTGTTGTTAAAGTTTGCTGCTTGCATGAAGGATGAAGTTCGGAAAACAATTGAAATAACAAACTTCAGGTTAAAATCTATTAGATTGCTCAAAAAATTGGTTCTTTTTTAGAAATCTGAATCATACTGAGTCACTTTTGCTGTCAGATTTTTACGACATGTTAGGAGAGGCTGGGCTCTCACTTTAAGCTTGTTTCTAGGTGCTCAGCTTGGAGGTGAAAATGAAGCTCATGCTGAAATGCATCAAATTGTAGACACTGATTGTCCACTTGTGGCTTCAAATCCAAGAAAAAAAAACCCTGTTAGAGCCTCAATTCACTCAGATTTCTATCAAGACTCGGTTACAGTCGTAGCCAATTTGACATACAGGTGGGCGCAATGTAGCTGCAAAACTACAGCCCCCGATCCACCTCTTTGAGGGTTTCTAGTAGGGCCCGACCAATATGGGTTTTTTGGGGCCGATGCCGATACTGATTAATAAAGTTTTTCATGAAGTTATAAAATATACATATGTACTTTAGATATCTATAGTATGCTATATACTGTAGATATATTGTAGGCTACTGCTCTTCCACCGACAGGAAGACCGACTGATGAAACTCTGACCAGAAAAGAGCCTTTCTAGGGCCCGTTAAATCAGTCGGGCCCTAGTTTCTAGATCTGCTACTAAGCCAGAAGTTAGTTGGTGTCTGCATTTCCTGTATGGCGACTCTTGGCCTGGTTGAAGATATCCAATAGACTGTATCGAACAGATGTAATCTCAGCGATGTCACCCAGTTGTTTCTAGTTTTAAAGTCCAAACATAGTAAAAAGAAACTGATGTTTAACTCTAAATAAATTATATAGATATGTATTTTTAGAGGGAAATTTGGTTAAGTCCAACTCCTGAATCCAGTTTTTGAAAGTGAAATGAGAAATGGTATCCCAATATCTCTTTGTGTGATATTTTAGAAGTCTTTCCTGAGGCTTTGTATTTATCTTGTGAAAATTTTTAATGAAATGAGAGTGAGTCATTGCACTCATGTTGCAGTCTTTTTCAAACACGAGTTGAAATGTAAAAAGAAAAGTCCTGAGTGCAGAAACTTCTTACTCCTTCATCACCTTCTACCTTATAAAACATTGAGAATATTTTCAAATCTTTCTCTTCTTGGCTCACAGAGAGCTTTGTGAGAGGCAGCCTAAGACCCTAAAGCCCATTGCTGCGCTGCCAAACAGCCTTGGCTCTCTTTCAGTAAAGTATTCTCTGTTTCACTGTTAACCGATAACTGAGCCAAACTCACCCCTGAGAAAGTAGAACAGGATCTCTTTGAGCATTGCTTTATGGATCTCGGGGTGGGTGATGGAGTTCAGCAGCTTCCTTTTCTCTTCGTTGGCGAAGATGAGCTGACCCAGCTTCTGCCGGTCGATCTCCCCGTTCTCCAGGAGGATCTCAGGCCCAAAGTGGTAGACGATGCGGGAATAGGCGGGTGTGTGTGGCTCCACAACTGTTCTCGAGAAAAGACAAAACATTTAAGATTTTTGTTGGTTTCTTTTTAAATAACTTTGTAACATTGATAGACACGTAGAAACATAGGAAAGTCAAGTTAGTATGAAGAGGTTAGACGCCTTCAAAATATACAAAGAAGGGAGTAAGATGGATAACAAGGTATTTCAGTCACTTGAGTACAATGCCCTTTGTCATATATTTATTTGTAGATGCAGCTGTGTACCATTACCCGTCTTCTATGACCTTATTATCTTTACCGCGCAGCTCAAACATGATCCCTGCAGTCAGCAGAGATGGCCGTCATGATTCATACAATCTCTCCGAGCGCTTGTCTCTTCTTAATGAACCTCCTACAGGCCCAGTGTTGATAAACAAAGCCACAACAATAGCCAGTGGTGTAGGACATGTGGGTTACTGCTCATCTCTTAATCAGGGTCAATTCAAGAGACACATCTCAACCCAGACACTGGCTGACAAGCATTCAACAGGTCGTTGTAGTAATTTAAAAAACCTTAAAATTTGATCAAGGGGAGGATAATAACCAACCTTTCCTGGCAACAACATCAGCATCAATAATGGGGCACCCGAGCTCCCGCAGCATCGTCGATACGGTGCTCTTTCCCGAGGAAATACCTCCTGTCAGCCCCACCAGGAACATCTTAGAGAGAAGACATTGAAAGACTGATGTCAGTGCAGCAATAACATTTAAACTTTTTCTTCTAACTCACACGCACTCATTAAAATTGTTTAAGCAGTGTCATATGGCAAAAAATGGAAAAATATGGGCTTTTGCAACTATTAGTAAAAGTGAAAACACAAAGAGAATCAAAGCTGACAAATCAAAGACAATATAAAGCTCAGCTGAGTAAAAATTAGATTGTGTTGATGTTGACGCCCCCTGTGGGTGAAGTCCGGGCTTGACACTAACTTTTTCCCAAGGAGCTCATGTGCTCCTAAGTTAAAAAAGTAAGGAGCACACAAAGAACTTTTGGGCACAATGAAAATTGATCAAATAATGTCTGTCTTATTGGTCGACATAAGTACTATTATTTGAAATCAATTTTGGGTCAATTAGTCACATGACATGGAAGCTATCGAAGGAAAACAGCCTTTTCTGAGGACATCAACCGGTAATTTATTGATGGTCCCTTATTCAACACCCGACGTTGACAGCGAGGGTAACGAGTAGATTAAACCGTGCTGCTCTTGCTATTCCCGGTTATGAGAGAGTGAGAAGACACTGGTAGATCCGCAGTGAATGTCCGTCGGATATCCAACCTTAAACTAACTTCACCACGGTATTTACATGAAAAAACACAGATGTGCCCCCTTAATACATTTTACAAGTCCACACATCTATTTTGGGTCGCAACTGCGAGTGAAACGGTTGCACTGTCGAGCCCTGGAAGTCGTACCTCCCATCTCTTCATCGATCTGGTCTAATGAAAAATTCTCATCCTGCTTTCTGTCAGTGGTACAGTTTGTACGAATTAGAATATTTTGGGATATATAGACAGATTCTAGATTAAAGCACTCCCTTGCTCGCCCCTCTTATTGTTGAAATGATGGTGGCCTTCTAGGACAAAAGGCCACTGGGAAAGTTTACAGATATGATCCTCCATTTTCTTATATAAATCAAAATATATTTTTTTAGCTGTGTACTTGAACTCACTTTGTTGACAACTACCCCACAGACATGTTTTCTGACATTAGAAATAACAGTATAGAAAATATCAATGTCTATTTTAGTGGTTTATATCAAATTCGGTTGATTCTGTAACCTGATGAAATCTCCTTACAGGAGCTTTAAACTGGACTTGTATAATGTGTTGATCATGTGGGTAAAGTCTTACACATTCAAAGTAGATTATGTAGTAAAGCATTTTCATTGGCTTTGGAGTAAATAGGGACCTTTTACTGAATAAGAATGTATAAATCAAAGTTAAAATAAAAGTATTAAATGGTTTTAAACACTTACCTTATCCGCGCAGGGTAAAAATAGTTGAACTGTCTGAGTAAACAAGCAGGAAGCTAGCAAGCTAACGTTAGCACAAGTCCTTCTCAGGTCAAAACGACAACAAACATATAAACACACGAAGCAGCGGCCATTCTCACTGCGTACAGTCACGAAAGAGGTCAGACGAAGAGGTTAAAGCTGAAAATACAGCCGGAAAATTTCTTTAGACACTCTCACTTTCACTAAACTCTCGGCTAGCGACCTAGCGCCTTGGCTAATCCAGCGCAACCAAATAATCGTCCCATTTTTGTTCGACTTCACAATAGTTCCGCCTGGATTATTTTCAAGCTACAAATCGACTCACTGCAGAGGAAATTGTGTGGTAAGCTGTTTTCGTTTACTTAGAGGAAAATTGGGAAAATATTGAATGAAACAAAACATTTGGGAACTTAATTGTAAGTTTTGTAAAGCACCAATAGACCATTTCAACAGACAAAACAAAGTGACAAAATGAAAGGTCATCCAACCAGCACCTTTCTTCAAAATGTGTTTATTTAAAAAAATATTTACATAAAGCAAAATGCAACTTAATTTTGTTTCTTTAAGTAAATATATCGCACATCCTTCTTGTTATTAATGTATGCAACCAAATAAACTCTCAAGTCCATTCTCCTGTTAGAAGATACTAAACTTCTGCATTGTGATCTGCAGTATTTTTTGATGTCAACACATCCGAGGGATCAGGCAGACCTGGGGAACTGTGGGAATGTTTGGACCTTTTTCCTCTGTGGACCATTTCACCCCCATTCTCCCCTTCTTCTCGCTCCAGTCTGCCTCTTTTGACAAAATGGTTTATCCTGGACTCCAGGCTCTCGCAGCACGGACGCTCCAGCAGGGGTTTGTAGTTTCTCTGCCTGGTGCCTTCAACCAGCCAGCAGTGGTTCGAGGACGCTCCACCTGTAGATCAAGAGAGGGCAGTCATACACTCTGGATCATCAAGATCTTTGATGCAGGCCTAGACTACAAGACAATATAATCAGGAGGCATTACATTGGTATTGCAAAATGTTAGTAGTTACTTCTATCCAGACTACAAACATACTATGAACAGAAACCTGAGAGCTCCTGATGTAGAAACACTCCCAAACCCCAGATTCTCGAAACAGAGATTGGTTGACCTGATACTTTCAATGAAGTCTGGTGCCACATTTGACAAGACCTAAATTAATGTTTATTTTGAAACTCAGAAGACTAAAACTCAAAACTATAGAGGTTACTTAGAAGTCTACTGAATTGATGGCAAATCCTACCTATGGCCTCCAATCCCTGGATCATTCCCTGAAGGAGGTGAGCTTTGACTGCACTTTGAGTCCAGTGTTGTTGAAGAGTGGACAGGACTAGGTTGACCTCTTCATTCTCCTGTTGCCAGTTCAAACCTTCAAAGTGGCATTCATACAGTACCAGTGGATAGTCTACTGCCATGCTAGAGGGAAAAAGATGAATGTTAAATTATTTTTTAACTTTTATGTAAAAAAAGGATTAAAGGATAAATAAATTAAACTAAATATGGTGTTTTCAGTAAAATGACAGCGGTGGATGCACCTGTACTGTGGCTTTCTGGGGTTAGTCTGAACATCCAAGAGCTGATCAATTATCTCTGGGGCTTCAAGTTTCTGTCCTATCATGAGAAGCAGAGCCATCATGCACCGTACCTGCATCAAGAACACACAAAAAAGGAAACCTTATCCAACAAATATCTTAACTACTTACTACTTAGCATGAGGAAGAAATTAAACATAACAAATCATCCATCTGATTGGAATGAAAAAGCCTAATTCATCGGATAGGGTCTGTGTTTAGTGTCCTTTGATACCTGGTGGTATAGGAAGGCCAGTCCTTTAATCTCAAATATGAAGAGGTCATATTCATTTTCACCAGAGACATGCTGTGCAGGCTTCACCGATGCTGACAGGATGGTCCTTTCAAACTGCAGGACTCCGTTTCCCACATCCATTTTACAAATGTTGCGAAAGTCATGAGTCCCCTCATATCTGTTGAGTGTCACAGGTTTCTTTAAGTCAAAAACTGGAACATACATCAGTATAAGTAACTAAAAGTCTTAACTCACCTTTTTGCAGCATCTGCCATCAAAGCAACATCCAAGCATCCTCGGGGGAAGTAGTAACGATACGTCCGGGACTGACAGTCGAAGCGTGCGCTAAAGCCCTCTGCTACTGGTGCCCAGTCCAAGATCCTGATGTCCTGAGGCAGAACTCTGTTCAGCATCTTCACATATGGAAGCTCTGAGCCAGAAGTTTTATTTTTGGTGCTGACATCGACGTTTTCAGGGAGTGTGATACCCAGTCCTCCACAAAACTGTGTGGAGCGCAAATCAATGGTTATTACCTGTGGGGAGAAAGCACAAACAGTATGTAAACAAATGCAAACAAGTGTGATGTGCTTTTCTTTGTTCAGGACCATCAATGCAAGACTCTTGATTTTGCGGTCGATCTATGTGCCGACCCTCGCCTATGGTCATGAACTTTGGGTAATGACCGAACGAACGAGATTGCGGATACAAGCAGCCAAAATGGGTTTCATCCGCAGGGTGGCCGGGCTCAGCCTTAGAGATAGGGTAAAGAGCCCGGACACTCGGGAGGCGCTCAGAGTAGAGCCATTGCTCCTCCACATCGAGAGCAGACAGCTGAGGTGGCTCGGGCATCCTGTTAGAGGTGTTTCGGACATGTCCCACCGGGAGGAGACCTTGTGGCTGGCCCAGGACCAGGTGGAGGGATTATATCTCTCGTGTGGCGAATCCCCTTAGAGGAGCTGGTGAAAGTGGCTGGGATGAGGGCTGTCTGGGCTTCCCTCCTGAAGCTGCTGCCCCCGTGACCCGGACCCGGATAAGCGGAAGAAAACAAACCAACAAAGGACCATCTTCCTGCATATGACAACAATAAATACTCTCATTAATCTCTGTGAACTCACCTGAGAAAAGGCACTGACTCCTTTATCTGTGCGACCACACCGGTGATAGTTCGAGCTCTGTCTCTCCTGAATCAGACGTGTCTTAAGCAGAGCCTCAAAGAGTCTGGCCTCCACAGTGTTGTCTGTGTTCTCCTGGACAGCAAAGCCCTGGTATGCCCATCCGAGGTATGCCAGCCGCAAAGCCACATGTCGCCGAGGATGGGCCGAGAAGTCAAAAGGACGGTCTTTGGCTGCTTTCTTCCCCTTTTTGCTGTTGCTGATGCTGCTGGTGGTGTTACCATCGGGTAGACTTGACTTCAGGTGAGTGTCATCTCCAGCTTCACTGCTCTCTTTCAGTTGGGACTTGAGTTTTTCCAGCTCTGTTTCCAGCTGCTTTATACGCTGGATTAAAGCCTCAGACATGCTGCTTGATATGTGAACAAGAAGAAAAGAGGCTGTTAGAAAATGACAACTATTTATTTAACTAATTTACACTACTGTTTTCTTTTCTTTTATCTTTTCTGGTAAATTCAAAGTTATTTCAGTCAACAACGCTCAGTCCCTCAGGTATGTGGACTCTGAAGTACATGTTTCCAAGCTAAATGCTACAAACACACTCGTGTTAGCTTACACAGCATAGCAATATCAAACCGTTTGAGGTACTCAATAAAATACTAACAAAACAGTTTCTTAAACCTTAACTTTAGACTCAATTTTGCTGATAAAATGTTACTTGCAACGAGTTTTTGAATCGCTAAAACGCACGTTACCTTCCAGTGTTGCTCGAGCCGGACAACTTTCGGTCACGGGCTCATTTCCTGTTTAGGGTTGCTGGGAAATGTAGTTCATTCACTGTTTAGCTAGCTGCAATTGAATTTTTAAAAACCCATAATGATTTATGAGAGAAATGTATTACAGTACATTACTAAACACAATGCAGTATATTATAAAACATATTTTTTCTTACCTCCATCCATAGACTGGAGGATAATTTCACATTTTCAGTCCTGGGATTTGGCCCAGAGTCAATCTGTTTGCCTAACTGGCCTAAAACTTGACGAGGTGCACAACCTTTGGGCACTTCAGAGACAAACTTAAGAAATTTGGAGCCATATAGTGTTGTGTAAACGTATTATCCTCTGTAAACTGAACTCAACAGCACCCATGTTGTCTTTTATTTCTTAATTCTTTTGATTTTCTGTAAGTAAATTTTGACAAATTTTTACACAATGAGGCTAAAACTTATTGATTACTGGTCACTTGAGAATTGCCTCATCCAGATCTTTTGAAAAGTCCTGAAATTTTACTTTTCGACTCCAAAGTTCTGCGCAACCAGGTTAAAATGCTCATCTTAGCTTGTTACAAAAATGTTCTTGGTCTGATAACCCTTTTTTTTTCTGCTTTAACACTGTAAGGGTCAGTTTTTTACAACTCATTATGTACAAGTTTTAGCTTGCTTGGCATAGGAAGGGGTGTAGCTGACTTCAGATGTAATTGTACTGTTAGCCAGGAGGAATAAAGGCTCACCTCCACTTTGTCTCTTAGGTTGAGTTGGTATTTCCAGTATGGCAACCACAGTCATTGAGCTCCATGACTCAATTCCGCAAACCAGTGGGTGGCATCATTGAGACCTTATCTGAAGTGATTAAACCACACAGTCCCTTTACCAGAAGTCATCACTAATTTATTGAAGATACAGATAGTGTGCGTGAAACTTAAACCAAATATCCAAAGAAATCATTTGTCAGATCACCTCGGGTAATCATGTTGTCGTGGTAACATATCAGTGGCATGATCATACACACAACACATCTGATCAGAAATATGAACCAGAGACAGTTGGAAAACAACACAGACGAACAAAACCAGAACAAGTAAACAAAACAAATCAAATATGAGTATGAAGGAAAAACATTAGCGATGTGGAAAGTCCATTGTGTATGGGCACCATGACTCATCAGCTGAGGCTTTCATAGCTTTGTCCTCTCACATCCAGACAGAAGCACATCCAGACTGATAGCTCAAAAACCTGCAACAGTTCAGCTGCAAAAGGTTATAAGTTACTGGCAGCAAATGAACTTACATTCGGGTGAAGAAGGTTATTTTCTTCTCTCCATGAATTGTAATTAATTCTGGACTTTGCAACCGCAGGCAAACAGAAGGAGATAGGTTTTTATCATCATTCATGCATCCTCTGCTTGCTTTTCAAATGTCTGCCCTAACATTTGCCAGAGTTCATATTTTCTTATGCAAATTTCAGGAAATATTTTTCAACTAAACTGCCAAATCATGCAGGAAAAAGTGTGATTTTCATTATTTTAGAAGGTATGTTTATACATTCATGCCATTTCTGTTTTATCAGAGCATTCAGAAGAAACAAAAGGCCTTGTTGCCAGGAGCAACACATGGAAATTAGCCATTTGGTTATCTCTGACTCATTTAGCTCTTTTCAGTTATTGTCAATGTGCGTGAATATAATTTCAAATTGTAAACATAAGCATTATTTCATGATTGTTCAGATTGTGACAGATTGCACCTGTATCTGATTTAGGTCCATGAATAACAGTGGCCTGATCGGAGTTTAAAGATTAGATTTCATTGGCTATTCCATTTAGACTGTCATGAAAGTGAGATCTGAGTCACATATGAGCGAAAAAAAAAAAAAGATTAGACCTGGACTATATTAGCTCAGATGGAAGAGCAAGAAGCCCGTAAACCAAAGCCAGAGTTCCCAACATTCTTGTTGTGTATACAACTCTTGACAGACGTAGTTGATGCAAGCCTTCCCCACTCTCTTGTTTCCACATTTACCATCTTTTTTTTACATCCCAAAAATGTATTTTTACTTCAATTCAATTGTGTTTTTTAATCTTTAAGATGGCCTAAAAGGGATCAAAAAATTTGTCTTTCACTGTGTCATATGTAAGATGAACTTTGTCCCTTCTGTTGCAACAAAATACTAATTAAGATAAACATAAATTATAAACCTGGTAAAGTATCTCTAATGTCTGTTCCAAATATTTATTTACCCACAGAAATCTACCCCAATATTCTTCCACAGGCACGCTTTTAATAAAATCTATTGGGAAATGGGAATCTAATTATTGGACGAATCATTACACAAGTCATTATAGAAGAGTGAATGGCCTGACATGACCGATTACCCTGACTGCAATGAGGACTATGGTGCTTTTCACCTCAAAAATGCTCGAACCATTAGGCCAACTGGAGCCTCTCAGTGTATTACAATTCAAGTGTTAGTCCTACTCTATCACATTTTGTGTGTAACTTGACTCTGCAACAATGAAGCAAAACCACAGGAGGAGGTGCAATTGCTCAAAAAGTGGGAGTGGGATTAATTTTTCATGCTGATGGAAATCAATCCTGTCATTACATCATCACAGGAGTCGATTCGTAATGCCACGTAGAAGCTTATTTCTCCAGTTTGATAGGAGATTTCTAAAGAATACTGATGAATCACAGATGTATCCTCTGAGAGCGCCTGTTTTTGAATGAGTTGTCAGCATTGAAATTAGGAAGTCAGTTTCAACTGTGATAATAACCCCTCATGAAAATAATGTATTAAAAGATTAGAAAGTCCATGATTGGCATTTGTCTGGCAGAGTTTGGACTTAACCTCGGGTTGTCTGAAAAAGGTGACTGAGATTGGCGACAGTGGGCTGCAGCTTGGCTGAGGTCTGACTGGACCCTGGAGCTAAAGGAGAAAGGTGAGAGGAACTCACTTTGTGTTTTACCAAGTAATCTCAGGGTGCTTCTCCAGCTGGCTTTGAGATTTCAAAATAAAAGCATAACCTTTTGTAATTAATTGGAGACAGTTCTAAATCACAGCTATGGTAACGTACTCTTATTATAAATGTAAGGAAACAAAGGACTATCATGAAATTTGCAAAAGACAAGGAAACTTCCCCTTTTTCAAAGAAATTTAGAGAAATCCATGAATTTATTGTTTGTACTGTCACAGCTTTGTCTGAGTGCTGGAACTTCTTTCAGGCTTCCTCCATCTGTTTGAGGTCTGAGAACTTCCCCAGAGCTCTTGGCCCAGCATTTGGAGCGGAGCTGTAGGAAGCCTGACCCGACTCCACGGACTGGAAGAGGACCGAGGCCTCTGGCTGCAGCACAATTATCTTTGTCACAGTAGAGTGAGCGGCTGGGCTGCTGGTGAGGCACTGCCAGTGTCTCCTCACATCTCTTTCAGCTCTCTCAGAGCCCAAGCCAGAGTGCATGAGGCTGTGAAGGACCATGCTGCTTTGCAATTTCTGTAGACTGAGTCACAAACAGGTTTTCCCTCCAAAAGCTACGATTTCGTTGTTGTTGTTGTTGTTGAGAAATTACAAAGAGCATTTTTGGATGCTCGAAGTCTAGTCACCAGTCTTAAAAGAGAGGAGCCTGTTTTGACTTGCTGAACTTTTAACCGAGTGCTTAAGGCCCTCACTGATCTTCATCTGCTGTGTGGATGTGTCTATCGGTTGACAGTTGGAACTATTTCTGCACAGCCACAGGAGGGCCCTGTTTCACTCTGTTTCAATGAAAACCTGAAACCTCTATCAGCTGGTCACAGCTTTCAGCATCATTAACATCTGGGCTGGAGTGGTGAAGTAGTGTTTGCAGAAGTTTATGGGAACAGGATAACACAGAGTCTGCATGTCTTTGAAGGGCTTCTTGGGAACAGGAAGTACAACGATTACCATAGTTGGCGTGCTTTGGCGTCAAGTCCCTCTCTCTGCTTTTCCTGTTTGGAATTCCTCAAGGCTTTGTCAAAACCTTGTATGATTTCCTTCTGATAAGGAAAACTGACGGGGAAAGAGGTGGGGTGGTGATGCTGTGCCATTTACTCTGTAGAATATAAACACTGGGGTGCAAAAACAGCATTATTGTAAAGAAGATAGTCCATGTATGGATGGCAAAACAGCTGAATGCACTGGAGGCAATTAGAAAAAGCTGTAGCATCTTTTTACCTTATATGGCGCTTTCCAAAACTTAGTATGGCTTGTGGTCCACATTTTCAGCATTAAAGTCACAAGCTTTGATGTTTTGATGGTTTGGCTAATAATAAGAAACTAGCCATCCTCCTGAGGAAAGAAAGAGAGAGTCAAAGTCAAAGGTTTTTATTAGTATCATATTAGTACAATCCCAATAGATAAAAAAAAAATGTGGGATTCTAATAAGAAAATGAATCAATAAAACCCTGTATTTGAATGAAAATAGTTCACACAAAAACATATCTTATGCTTTTCCTATCATCAGGGATGCTGGCTTTTCAACTGTGCTGTGATAACAAACTGGGTAATTCCTCCCATCGTTCCAGCAGAGAAAGTTGCGTTCATGATTTCCAAAAAGCCTGTCAAGTTTTGATTCATTAGACTCCAGCACAGTTTTCTGCTTCACTTCAGTTTATGTTAAATGTACTCAGCTTAGAAAAGTCTGCAGTGTTACTAGATTGTGTAAACATATGGTGTCATCGTTGCATGTTACAGTTTTCACCTGCATCTGTGTTTGCAGCGATGCACAGATGACAGTTTTTGGACATGGTTTCAAAGTCATGCAGTGAAATCTCCAGATTTCTGCATCTTCTAACAGTGTTTTACGCTGTAGGTGATGAAATCTCTGAGCGCTTTACTATTTTACACTGAGGAACATTCAGTCTGAAATCATTGAACTATTTTTTGTACTTTTTCCTGCCAAATATCAGAATCAAAATGTCTGTTTTGTCAAAAAAAGGAGAAGATACCGCCTATCTTCAAACTACAAATGTTTCTGACATTTTCTTTTACCTGAATCATGTTCTTGCTACATCCCTTTTTCTGTTGGAGGCAACTTTTTGAAACTGTTCATGTGTGTGTAACCAACACCCCCAACTTTTTTCCTATATATGGACAGCACAGAGCACAGAAGTGGGTAGAATGAGAACAGTTAAGCTGTACTTGATGCACGGACCATCGATCAAGTTGCTTTTATCACCAGGGGACATAATTTATGTGCCTCTCACCATGTGGAACTACTTACGCATTCCCCTTCATGTAACTCCTTCCTTACATTCTTTCTCTGACCAACTCTGTGTGAAATGTGTCCATGTAAAACCACAACATATAAACTCATTTATTAGATGGAAAACTATTACACAACAATTGTTATTGAATTTACAATAGGAGCTTACTTCAGAGGAATAATTGGGTTTTTATCAAAGTAACTTTTCAGCTCAAATGCTTCCTGATGCTGATACGTATTTCTTTGCTTACGTTTGTAACTATATACATTTTTATGGTTTAATAGCAGTAGGTGCTATATTTTAGAGACAAACAAATGTAGAGTACAATGCCTTTTTTTTTACTTGGGCTTGGTTTAACTTAATCTTACTGGGCTCTACTAAGCGGGGGTATGTCCGGAAGGGTCCCATGACTGGCTATTTGGGCAAAAATTATTTATCTGGATAATGATGCGATAGGTGTCCAGTAGTTTTCTTTACATGTTTAGCATGGTTGTTGTTGTTATTTTCAAGGAAGCTGCACATGGCTATGATGTTATAAGCGTGAGCCGACGTGAGCCAGGACGTCACAGGTTTGACTGTTTTCAGCGTTTTTGTACTTTAGACGAAAGCGGGACTAGCAGAGCGTTTACAACATTTCCACTCTGGAGAGGGTTTTCACTTTGTTACGTTTTCATCTCCTGAAAACGCAGTTGCCGTCTAAACGGACTCCCCTAAACGAAACGAAATTTTTCCGTTTTCTATGGAGACCGTTTCCGTCTAAAAGTGTCCTTTATGCCCGTGTTAGTTTTGTCCAGTGTGGACAAATTGATCCCCGGCATGTCTTTGTTAACCTTTCCCTGTACATTTGTGTTTTGTCTTTTGTAACAGTCATATGTATCCCTCATAGACAGTCTTCACTGCAGAAGCTCTGAACAAAAGCTGATAGTGCAGGACATAAATAAGGACCTATCTTACACTTACCCTTCTGCAGAGTTTTGGGATATTAAAAATAGCTATATAAATCTGATCAATCTTTATGCTGGTTGACTTCTTTGCTTTTTAGGGCCATAAAAAAGCTTAAGTGTTATTTCTTGTCCATTTCATGACAAGTTCAAAACTCCTTACAGGAGCTTTAACTGAAGATGAAGTTCACACGCAGACATCTGTGATTCAGTACAATTACAGGCAGGTCTGTCTAGTAATGCCTTCGCTCTGTTGTCTGTATGCCTTGCATGCAGCAAACGCTGTCTGTGGATCTGTGTTTACATGTGAAATTTCTAAAAATGGATATTAATTTTCTTGTGTGAAAGCCTGTGTTTGCTCCAGGCGAGGAAGGGCAAGTTTGTTTATGAAGCACATTTCTGCAACAAGGACATTTGAAGTACTTTAGATAAGCAAAAGCAAAACAAACAGCAAACCAAAATATAACGAAAAAGCATGATAAGGATTAAGACAGGAAATAAAACATCTTGAACTGAGGCTTAGAAAAAAAAGCAATTGAAACCATAACAGAAATAGTGAAGTGATAAAAAGCTAAAGTAGCCATGATAAAACTTGTCACAAAATAATCAGATATAGGTCTTCGGCCCTGATTTTACAAACTAAAAAATTCAGCAGACCTGTTGTTTTCTTCAATATATGAAGTACAGAAAGTGACCGCTTCTTTTCCATGTTTGGTTCTGACTCTGGGACAGAAAGCAGACCTGACCCAGACAACTGGAGTGGTCTGGATGGTTTGTGGAGAATATCACGTATATGCTTTGGCCCCAAAATATTCAGCTCCTTAGAAACTGGCAAAAGTATTTCAGAAATTACTCTCTGACGGACAGGGAGCCTTCGTAAGTACTTCAGAGCCAATGTGATCCACTCTCTTGGTTTCGATGAGAACTTCAGCAGCAATGCTCTGAATCAGCTGCAGTTGTTTGTTTGACTTTTTGAGAAACTTGTTGATACTGTAATCAAGTTGAATGATGATAACGCAGAGCATGAGCTTTGAGTCCTTTTAAGTTCATTTATTCTTGATTTCTAATGATACTCATATGCCAGCATTAAGGGCCTCACTTTGTTTTTTAGGATCCCACGACTGGAGTCCAAGACTACACTCAAAACTCTGGCTCGATCTGTGATTTTCCACTGGAATTGCCTGAAGCTTTGAAGGCACAGGTTTGCTCGCTGAAAGATGTGCTACACTGATCAGTCATAACATCATGGCCATCTGCCTTATATCTTGTGTGGACTGTGTCTGGATGAGACTCCACCAGACCTGTAAGGATGTGTTATGGTATCTGGCGTCAAGATGTCGGCAGCAGATCATCGAAGGTAAAAATCATGGATGCATTGCAATGACGCGAGGTAGTAAACAAAACCTTGAGAGACAAAGAAAGGATGTAAAAAGATGAAACTTTCCTATCCAACAAATAAACAATACAGAGTTGTAAGATCCAGTTAGCCTCTTGTGAACCCATTTCTGTGGCAATTTGCATCTTTTAATTCATTCATTTGAGAGTTGGGGAGTGATTTTTTTGTTGTGTCTTCCCCTTGTTTCTCACTCTGGCTCCTCTGGCATGTGCGCACCTGCACCTCATCTCTAATCACAGCTCCCACTTAAGCACTGCTGAGAGGCTCTTCAGCGTCAGATGATTCCAGCTTCTTTGGGGTATCAGACCGACTGACATGAGAGTCTAAAGTTTGTATAAAATCGCTATTTTTGTGAATTACCTTTTGCTTACCCCGCTCTCCTTTTTTCTCCTCCACGAGCCCATTCTGCTGAGCCTCAACCTCTGCCACGCTGCCAACACTCTCGCACCGGATCACTCTCTCACCTCAGAGCCTCCTCACACCCCGGACCTTAGATCACTTCCCTACCTTCACCACCACAAACAATAAACCTTTCAAAACTTCCTCTGCATCCGATCTGCTCTTGGGTTCAGCTTTAAAAACACCAATTAGGGAATCGTTACAATTTCAGCTGATTTGATTATAAAGCTGATTGGGGGCGTGTTCTGTGAAATCGCCTAGTAGAGCTTTATGGTAGGTTGACCTGCAGTTAGGCCCATGTTGTCTAACAGCCATCTCTGAATAATGGATCCAACAGTTTTGTTCTTGCAGGGCATGGACCAACACTGATGGTAGGATAAACAAACATTGTGGACCTCCATCTAACTTTGTGCCTCCCTTTAACTGTTGTCGTGTTTGTTGTGCACATTTTTTCCACATGACAGTTCGTAGAGTGTGTGCTCAGCTGTCCTCACACAACAGCAGAGCTGATTGTTAATACTGAACATGTTTCATATTTACAATTTCAAATAGGTGTGGCTTCAATCACAGTTCAGGGGGAGTGAAACCACACTCACAACTCAAATCTGGCACAATAAGCTTTAGAGGAACCATCATCAAGCCTAGAGGGGGGAAATCAGGCTTCATAGTCTTGGAGGGTGTGCCCAACTTCAGTTACCAACTTATTGGAGATGCAAGCAAGCTACCTGCAGCAATCAGTCTTAGTAAGTTAGATGTGAGCTGCAGTGAGCATCCGGGTTTTTTCCACCCGTTTTCAAGGTGTTGCAGCAATCCTCTAATATTTCAGTAAATAAATAACTGAAGTCAGATTTAGATCTTCTTTTCTTTTCTGTTGTTTCATCCATGCTGGAATTATCAGGTGAATAGGAAACCTGCAGACCCTCTGCAAGGGTGAGTGTTTTCAAAAAGCTAAATGACCCTACTTTTAGTGAAACTGCTCTCCAACTTTTGAGGCCAATCCACTAGCCTCTAAGCGAGGGTAGATGAAACTTCACTGGACAATCATTTAACAAAAGATAAACCAGAGCACACCTAAAAGACACACCCAACCAGTAGCATTCACATATCAAAAGAATTAAAGGTGTCATTTACAAGTGAGGTCCGCTGCTGGTCACATGGTCCCTCTTCTCCGGTTTCATTCAAAGAAACTTTACCCCGGAAGTCCAACCTTTGAAAAAGAAAAAAAAAAAAAAAAAAACACTTCAATGATTTGTCCTTACACATGTTTGGTAATGAACACACACACAAAGCTGCCATACTGGCTTTTCTTGATTCCTGCTGTGACTCTGGCAGTGAGGATCAACCTACGTTTGGCTGAGCGTCAAAAGGGGAATACTTGTTTGTGAGGATAAAATGACTCAAAGGAGCTGACAGTGGGAATTATGTTCTGAAAGTGGAAAGACAGACAGGTAAAGTGTGTTTTAAATCTTTTTTTGTGTGCTTCTTTTATCTCTATCCACCTTATTCCTCTCTGTTTCTCTTCAGCTTGGATGTTTTGTCTCGCCCACATGTTTCCAACTGTCTCTTTTGTCTTCTATCGCATGCGTTTCTGTGTCTCCCCCCTCTGTTCTGAGCATAGTGGGACAAAGGGAGCTGGATATGTGTGTTTTTAATTGGCCTTCCGATAAAGCTGCCTGTTTCCTGTGTACGGTGGGGCCGTGAGTGGGCTGTGATTTGTAGGGGCAGTCTGGAAGTAGAGGCTCCTCCTGTCAGCATCTGTGAGGAGCTTCATGCTTGTAAAACTGAATACAAAACAAACCACAACCAAGAAGACGGACTGATGAGTGCTTATCTCAAACTTTAATTTAACTCTTTAAGGATGGACAAGGATGGCGAGAAGCAGAAGACTTTTGTATCAACTTTCCGTTTGGCCCTCAAGCCTCAAACTCAACTGCTCTGTGTGAAGAAGCAGAAGGAGGATGGAGTGGACACTCCTGACAGGACGTTACTGGGAAACAACAAACAGGGAGTCTTATCAGCAACAGGTAAACAGGCAGTACGCTGATTTTTGGACTTTTTATTAGCGTGTTTTAATTTTTAGAGTAAACAAACTCACCTCATCTAACATTCAGTTTAGAAATGACCTAATTTGATCCTATCAACCAGGGATTTTTGCATTTTGTAGTAGGTATTATACAGCTGTCTCCTATGAGGCTTGGCAGACTTTACTGTAGGTGCAACTCCCTGTTAAACTCTATTATTATGTGTGCTGTCAGAAATGTCCTCAAGCACTAACGATACTATGGCATGGCATGCAGTGTGCTCCTTTTTTTCTTTTCTTTTTTTCACCTAATGCACACACACACACACACACACACACACACACACACACACACACACACACACACACACACACACACACACACACACACACACTAACACACTCACTCAGACTGATGGCATTCCTACATTCACTGCTGACCACCCATCACCCACCCTGCCGGACATTCCAGCGCTAACAAACACATGTGCAAACACACATGTGTGTGTCGGCGAGGGGGTGGGGATCTTGTAAACATCATGTCACAATCCTCAAAACGCACAACTGGAACACACTCCAGTGGATACAACAAAGAGTGACTGATTGACTCAATACAACACATACGTACATCTTTTCTACTGTCCCTTTTTCTACTGACACATCCTTTGACAGTATTTAACCTACTCAAATCTTAAAGCATATCCACTGTATAATTCAAAGTATTGGGTACACATACTAAAAAACTCTTTGGTTGGACCTCTGCCGGCACAAATCATGTTGGCAGCAGGTTAGCTGTATTGATTATTAAATAAATCAGGTTACAAGAAATGCTAACTCTTGTATCATCACCCTTTTTGTGCCTTTACCTGTTCAACGCCCCCTCTCTCTCTCTTCAGCTTGTTATGTGTAAACTGTAAACCCGCTTATGTACACAAGGTTGTTTCCTGATAAGACCAACTTCTGAAACCCTCAAAGATGGAAACATGTACACAGTAGGGGTCAAAATTCATAGTCTTGCTGATCAGAAAATATAAGAATATGTAGGATATAAAACACAAATTTCTTCCTTACTCAGTGTTTGTCTGTTCTACTGGTACTTTATATGTCATTAAGGTGGATAAGTTATGTAAATGAAACTGCCAGGTTCTGCTCCTCAAGTCCCTGGTCCATTAATAAGTTCCTTCCCCTGAGCAGGGGCTTTTTAAGGGGTAGATCTTTTACCCCAGAACTAAAGTTAGACCCGAGTACCTGCAGTCAAAACGAGCACAGACAGTTCCTTAAAAGTTCCTGCAGCCAAAGAGCACCTATAGTGCCTTTCAAGAACAAGCCAATTATAAGCAGAGATTAGGAGCGGCTGTTTTGCGACATAGCATTAGCAATGGGTGATAACAGATGGATGGAAATGTGGCATGTTAGCTACAGTCGACTATTTTTAGAGTTTGTGTTGATCTATTTCCTGCAATGGGTGCTTATTGTTGCAACAAGTCTTGTTTCTATGCTAAACAGCCATCCCTTAGCTTTGAGAATAACTGAGGGCATCCAAGCTAGTTTTTTTATGCTAACTGCTAACTCTAAAATAGCTAGCTATAAACCTTTCACTCTTTATGTGACTTGACTTCGTCTACACATCTACCTACAAACTACAGATTCATACAATTTGTTCAACTACACAGTAGGTTATTTACGAGTTCATGAACTGCATTATTTCCTGGGCAGAAAGGCATGTAAAGCGGTTTTGCATGACACATCAGTGCCTCTGAAATATTAGCTTGTGATTAATTATCTAATGAAGAGTATCCGCCCTTATTGGTCTGCGGTGTTGAAAACAATGGTGAAAACTCTCTGCATTCCAGCGAAACATTAACAAAAAAAATTGCCTATTGTCCCTCTTCTCCCCTTCTGTTCAGACGCCAGATTGAAACCCGTCCAGACGCTGGACAAAGCTCACTTCAAACAAGCACTCAGCGACCGAACACTCTGTAAAGGAAGGGATGCCACTCTTCAAGGTGTTATCACTGGAAGTCAGCCTGTGAGCGTTTCCTGGCAACACAATGGTAAATGACTGATTACTATACATTCAAAGTACGATTTAAATACCTCCAACCTACTTTCCATTAAGAGCCATGAAACCTTGCTTGAATATATGCGAACTAAAGCTCCATAAGTGAAAACAGTCTGAATACTTCCATAGAGGAGAATGCTACTGATAAATAGTCAAACAGGGAGAACCATGACAGGTTTAACCTTACTTCATATCGAACGTATATATAGATCAGTGTGCATTAAACCTGCTTTACTGTTTTCAATCCAACAGCAGCAAAGGAAATCCCCAAAGAGAGCAACCATGAAGGGCACAGTGGAGACGCAGTTAAGGCTGCGTCATCTAAAAACAAGAACTCTTCAGCGTTTGAAGGGAAAACACGGAAAAGAGAAGAAAATAACAAAGGTTGATCAGACTTTCTTAGAGTTTTGACATTTCTTGTAGTTCTGTTTTTCTCGTTTTTCTTCAAATGCAGTCTTTTTGCATGCCACTGCAACCCAACTTGAATGCTCTCGTCTGATTGGTTGGACTCTTTTCAATTTTGCTAATTGCAGCACACACACCTGTTAGTCCACCTGCATCCACAGTCTCCCCAGACATCAGTGATACTAGTCCTGACAGAAAAGACTCCACAAGCAAAGGTAGGTCATAAGAAACTGACATAATAGCTTCTGAAACAATAGTTTCTGACTCTTCAGGTGTGGTTTACTGATTCACATCACTCTGCTTCATCTCAGTACCTCCGGTAGAGTTTGTGGACCCACTTGAGCAGGTAGAGGTTCATGTAGGAGAGCAGGCCTGGCTACACTGTGAGTTCAGGAGCAGCTCTGTCCCTGTGGCTTGCTGCTGGATTTTCAACAAAGACAAGGTTAAAAACAACAGAGCCCTTCTTGTTTTTACTATTTTTGGATGTATTAATTTTATCCTAACCCAGCGACTGGAAGAATTGTGTCCTTGTTTGCTCTTCAGGTGTTGGTAGGAGGGCCGAGAATGTCTGTGAAGAGCAGTGAGACACAAAGCAGTGTGAAGTTTTCAAAGGCCTGTTCAGAGGACACGGGCTCGTACACTATCATAGTGCGGAACAGAAAAGGCTCTGCCCAACATACTGTGTCCCTCAGCGTCGTAGGTGAGCACCACTTAAGTCTGCTATCCATTATTTTGATATATTGAATTTTTAAAGTGACTTCTGTGAAAACGACAGTATTTTGTTCACAAATTTCTCCCCAGACCGGCCAGACCCTCCTGCATCTCATCCTGTTGTTTCCCAGCTGTCCAAACAGTCCCTGGTGCTGTCCTGGACAGGTCCCAGCTATGACGGAGGCACTGCTGTATTAGGCTACATAGTGGAGGTCAGACCAGAGAAAGGCCCAGCCGAGCATGGGAGCTGGACTGAAATCGCGAGCCGCTGTAAGAGCACATCTTACCACGTCCGCTCAGGCCTGGAGCCTCAGGGTCAGTATCGCTTTCGTGTCAGAGCGTACAACTCGGCAGGGGTCAGCGAGCCAAGCCAGGAGTCTGAGTGTGTCAGGATGGCAAGTGCGAGTAAGTGATCTGAGGAAAGGTTTCAGGGGTTTTCAGGTGTCTTTCAGTGCCATGTACTTACTCCTCAACTTTATGTGTTTGAAGAGCCAAAGAAGGAAGAGCCTGAGCAGTACGTCACTGTGACCATTGACACCAAACACAAGGTCAAGGATCATTACAGTGTGCATGAGAAGCTGGGAGTGTAAGTATGGGTTCATTATATTTCAAAGATGGATGAAACTTTAAATCAAGATTATTTTTATGAGTCTCTTATTTGTTTGTCTGGATCGAATGTTGCAGTGGGAAGTTTGGTGAGGTGTTCCGGATGGTGCACAAAGAGACGCGTCAGGAGTGCGCTGGGAAGTTTTATCGAGCCCGGACTTCGAAGGAGAGAGAAGCAGCTCGCAAAGAGATCCAACTTATGAACTGCCTTCACCACCCAAAGCTGGTCCAGTGTTTGGCTGCATATGACACACGCCCAGAGATGGTCATGATCATGGAGTAGTGAGTAAAGCTTTAATTTAATTATATTTGGTCTTTGTTTTTGGAGATGAAGCTGAAGATACTAAAAAGGTGTCGCACGTTTCTTTAAAGCCCTTTTGAGGAGAATTTAACTGGTTTTGAAATGGACTGAAATAAGAAGCGATGCCTCTTTTTAAACATCCAAAATCAAACACCACCATCAGTGGCAATTAGAGCAAAAATAAGGGAAGATATTAGATGTAATGATTTGCACCTAGGGGGCACCAAAGTCAACCATTAACAATGTTCACCAGTATTTTATGGTGATAATAAACTAATATTCCTGGCCCAGATGGGGAAATCGGATTTTATTAAAGTTGTTCAATATGTGAAGAGGGGCTTTATTAGTGTTGTTTCTATGCCCAGTATTGCAGGTGGGGAGCTCTTTGAACGCATCGTTGATGACAACTTTGAGCACACTGAGCCCACCAGTGCCCGCTACATGCAGCAGATCCTGGAGGGCATGCAGTACGTTCACAAGCAGAATATCGTCCACCTGGACCTCAAACCAGAGAACATAGTCTGCGTGGACACAACTGGCACAAGGATCAAGATCATTGACTTTGGCTTGGCCAGTAAACTGGGTGAGTTTGCTGGATTTGAGGAAACAGTCACATCGTGATCTCAGTAGGAACCCTCAGTGGGACTTAAATTTAACTTTTATGGTCGCCCACAAGGGAGGCCGAATAATGCTCCCTGTGTGCATTGAAATGAATGATATATCCTGTGAGTTTTCTCGAAAAGTCACAATACAGGGAAATCTAACAGTCCTTAAAAGGGAGGAGTCGATGCATTTGTACCAAATATGGGAAATGAAATGTTTTCTCTTATGGTTCACATAGTCACAAAACATCCCTGCTGTGTAAAACTTTTAGGTAATAGACATGCATTAGCTTACTTTGCTGCGCTCTCAGCTAGTTAAAATCATAGTGTTTCTCCTATATTCCTAGATATCAACCCATTACATAATAAGTCCCTAAAAAGAAAACAACCTCAACTCCATATATGCGGTAAACCCCATGAAGCCAACTCAGGCAGAAAATTTGGTGACGCTCCAAAGGCAGCGACTCAAAACTTGGTGGTCTATTTAGAGAAGCCTAAAGCTGTCTGGAAACAGACTAACACAAACAGACACAAACAAAACATTCAGAGGGACATTCTGAATTTTCTGAGTCTGTTTTTTTTTCCTGTGTTTTCGCTTTCTTCAGAGGAGGGTAAACCTCTGATGGTGATGCACGGCACGCCAGAGTTTGTGGCCCCTGAAGTGATCAACTATGAGCCTGTGGGCTTGGAGACGGACATGTGGAGCATCGGGGTCATCTGCTTTATCTTGTAAGTGGCACAAAGGGTTTGGTCATTTAAAGTGTAACCACAGAAACATGTTTAAAAAGAAAAAAAAAAGAGAGCCAAAATTCCAAGTACATTGGTGTTTATAGTTTATCTTTTGCCAATAGGAAAATTATAAAAAATTTATGTAAAAGATCCTGAAAGCCAAAGGAATACTATCTTGCATTATTCCACTCAAGGAGATTTTAAATTAAAATTAAAGTGTAGTTTAAGTAGTCTGGTCCACAAATGCAGATTTAGTGCCATCTCCTGGCATAATGGTGTTACTACAGCCCCTAAACATAGCACCTGTACCAAAGACTAGTTCTTCCAATGCACATATAGTTTAAACATAACATAGATGGGGGAAATATGCATAATATTGTTGCATCTGGATGAACAACAGGTTATTTGGGCTGATAGGAACATCAATTGGCATTTTTTTTGTGTGTCCAGGCTCAGTGGAGAATCACCTTTCCAGGGAAACAGTGATGCGGAGACTTTGGCTCTTGTGACCGCCGCACGCTACGAGTTTGATCAGGAGAGTTTTGATGACATCTCTGATCAAGCTAAAGACTTCATCAGCTCCATGCTGAAGAAAGACAGGAGGTTGTTCAAGTTTCTTCTATCTCTTCTTTTTTAATGAAAATTCCCACAATGTTTGACATGAGGACCACTATGTGGGAAAAAAACACAGCTAGATCTAGCACCAGTGAAATAAGCACTGGAGAAATAGATGAGGGTGCATTCATTATCTCTAGTTGATAATGTCACGTTAGGAGTTACTCATTTCTTGTGACATTTCAAACCACTTACAGGTAATTTGCATCTTGCCAAACCATTAGGTAAGCTTTTCAAGTGAGTCAAGGAGAGTTTAATTTATGTACCAGATAATCCAGATTCATCACAGTAAACCCGGAAGACGGCTGTCAGGATCTGACTCCTTCTCTATTCACATGCACTCTAGATGCAGGTTGTCATCTACTGAGGCCCTCGCCCACCCTTGGATGGTCTCTTTTACCCCTCTGAGCCGGAGACCCACTAAGTCCCTCAACAAGGGGAAGATGAAACACTTCCTAGCCAGACGCAAATGGAAGGTAACGCATGAGAAATGACCACAGCGGCCGGCTTAGAATATGCCAGATGTACAGTTTCCTTATCAGTCTTTGCCTATGTCTTTTATCCTACATTGACCTGAAGCTTGGCTATGAGTACATCTTGTCATCCAGTGCCATTTGTCCTTTTAACTTCTAGAAAACTGGAAAGGCTGTTTTGGCCCTACAGCGGATGGCTAACCTCTCTAACAGGCCAGACTCCCCTGGCAGCTCCTTAGAGGGTGAGACAGATAAAAAGACTCACATATTCATGCATATGCAATGTCCTCTAAAGTCCTACAGCTATGTACATATGGCAGATGACTCACACTTTGAGATTGTCATTTCAAGTTTAACGTTTTGTGATCAGTAAAGCCTTGTTTCCCTTTATCCCTCTCTATCTTCCCTCTCATCCAGAGCCAGGCTGGAGCCAAGAGGCAGAGGAGGCCATCCGGTCACTGGAGAAGCAGCTACAGAGTGAACCCCGCTTCCAGCAGGCCCTGAAGGACATTACCCTTCCCAAAGGAGCGTCTACTCAGCTTACATGTATTGTCAATGGTAGGGCGACAGAACTGTGGCACACTTCATCAAATAATGTAACACTAAGGCCTGAAGCTAAAAATGATAACTGTTTGAAATGTTCTTGTTAAAGAGAGCTAAACACATTGAATCACCATAATTCATATGATTGAATATACAATGACTCAGAAACCATGTATTTGAAATTATATCTAAGGCAGATTCATCGAGGTAAACACCAAAGTCTCCTACTTTTTTGTAGCTTTCCAGTTAATGAAATCTATCTATTTTACAAGCACCACTTGAATTATTTTTTTCTATGTGCTTCTTTGTTTTGCATTTTTTTCTTACACACGAAAAGTTAACTGGTCGCTTAGCAACTCTGTGGGGAGCGTTAGCAGTATTTCTGGTGTTAGCTTGTAGATTAAGCTAACTAGCTGGTGTTCACTGTGGTTTGTAATGTTGGTATACTTTCTTTAAAGACAGCCTACTAGTGTTGCATCAAATTCAAGGGTGTTTTCACGAAATAATTCATATTATTGAGTATACTATATACAATTCATATTATTGAATATACAATGACTCAGAAACCATGTATTTGAAATGATATTTAGGCAGACTCATCAAGGTAAACACTAGTCTCCTCGACTTTTTTGTAGCTTTCCAGTTAACGAAATCTATCCATAAGTTTAAAAAGCTGTATTTTACAAGCACCACTTAAATAACTTTTGCCAATGTGTTTTGATTGTTTCGCGTTTTTTTCTTACCCATGAAAAGTTACCTGGTCGCTTAGCAAGCCTGCGGGGAACCGTTTTTCAGGTTAGCTGGTGTTAGCTTGTAGGCTAAGCTAACTAGTTTTATTCACTGTAGATTTTGATGTTGACAAACTTTCTTTAAAGACAGCCTATAAGTGTTGCATCAACACTTTAACCACTGGCAGCTTTTAAGCTAGCTTGAATTGAAAAGTAACTGCTATTTTAAGTGTAAGAAGCTAGAAGGCCAAGTAATTGATTAGCATAGGGAACAAAGTGAATAACCGTGATTGCGTAGGTTATATCAACCTCTAACTACCTTTGCTTCTTTCTATTTTCTTCAAATACTGTTATTTCTGTCTCCAAAACACGACAGTCACACTCGAGGCGTCAAAGTAGTATTTCACAGACCAGTGGGTGCTTTCCCAACTGTGGTTATGTTCATTTTGTAAAGTCTTTGGTGTGAAAGAATTTGGAGAAAAGACAGATTATTATGTTGCTTAAGTCTCCTCTACTGTTGTGTAGCCTTCCAGTTCATGAAATCTATCTTTTATATTTACAAAACTCTATTTTACAAGGACACAAACACATTAGCCACTGGCAGTTTTTACACTAGCTCGAATCAAAATGTAACTATTTTAAGTGTGAGAAGCTAAGGGGCAAAGTAATTGATTAGCATAGGCAACAAAGTGAATAACCATATAACCGTGACTGCGTAGGTTATATCAACCTCTCACTACCTTTGCCTCTTTCTTTTTTCTTCAAATGCTGTCATTTCTGTCTCCAAAACACGACAGAGTCACACTCTAGGCGTCAAAGTAGTATTTCACAGACCAGTGGATGCTGTCCTAACTGTGGCTATGTTCATCTAGTAAAGTCTTTGGTGTGAAGGAAACTGGAGAAAAGACAGATTATTATGTTGCTTAAGTCTAAAATCAAACAAGTGAGAGATTTCAGTTTAATTAAACCCACAAGAAAAGGGAAATATAAAGTGTGGGTAATACTGGTAAAGTTGGGTGTTGGATTGATGTTAGACTGTTTTTCTTATTCTACATTGAAGTTTCTTGTTCTTGTTTTCATTCTAGGCTACCCACAACCTGAGGTAAAGTGGCTTCAAAACCAGAAGCCAGTGTCTGTATCGGGCAGAGTGACCATGGAGCAACATGAAGGACTCTGTGCTCTGGTTGTGGCTGATTTGAAGCCATCAGACTCGGGGGTTTATGTTTGCAAGGCCAGCAACAAACTGGGGGAAGCAATGTGTTCTGCCAAACTGAGAGTGGAGGAGACGACATAAGATTCCCTTCATTTCACTGAAGAATCCTTGGAAGTAAACCGATTTAATGAAGTTTGGACTTTGTCACATCACGGAAAGGTGGTCAATTCACTACCACACAAAAGGGTGCTTCTACATGATTTCAAGGCAAACAGTGTTTTGTTGTGCTCTGCCATCATAAAAAGAATAAGGTTTTGACACACCCAGACCGTTTTGATTCACAACTCACCATTACTAGTGCACTTACTTAAGTTTGTATTTGTATTTACTGTATGTGTTCAAGTAATGAATATGGTTTTGTAACATTACTTCTGATGTAATATAAAATACAGCTGTACATAAGCTCAGCAAAATTATTAGGTCACAGAAATTGTACATTTTGCACATTTTGTTATGGTTGTGTTCTTATAGCATTAATATTAAAGGCTGAATTTTACAAAATACTTGTTTGAAAAACGTTTTTTTTAAAGTACACCAAAGACTGAAGTTTTTAAAGCAACTATGGATTGTTTCACAGATAGCAAACAAGTCACACTAATATAATTTTAAATCAGGTGAAAACTTGATGGAATTTAATAAGATTCTAAGTGAATGTGAAGGCAGGCTTTCCCTTAAAATAAATGAAGAGAATCATAAATAACCCAAAGGTTGCAACTTATCATTTGATATGCCAATTTTTTCGTTCAGTTTTTATAGATTGTCTGAGCAACGATAAAATCAAATATAAAAACTGACCATGCATGTATATTTCATATGGGCAGACCCAACAGTAAAATACTAACCAATGTGAATGCATCAAACTCACCATTATAGTTTAATCAGTTATGTTGGTTTAGAAATAATGATCATGTGACTGAAACAGGAGAACAACCCAAGTGGTATAAAAGCTTTCCTGTAGGATGTTGATTCCACAAATTGAGATATTTTCCCACAGATAGACAAACCAGTTGAAGATATAAAAGCATATTTATTGTCTTTTCTTTATTACTCGATGTTCTGTCAATCTCTTTTAGTGACATTACAAAATATTCTAATCTATGGCAGATATTTCTACCAAACTTTGCTTGGTAAATCATAAATCATTATATAATACTTAAATGGTATATAGGCTCTATTCCCTCAAAATAAAGACGCATAACCATGATTCACCAACAACAATCATACAATCTTTAAGTATGGCATCTCACCTTTCCCTTTCCCATAGTTGCTTTAGTAAGCTACATTCATTTACATTATTCTTAAAAGACATGGAAGTGTTGTCAGCTAACATATTGTCCAATATCATATAGTATCGATTTAAAGTCTTTCTATTCATAAAACATATCTTTGGACGACAACTGACCTACAGCTCTTGGAGTAATAGTACACCTGGTTAATCCCAAACATTTCATTTTCTGCATTCCCAAAGTATTTAGTGGGATAATTCAAGAAATTCCCCTTTTCCTTATTCATACACCTTTCAATATAACATCTTAGAATAAAACTAGAGTTTTTAAAAACACAGATATTCTACCAGGCACTGAATCTCAGGCAAAGAAGTGAAGGAGCGTGTTAGGTGTGCTGCAATGGCACAAAAACCATTCACACTTCTTTCGAAGGCAGCATTTCCTCATGTGGATCAGTGTCACTGAACCTGACACCCGTTTGTTCTGAGCAACTCAGTCACAGCTGCCATGATGTGTAGACACAGACATGTTTCTACTGGCCCTCCTGTCTCTGCTGGATTCTTTTCTGAAGAAGACTCCAAGCTTTTAGTACCTTTAAATGATAGACGACAACAAAGTTACCAAAAAGTACAATCTATAAACCCAAATCAGTTGACATGTTGAGTGTCTGACCTGTCTCTGAGTGACCTCTGGCTCCCACAGCGTGCTGAGAACTACATTGGCGTGCTCGACCAGCCTTTCATTGGACCATTGGCTCTGCAGCCTGCGCAGGGCATCCTCTGTGCTAATACCATCTCGCTCTTTTATCCTCAAGACTGCCTGAGAGACAGAGAAAGAAAGAGACAGAGAGAGAGTGAAGGCACAAGGTTGTTGTTGTTTATTTATTAAAACTAAAGACTACATTAAAGAGGTTAATATTCAGAGTAGTTGCGCTCAACCACGGTTTTGTAAAGTCACTTTTAAGGATTGAGTTTGTCATTGTGGCTCTTTCAATAAGAAAAATCTATAAAAGATGTATGTCAGGTGAGAAGTAAGGCCATGTCACCCTTTTTTCATAGACCCCCAACTTCTTCTTGCAATTAGTTCAGCTGCCCCCTGCTGACCATTTGGCAGACTGCAGTATCAAGACACTTCATATATTTCTCTCTCTTTTTAAACACTGATGCTATCTCCACTTTTTGTGCCACTTTTTCATCCACTGATAAGGCCAGTGGGTGTAGAATATCCAAAATACCAAACTTTGGCACCCTCCAGTGGTTGCAGGGATGAATAGCTCCATGAAAACACTAAATCTTTAAAAATGTCCACTTCTCTTCCCATCCTTTTTCGATTCACTGGCCTCAACAGAAGAATGCTGTCTCTCTCCTTTGCCAAATCCAAAGACTGATTGTCCACCTAGTTCACATAGAACTCTCTATATTACATAACAGGATATTGAGGTCATTTAACTGCTTGATTTTGCTCAGTCACTCAAGCTTGAATGACTCCCTGTTCATCAAATTAAGGATTGCTGGTACAAACCTCCTCCTCGGGGATGACTGTGACCCAGATCTCATGGACCATGTCTGTCCACCCAGCCTCTAGGAGGACTGCAGCATCCAAAACACAAACCTGTTTACCTAAAAAATTCACACAACATCATTTAATCACTTGATGAATCTCATCAAACACAAAGGAAACAGTCTTGCTGTAGTCCATGAACTATAAAATACATTGACAAAATAAACCTTCACACAAACCTTCCTCTCTTGCTTGGCTGATTCTCTCTTTCGCCAACAGTGCGATTTCAGGCCACACAATATCTGTAAGGGCTTTTAACCGCTCCTAAATAAAAAACAATGTCTTTGGTGAATTGCCAGCTCACAGTGGTGTCATCTAAAAAGTCATGTTGCAATTTGAAAGTGCTGAAACATTTTAAAGCTACTTGTTACATTACCGGGTTTCCAAAAACCTTCCTTCCTAATGCACGTCTGTTGATAGTTTTATCTTCGTTAAGTAGATCTAAAAGCGAATAAAAGAAACACCATATCATTATTTACAATGCAATGCATTGGATATTATACAAGTCATATTTGTTGCTCATGATCAGAATTGAACTGATGGGCCCTGGTTATTATTTTTCAGTACTCTTTTGTAAGAATTTCACTAAATGTCTCTATGGTGAATCTGTTTTCATGATGGGATATTCCTCCCACTGAAAATGGTCAGTTAAACTTAAAGTGTGAGCAGCATAGAGCTGTTAAACCCTAAGATCTCTAAGCTATTTTTACTCACATTTACCTGGCTGTTTCCACTAACAGTGAATCACTGCTGCACCTGACTGAGTTTTTTGCCTTGAGTCTCTTACACCATTAGAGTTTTGGTAATTTCTTTGTCGTTAAATAAAGCAGAATTCTCACTGTGAACTGATATGATTAAAGTTCGCCTGCCAGAGTCTGTGATCAAAGATGCGTCTCTGACAATGACCTGGTTCTCATCGCAACCCTCTGCGACCAAGAAATAACAAACACATGCTGTGTCAAGAATCAGCTTCCTCGCCCAGCTGTGTCAACTCTTTTTAGACATTCAATGAAAATAGTCTTGACTGTATTTTTTCAACGATACAGAAGTTGGAAAATTGACCATTTTTAACCTTGAAATGTATGTAAATACTGTAGAAGAAAATACATACAAAGGGTTTTACAAATCGCTACAACTCAGCCATCATATGTTTTCAGAGGAGTTGGACACACATGGCCTTTTGAATGTGTAATTTTAACCTCCAACTATTGGCACTCTGTTTATCTGTCACTGTGCCAAAAGCCAGAAGACATCCTGTCAACTTTCATTGAATCATATTAGAGTCATCATGTTCTAACCTTTCAATCACTCATGTGTTTAAAAACTAAAAACATAAAAGGTCATCATCCTTCATTTGATCTTTCATTTCATGTGTTAAATCACAAGGCAGGGCTGACAGACATCTGTCAGAGCAGACAGAAAAGTGTTTCCTCCTCACCTGACCCGAACTCTTCCAGCACCTTGTGATAAGCCGCAGTCCCAGGCTGGTAGACCTCATGGCCCAGCTTGTCGCAGTCTACCCGGACGGCATTCAATGCCTCCAGCCTCTTGGCAATTGAGCTCTTCCCACTGCCGCTTCCCCCCGTCAGACCGATAACATATGGAAGGGGCGGAAGATGGCATGTGTCCTAGTGTGAGAAAAATAGGTGAAAGGGTGCAGGAGTTGGTGAGTAAAAATCTGCAAGCTGTCAACATCACAAATGAACGGGTTAAGTTTAACCTTTTACATGCAACCTCAGGTGATAAAACAGCATCATAAACCAGTCAGACTTGCTCATTTTTTCTCTCCACTTTCGCTGCCAGAGAGCTCACTGTGTCTAAAATAATAGTTATAATGATCATGTCAACAGGAACACACAAAGTGAGTTAATTGTTCAAGCAACACTCACATTCTCAACACCAGACATTGTACTTTGTGACTTGCTGAAAAAAACGCTGTTACTTTTTACCTAAACAGGCCGGTTCCTATGAGAACAGTTACACATTATAGTTTGACCCTTGCTTATCAAATGCTCAGCTGACTTTTCAGGATGAAAACAGTCTTTCTCTCAAATTCAAAAGCTGCCACGAATGACTCAGCCAAATTGAATGAATAAAAAATGATTTGATAATATTTTGAATGAATAAAAAATTGAATAGACTTTTTAGCAAATTTGATGATTACTTTTTGTGACTGGAGGTTGTACAGAGCTTCTTTATCCTTACAAAATTAATTCCATTTGACACGGATGAACTCAGTCGTGACTGTAGCTTTTAAAAGCTATAGACGTGTACTGAATTGTTCTTGCTGTTTTTTTGGCACACACTTTCAAAAGGACCTGTTGAGTAAAAGTCACAAAGTTATGAAGTTTTTTGTGAACCTTGAGATAAGTAATGATAAAAAAAACCCTAACAGGAACCAGACCCTTTTAAAAAGCCCAAGATAGTGAAAAAACGAGGTCTGATAACACCAAAGTAAATGTCCTTTGTCCTGCATTGAAATCCTTTAAAACTGTCTTACTTTAGGCGGAGTAAGGAGGGTGCCCAGAAGACGAGAACGTAGACTTGAGGAGCTGATCTTCTCCTCCTCCGTCTCAGTGTGGTGTGCATCTTTAAGCAGCTGGATCTCATGGAGGACAAGAGCAGGAAGGCCCTGATTTAAAAACAAAAAGGAGAAAATAAAATGTTGAGGTATCAAAATACACAATAAAAGATAAAAATTCCCTCATCTACTACACTGATGCTAGCATAAAAAGATCGAGATTAATATCATCAAACAAATTAACCTAAGTTCTTCGGCTGTCCAGTTCTGTAATGTTTAATGTGTCAGAAAAAGAACTGAGTTGCATGTGTTATCACTGTACAGGAACTTACATTCTCGATGCGTTTCCTGTTGACAGCTTCTCCCCCTTTTCTAGTCTCCTCGCTAACCACAATGCATTGCAGCCAGGGGTCTACCACGGACACCCCATAGGGATCATCAAGGGGGATGATCTCCACCTGCAGGGAGGGTCTGATGTCCTTCAGGAACTCATGTAGTTTCTCCACCCGCAGGGAGTAAGGCTGGACCAGCTCTTTTAACACTTTTTCTAAATGAATGGAGGAGTTAGAAAATAAAAGAAGATTCGGCCTCAGAGATCTTACATGATGCAAATTTCTAAATAAAACATTGCAATGATTAAATACAAAGATGTGCAACCCATAACATGAATACATGGACATCAATAAGTGATATAATAACTGATTTAAGTGATAGAAATCATGTTCGAAGAAAATACTTGATGGGTATCTTAGTTTCAAACTGACCCATGCCCCATCTGTTAACATGGAGGGGGTGGAGCTTATGGCTTAACTGGAGCCGGTCAGCTATCATGACCATCTCTCTATACAGTGATTATAAAATACTCACTTTTTAGCATTGCTTGGTCACACACACCGATAAGAAACCGTCTGTTCGCTAGCAGGCATGAAATGTTGAGTAGTGTCTTGTGGGCCCCATGGAGGCGGTCAAACGTTCCCCCTACCACCACATCATTGTATGTCGCCAACGGTTCTGCCTTCTCCTCAAGCTCTTTCACCCCTTCCTCATCTTCTTGCAGCTTCTTTATTTGTGGGTGAAGCAGCACTGAGCGCAGGCCGGGGCTGCACACATAGCAGTGGCCTGTGTACTTTTGCAGACATTGCGTGACCTGATGGGACTGTACCGGGTCCTGCAGAGGAAAGTCTGTTAGCACTACCTCTGGTGAATGAGACAGAGACTGTGGTGTAGGAAAGGGAGAGTTTGGCGTTGCAGTCCCACTGCAGGAAGCTGGCTGGTTGCGGACATTGGTCAGCAAAACACGAACATCCAGATGGCCACAAATATCAGCTGCATTGCTGTAAAGTCGTGAAATTAGAGTTGACAGGTCCACTACGGGTGGAATGAAAACTGGACGAGGCTGAGTCCCACTCCCTAGGTTTAACCCAGGGTGGAGGTGGACATAGAGAGTGCGTTCCACACGCTCGGCAGCTGAGCTCAGGACTGGGGCGATGCGTAAGGGCAGGACGTGGAGAGGAGATGTCAGCACAAGGATACCTGTGCTGAACATGGACATGTTACTGGCTGATATCACAGGGAATCAGAATCGTCACTTTGGCTGAGGAGTTGCTGGATGTGGGCAGGTAGAACTGGAAGAGGTGAAAGCAGAAAACAAGTCAAACTCAGCAGCAGGTTGATGTTATAAAATATTAGGCCAGAGTAGAACACTAGGGGTGGTTACACCTTACATTTTTGAAACACAACTTACAAAAAATTGATCTTTCGATGAATAACATGCTAACTTTTTCTTTCAACAACATACAGGTCATCTTTCATCTCTTTTACCTCCATCTTATTTCGGCTTTACTGTCTTTTTAGCTTTTGTTATACTTCTACTCTTTTCTTAATTAACCTTTTAGGCCTTTTATTGTTTTATCTCTTGCTCATTTCTGTTGCTCTATTTTATCATTCCTAAATATTATCAGTATTACCCGTTATTTTATTATCATTGTTGATATTGTCTTTTATATTTACTATCCTGTTTCCGCTTTCATCCTCCCTTTTAATTGCATTTTCCTTTTTTTCTTAACTATTTTATGTTTTTATTTTGGTCCTCATGGTCTCACTTTATGTTGGGTTCCTTATGACATGAAAATGGCCTTCAATTCCGTTTTAACTGAGCTTTTTGTTGCTATCTGTCTTTTTCCATGTGCTCTATGACTTCATGTCAAAGCACTTTGTAAACTTCTGTTTTTTAAAAAGTGCTATACGAATAAAGTTATTATTATTATTATTACCATTATTATCATTATTATTATTGTTATTATTATTACCATTATTATAATAATAATAATAATAATTATTATTATTATTATCAGATATTGGTCCTGGAACATGACATACCAAAGACACAGAAAACTACATACAGCTATCAAATCAACTTAAAAAATACCATCTCAAAGACAGGTTAGTCATTCAATGGATTAGGAATTGGATAAACTGAAAACAGCTATCCAATGGAAAAAAACAACACAAACAACACTCTAACAATCTAAATGCCAAGATACAGTGAGCAAGCATATATTTCATGATAGCATTTTTACTACATAAATACATTCACTGTGAGTTTTGGCTCTGATTTTTTAACACTTTTAACATGTAAGTTGCAGTTGCACTGGTTCACTCAATTGGCAAATGTAATCTCTGAGCCTGAGCATTATTTACTACTTCCCCTTTTACATAAGGAGCCATTTAAATTAGAGATTATATTATCAGCAAAACCTTTAGTACATCTCTGGGCTCCTTCATTAAATACAGAGTTTTACTAACTTGAACAATTGCTCTCTCATGTAGAAAATTTCCCTTCTGCTGATGTTGTTTCTCACATGTCTTAAATAAACTGACACTGCCTCATTGTCTGAGAATGTTGTTCATGAATAGGATCTCTCTCTTGGTTGCTTGAGAAATGTTAACGAGACTGAATGAGAAATTCAGAGCAGAGTTACAACATAGTGAAGAAATTGTTAAGCTCCTTCCCAGGTGAGGGAACTATGAGCCTAACCACACAATACCTGGGGTTTTAAGCCACTAAACATTAACATAATAAAGCTTTGAACGTTGAAATGCAGTAAATAGAAGTTCAAGAATGATGAATCAGGTTTTCGTTCCTGTGACGAGTAAGAAAGTCACGGTAAAAGGTATAAAATGGTGAGATCTGAGATAGTGTGCTTGTTTAGCTTGGTGACAGCTGAAACTATGGTGAACTCCTGTTCTGTCAAAGTCGTAGCTTGCTAGCTTTTAGTACTACCATCACACTGCCTGTACAAAAATGCTATTTTTAAAAGGTATTCAGTCCAAACAAGAAAATTATAACCCTGATCAAAATTATAGCTTTTGCGTCACCAGTAATAACGGTGAATTCTGTATTACGTTTCATGCAACATTTTGTTTTGGTCTTTGAAATCAGAGCAGTTGTTGATAATTAGGCAGAAAGGCAAACATATTAATTTAGCTTGAGTTTGACTGTTATGAGCGAGTACAAAGCGACGTGAACAACGGATTAAACGCGCAGAATACACGCAAACCTGTCTACTAAAGATCCAGATTGTGAATAATACAGATGGTTTACCTGATAGTCTTCAACGCTGTAGTGTCTCCTCCAGGTTACTCCAGTCCAAACAGCAAAGCACCGACTGGCGGTGGAAGCAGTAAAACACATGAACTGGGTTGGGTAGTCAGGTGACACTGTCCAAGCGCGTTGATTGGTTGATAGGGAAGGGCTATGAAGTCTGGGAAACGTAGTCGCTTTGAGGACAACGGCCGTGTTTCTCCGACGTTTTCCTTTTTTGTCTCCTACTGTTGGTTTGTCAAAAATTTTAAGTAATTAAGATAAACAAATAAATAAATAAAACTTGAAATATATGAGTAACGTAGATAAACACAATTGAGGCCCAACAAAAATAATGCAAAAAAAAAAAAAAGAGAGTGGTAATTGTACAGTGGCTGAGAACCGCCACTGCTGCAAATAAAAAAAGAATGCAAAAAAAAAGTCACAACAAAAGTAACTGATGCAAAAACAAACAAACAAACAAACAAACAAAAAAAAAAAAAAAACGAAGCTAACACTACACTGGCATCCTCCAGTTCAACTTCATATCGACTAAAGCGCTACATGGTCTAACCAAATGACACATTGAAAAGTTTTCGAAGCAAAATTTAACAATAACCACTTGCTCGTCTTCTGTGTCTAGATTGTAAAAAACTGGTGCATCATCATTATTGGTCCCCGGCAGCTCACGTCTGTTATGGCTTTTTTAATTTGCATCCTCTTATTTTCGCAGTGGGTAACTTTTTTTTTTCCCCATCACCACTGTTTTTTGAGTCGTTAACTTCCGTAGTGTTTTTTTTATTTTTATCAGCACTGTTTCTTTTTTCATTTGCAGCGAGCTTCGGTTTCTTTCTTTCTTTTTGCATCAGTAACTTCCGTTGTGGTTTCTTTTTTTTTTCTTTGCAGCAGTGGCAGTTCTCGGCCACCGTATAATAGGCCTAAGTTTGTATTTGACACACACTGACACTTTTCACAAATATGCTTGACTGCATGTCTTTTGGCAAAGTTGAGAGTTGGGTACAATATGATGCACATCCCTCAACCCATACACCTGATGACAGCATTTCTCAAAGCCAACATCTCAGGAAAAGTTTGTGGATGGTCTTGGAGTGCTTTTACTGAGTGTAACATACAAAAAAATGCGAAGAAGAGCAACCACAATAAAATATTAAACTGGAAAGGCTTTAAAAGGCAAACACAGTCATGCTGTCAGGGCCTGTGTGGTAGGGCTGCAATCTACAAGTAACATGGTTCTTTGTTTAAACTCCATGTAAAGTTATTCATGTTTTTATTGTGTGTTTTATATGTTTTGGAGAAGTCTTAAAGGGTATGGAATGAAGCAGGATAAAGTCAGGCACAAACAACCACTGTACCAGAACATTTTTTAATTTCCAACTTATACTTTGAGACCAACAATTTGTTTTTACAAAAATAATAAAAAAAAGGAATTAAGTGTAATCTCAGTACTGTAGAAAGAATTGCATGATGGGGCCCTGGGGTTAGCTGGGCAGAGGCATTGCATATTTAGCAAAAAAAGGACATCAACACAACTAGAAACAACAGATTCAAGTAAAAAGTTATAGAATCACAATAAAGTCACATTAAAGCCTGGTGGCAATTCTGGGAAAGTAAGACTCTTGCTGGATTTTACATTTGGTCAGAGTAGTCAAACTGTATCTGACAGAATTTTGCAGTCCTAGTCAACACAAAATTTGACAGCAAGATGCTCAGTAAGACTCAGAAAAACAATCTTGATATAAAGGTTGGAATTGAAATGTGTGAAGAATTTGGATCATTGTGGTTCTCTGGATAAGGAGCCTATAGCATCAGGCATGACATCTTCAGTGGATAAATGTTTATATAGACAGACACCTTTTGTTCAGTTTAACTCCCCTGTTCTACATACAACTTGCTCAAATATATTAATTCACTTTCTTATCGCTGGTGCTTTCACTGGCAGCTGTGTCATAATGGCACTTCTCAACACATCTCCTTGGAAACCATCCTCTTACACGATCCCCCGCTGTAAATTAAAACAGAAAGAAAGATGCTTTCACACATTTTTGACATAAAAGTTTGGTTAACTTGAGCACAGAAAAAAATCCTGTCACACCTTTTATCTGCTCCTCGCTCAAAGCTTTGTCTCCGTACATCCACCATCTAAAAAGAAAAAAAATCCATGGGAGAGAAAGTGATGTTTTAGCTGACAGATGGATTAACAATTAATCTTCAATGAGACGCAAACTTGTAGACAAACAAATATGTTTTCTGTTCAGCCTAACTTCACTTACTTTGTCCCACGAGTGGCCAGGATGGTGTCCCCCTTTTTTAAGGGGATCCTGGGCTCCTCAGTGCATGGAGTTCTGAAGAAGGTTTGGAGACCTTTGCTTACGGGGCAGCAAGCTCCATTGTAGTCCTCTACTGCTCGGTACTGAACCTGCTGGCCGAGACAAAAATAATAAATCTGATTATTCTACTGGTATGACAGTAATCTTCACTCAAACTTTTAATAGCTTTATAATTTTTAAATATAATTTCACAGTTAGATTTTTGGTCAACACGACATGGATGGCACAGTATGACTTTGGTACTTACACTTCGTACTCTTTTGTCAGCTTTTTGTTTCAGTTGCTCTATCTGTTTGAAGAACAACAACAAAAGAATTAAAGGCAAAGTTGAGACCTTTATTTGTATTTACACATTTAACTAAATAACTCCTTCTACACTCTGTATAAACTAGAGATAAATCACTGGTTGAAATGTTAAGAAATCTTACACTTTCACTATAAGAACAGCTGATTAAAAAACAAACAAAGACCTACAGTTAAGGTGTGCTGGTGACACTTGGGATGGACTGGCCACTCCATGCCATCACCCCTGGGCGTCCCTGACCATGTGAAAACTTGCTTGAAGTTTGACAAGCGACTGCCGAGGTCGTATGGGAAGATGAACTCTTCCCCAGTTTGGTAGTGCTGTATTCTGTCTTTGGCCTAGAAAACACAAGAGAAATGAGTGTGTGTGTGGGTGCCATTGTGTTTGCACAGGTGGAAGGGTATCAAATTTCTGTAACCACTATACTAAATTGTTTGCAATAAGGGCCTGTTTCCACTGACAGTGCTTTGGTGCTGGGAGTGCCTGCTTTCTGTACAAAACCAGTGCAGTTTGGCTTCTCTCTGCTCAGCATCCTAAGTGCCAAAGTGCCCTCTGCATCAACTGTGTCTTGCATTGGTGCTCTAAATAATTTAACTTTCTATCAGCAGGAATGGCAAAGGAGAAACTAACCAAACACCTTTTCTTGTAAAATGGTTCAGTGCCCAGGACTAGAACTGTTGCTAACACCATGTCATGTTTCATTTTTTTCTTAGTAATATTTCTTTAGATAAAAGTAAATAATACTACAGAGCAATATAAATCAGATATAAAAGCAAATGACTGAGAGAGGGGGGAGTGCAGCGACACAACTTTCATGATGTAGCAACAGGAAGATTAGTTTAGAAGCACCCTATAAATATGAGTATATGGGAGCTGCTATTGCAAAAAAAAGGTTGTCAGTGGACACAGGCCCTAAACATGGCATTTGAATATAAAGATTTTTATAATGTAGATTTGAGAATATGTTTATTATGAATCCCTCAATATTGTGACAATAAAAATACCATGATAGTATAGTTTAGTTCAACATTTACTATAAAATCAAACAATGGAAACTAAATGGTACATTATACAAAAGTCAAAAAATGTCACAGAGGAAACATCCTGACCTTTTCCTCGATCCAGGACTCGATCGAGGTTTTATTTCGAAGGATGACTTTCATCTGATAAGGAAACAGTGAGGTTATGCAGAAGTTAGTCTTTAGTTTGCATGCGCAAATACACTATATGCAGTTTGAAACACAAGATGACACATTTATAAGGAAGTTGGTGGTTCATTTAACACACAAATCAAAGGTTTCTGAAATGCAGTAAACCACATAATCTTTAATAATTGCCACAAGATACTATGAAGTTCGCTGCAGGTGCTGTGAAATCCTCAGTTTCGTATTTTGGATTTGTAAGGCTAGTGCCAAAAGTCACATTCCCTTGAAAACTGCATGTGTAAACATGACACGTGAATGAAAACATACCTGTATGACGAAAAGCATGCCAACAGCAATAGTGGTGCCCAGTGCCAGGCCTAAGGCAAAAAGTGTGGCAGCGAAGGCGGGCACACTGAAGGGCATGAGGGGCTGAAACTGACGCACAGCGCTCATGTCAATCTTAACAGTGCTCCACCCGAATGATATCTGCAGTGAGAGGGGAAGAAAACAGGTTTAAGTGTTGTACCACTGGGGCCAAATGTTCTAGAGAAAAGCTTTTGTGATAATGGACATAATGCCATATGGCAAAGAGACAACTGACCCTCTCATATAGCTGTGTGTACATGGTCATTATAAAAATGATGGCAGCGTGTGAGCAGCCCAGCGGAGCCAGCAGCAAGAAACTGGTGAAGTAAGCATGGTTCAAGTGGCCGCAGCAGTTGTTTATCCAAGGGCAGTGGTGGTCCATCTTCATCACGCACCTGTCAGAAGGGGAGGCAGAGGAGGAGAGGAGTGCTGGGGGACCTGACTGGTTGTTAGGGGGGACATGTGAGACGAGCAAGTTCATGAGCAAGTCACACTGAATCCTTTCACCACACAAGCCAGTTCTAGTTAGAAACATACCTCTGACTTTCAAGCTACTGTAGTTATATTTTAGTTCACTTTTGTTCCCTTTAAGCCACAATTGTTTTACTTTAGTATTTGGTGTAGTTACCTGTTACACTTGCGACAGTGGTGTGATCTGGGGGCCTTGAATCCTTGGCACACTCTGCAGTACTGTAAGTACTGGGTCTCTTGCTGATTCTCCTGTTTTAATATCGACAAATAAGTGACATTTTGTGATTTAACCAGCTATGATTAATTTTTTTTCAACTTTACTTTTCAGCTTTATGATAAATTCGTCCTCCTTGGTCATTATACTCAACCCCATATTGACAATTTTATCTTTTTGAACAAGAAATCTGCATCATTTCCATTCCAAAAAACTTAGTGAGAAAAGGAAGCATGATGAAGACTGAGGATTCTTACCGGTTTCCAGCCAAGAGGGATGTATCCAGGTCCAACAAACATAGCATTGAAGTAGTTGTAAAGGATGAGAACAGTCCAGTTGAGGAGCATGATGAAGTTAATGCTACCACCAGTAGTATCTAGTGGCCAGTACCAGATGATCGAATCCAGAACTGCCATTGTGGAGCATATGGCAATGACAGACAGGGCTATGATTGGACCCCAGTGGCACAATCTTCGAACCTCATGGAGGTTCTCAAATGTCACAAAGGATGACAGGAAGTTCATCTTTTCGCAGCAAGATTATGAGTAATATTTTGGCTGTTGAGTTCCTGAAATGCAATGACAAACTTCAATATGTTACTTTCTTCCTCTACTATCTTGCAAACTCGGTGAAGACAATGCACATATTTTTCCTCTTCTTCTGAGAACCCAGCAACTGGCTTGGTCTTTGGTCACCAGGGCTCTCTCTGTCCCAGTGTTCCTTGCCCTGGCATAGAGCAGCATCCTCTCCAGTCAACCGGAGCGCACTATCCTTGTGACAGACTCAAATTCCCCATCTGAGACAAAAAGGAAACATAGATTCAAACATGCATCAAGTGATTTTTAATTTCGAAATACCATCTGCACCATCATCCTTCTGATGATCAATACCAACCTGCGCCAAAATAGTAAAGGCATCTTTATATTTCCAGTAGGGGAGAGAGTGGGGTAAGATGAGCCATTTTTCATATTTTGGATCGCTACATCAAGTCAATCATAGTTTTGTCTCTAACTAGTGTATCTGCATATATTTCAAGTTGTTGTGCATCCCTGCAAACCAACAGAATGAGTGTATCTATGTGCTTCTAACTTTCACAGACTCCATGAATTGATGCCCATCTCCAAATATTTGGTCACATGATCAATTTCTTTTACCATTTCCAAGCAACAGGAGGTGGCTCAACTTACCCTTGGCTCAACTTACCCCACTCTCCCCTATTATAAATCCAGGTGTGCAGTCACATTCTGCTATATATCAAACTTGTCACTAGGAACTTTCAGAAACTGCAACAAGTAGCAAATAGCAAGGCGGGGTAATGAAAATGTAAATTATAAGGTGCAGTTAAAGCAGACGGTGATGCGTTTAAGGACGAGGACTTCACTGAACACAGAGCGACTGAACTAATTAGCTTATGTTATCAACCTAGCTAATTTGTGTCAAAAATAGAAAAACACAGTAAAAAAAACCAATGACAACCAAAAACACGATCCAGAGAAGAGGGAGTACAGCATTAAAGAGAAGGAAACACAAGATAATTCGCTATTTAATTGGGGTTAGCACTCAGGCTAACGTTGCTAGCTTGTTAGCTGGCTTGATAAGACTAACGTCTCGTGCAGGATTAACAGAGCTGTTTGAAGGAAGGATGAGGATAAACCTGCATCTAAAAGACAAAATAACCACTTTACGCCACATGTATACGCATAGTATTTATGAATGAAGAATAAAACTGTCACTTTAAGTAACAAACCTGGCCACTTCCTTGGTTTTTTTCTTTAATTTCTTCTGTGTACAGGGAGGAACCTTCCACATGGTGTCTCAGAAACTGTTACCCTCGACTCATTGGTGACAGTCCATATTTTGAGCAATTTATATCATTATTATCATATAAATGCAGTTAAAAAAACGTATAAATCCTAACTAAAAAAAATATCACGACCGGTTCTTCCCATTTCCTGGTTTAACAATTTTCAGTGCCAAAAAACGTAAAAGTCCAGTTTTTTGCCGGACATGTTTTAACGCGACACAAGGAAGAGACTTCATTCGAGGCTTGTTATTATTATTCAGAGCTAACTGTCACAGAGAGAGCCACCTGTTTCCACAACTAAAACGCAAAGATGTCTTCAGACTTTGAAGCCTACGAGCAGGATTTCGGGACGATTACAGCCGAAGTGACGAACAAAATTGGCCGAATTCCCAAACTAAGTGGAGGTAAGATGGTTAAATGTGGTTAGCTTGAGTCGTTTAGCTGTAGCTCGCTATCAGGTAGCTGACATTTCACTTTAGCCAAAAGCTAGCTGACGGTGGCATCCAGCTCTTGCTGTCCCCGGATAATTTATTCATGCTTTATTGGTCAGGAACAGGTTCAACATACAGACACACCGAGAACAGTTATCCCTTTGCAAGTATCAAAGCGTTCAAAGCAGATACTAATTTGCAAGACCTGCCCCTGAAGTGGCTTCTGTTAGAATAAAAAAATAGCTCTTGTGAAGAACTTTAGTTGTTTGTAGGTTTTTTGACATCTCCTGTGGCATCTCTCATTCTGCTCATTTTGTTCTATGCATGTGAAAACATTTGTTTTAACTAAACAATCTCATTTTGCCTTAGTTTAACACTTACAACATCACTGAATGAGATTTTCCCTGTAGAAAATGTATTAAAAGGTTATTTCTGCAGCATGCTGTGAATCACTTTGTCTGACACCTACCCTGTACTAGCAGTTTCAGGCATAAAACATGACAATAAAGAGCCAATCTTGTACCTAGGGCTGGGCGATTTGGGAAAAAGTTTATCATGATATATTTTATTCATATCCCTGTATCGATATCACGATATGAAAAATTAATATAACAGTGCTGTCAGTAGCATGTCTTTTGCAATACAATAATCTACTGCATCTGGGAGGTCTAATGTCTCTTCAACTTTTTGCGCAAGCGAAAGCAGACTGAATGGTTGGCTGTTTCAGCTGCACAGGCACCATGGGCTCCTTGCTCCGCTTGGGGTTTGTAACCTTTTGCATTATGGGTGCTCTTCTTTTCGCTGGTGAAAAAGATTTAAGGTATTCCCCGACTTGACGAGGACATGTACTCGACATAATTTGCAATGCTCATTACTCCACTTCATGTCCAACCTCAAAAATCCAAAATACCTCCACACCATCGATGTTTTCGTGCCAGTGTTGTCAGCGATGTCTTCATCTGTTGAGCCTATATCTGCATTTCAGCGGGGGGTAGCATTTTCATTTCCTTTTTTTACTCACCGACAGTGCTGTTGGCTTCACGGGTTAAAGTGCTATGGTTGTGCATAGATGCAGCCTGCTACTATGCAGGTGTTTGCTACTTGGTTCTAATTCAGCACATGATTGGTTCAGTGTGAAGCGGACCCGGAGCAACTCCCCTTTTCATTAGCTATCCGTACAGCCTACCAAAATATGTCAGAATGCTGACTATCGAAAAGCATAAAGGGAAATTACATTTCAATATATATCTTTATCGATTTATCGTCCAGCCCTACTTGCCACCCATGATAGTGTTTCCTTTAAAGGTTATATTCAAAAACCACCTTTAAAAGATTGGATGTGACTGAAAGGTTGTTAATGAATCAACCACGTTTGAACTTTCCTAAATAATTGCCATCAGTTTTAAGTGGTCTGGTGTTATTTGTTAAAGATATTTAGCAAAATGGAACTTTACAATCGCCTCTTGATAGAGTTGCTGTGGTGTATGTGCTGCAGCTTTGTAGTGCCTTTCTATTTGCTGAAAGGCTAAGAAGTGAGTCCATGTTGGAGTAGAGGGTTGCAAGAGAGGCTGTTTCACAAGCAAAAACGTGTCTGTTCAAACTGGAGTGATGTGGTCATATAATTTACAGTCTTATTGTAAATATGCTGAAGTTGTTCAACAGCCTGTTTAGAAAACCATGTGAATTGATCTAATCTGCTGGAGGTAAAGGCGTGTAACAGCCGTTTAAGGTCTTGCTTTGGCTTTATTTCTTTCAATGTATTTGAAATGGTAACAAGCAGAGCAAGTTAATAATTTAACATAGTTGCAAAAACTTTAATCTTAGTCCAAGTCAACAAGGAGGCTTCTTACTTGGCATTTGCTGAGGAGGAGAGGGGTTGAAGTTGAAGTCTGATAACTCTGTCTTTCTGTCCATACAGGCCAAAGACTGTTATGTTAGTCTTATCTCTATGAGCTGGGGAAATTTGTGTTGTGTCCAATCATTGAATTGCTCGATACAGTTATACAAGAATTGAACAGATCTATGAACTGTTGATGTAAGTGAAATGTTAATTTGCTGTTGTCTACATTGTTGTGGTAAGACACTTCATCATTTTGCACAACCCTTATAGGTGTTGATGGTTTAAAAACTGTCCTGCATGTTTTGGATGTTTCCCTGCTCCAATACACCTGATTCAAATGATTAGCTTGTTATTAAGCCATTACAGAGCTTGATAACGAGCTGATCATTTGAATCAGGTGTGTTGGAGCAGGGAAACAGCCAAAATATGCAGGACAGTGGGCCTCGAGGACTGGACTTGAGAATCACTGATCTAGAGTACATGATTAAAAGGTTTAGAGAATCTGGAGAAGTCTCTGTACAGAAGAGACAAGGCCCAATATCAGTACTGGATGGCTGTGATAAAGTAGGCAGATTAGTGTAAGGGTAATTCTTTACAGTGCATCTCAATTTAGAGTCAGTTTGTGTTTATATACAGACAAGTTCAACTGAAATATCTTTTCTTTGGCTTTACAAGCAAAAAGGGAAAACAAATACAGACAATGACTGTGTGCTTGTACGTTTTGAATCAGATCTCATTGGCTATTGTCAAACCTTGTAATCGCTTCTGGGTGCAATGACCAACTTTTCACGGCTTCCAGTGTTGCCAGCAGTTAGTGACAGAGGATTTCCAACCAAGACTTCTTTTCTTTGTGTCAGTCCCTCTAGTGATCTTATAATGAGATGGGAGTTTGAGTTGTGAAACAAAATCTTAGAGGAAATAATAAGTTGCATGAAATACTTTAGGTATCCCTCTTTTTTGTCTTAAAATGACTGCAAATGGGTTCTGGGATTGCATTTTGGTTGGTTGTGTGTTTCGGCACTTTTGTTTACCACATGGACTGCTTCCCTCTTCAGTTACCATAATCAGAATTTTTATGCAGAATCTTAAAATTGAGATAATGATTTAAAGCATTCACTGTAGTCCAGGAAGGGATGCCACATTTGTCAAATATGTAAATATCAACTCAGTTTCTTTGTGCCCTATTGTGAAATTTCTCAAATTTCTCAAGTATAAGAAGGAGGCTGCCAAATGATACCACTGGACTCTAAGATGGATGCTTGACAATTCATAGTAAAATAACTATCTTATCCTGGGATGCCAAATATGGCAGCTGAGGTATTATATTCTGTCATGCCAAACACCAATTTAAAAACAGATTTCCAACAGCTTTTTTTTTGTGTGTGTGTGTGTGAAATACTGTTCTTTTTGGCTGTCTTCACATCATAATTACAGCATGCATTAATATGATAAAAACGAGCTGCTGTAGACCAAATTGTGTTGTCCAAAACTAGTTGACTACTGGTTGTTTTGCATTATTTTTGTCAGCTAAAAGCTGCTTCCAACCTGTACTTGGAACGTTTATCTCTTCCTCTGGACTCAGACTCACTCATTGGTTTTTCAAAGGGCACTAAACCTCGCCTGACTGAATATTTCTGGTTTGGAATTGGCATCTTTGAAGCTTCATGGCAGCCCATTCCACAGCGTAATTCCACATTGGTGCCTCTCGCCATCTGTTGACTGTGTCACAGTAAGCCCATATGAATATGTACAAAGCTAGGAAACACATTACGACCATAAGTAGCTGTTCATTGTCGTCTGTCACCAGCAGAATAGTTTACAGTTGAATTTCAATTCCCTTCCTTCTCATTAAGGTTTTTTCTCTTTTTTTCTTCTCTTAAGTCCTTCTGGCTCTTCTCCCTGAAGTGGCTGAATTTTGCCCTCTATTTAATACATTAATATAACTCCAGACAAAGGGCTTTTGTCAGAGCGGTCGTTGTATCGCTCTATTTTACATGTGCACAATCGCTGATAATAGCCAGGACATGTGGAGAAAATGTCCTTGACTGTCTTCGTTCATGTAACAATCAAATGAATATGCATTTTGCATTTTCATTTGTTCCCCTTCCCCAAAAAACGGGAGCTTCAGGGAATATTTCAACAAAACTACAATGACATGTTTTCCCATGAAACATGAATGACATTTTCCCCCAACTATTGAGTTACCACGGAAAGTGATTGCCTGTCAATCATTGCAACTCAAATTTGAACTTTTCGTTAAGTAAAACAAATATTTGCCAAGCGTCCTCCTCCTCTTTCTTTGGCTCACTGTTCTGAAAAGAACACCTCATCTGTCTCTGAGCCAGATGTAGTCTTGGTAAATATCCATACATATTTCACAGCCCTCAGCTCCTACCTGAGTTTGAGTACGAAAGCACCATCACACGTTTCAGAGAATGGCCTCTGGCTGTTTACTGTGTAGGTTGGGGTTGGACACAGGTTTTAAAAATGAATTTGAGGACTGACAAAAGGTAATGTTGGTCCATAGTGCCTGGAAAATAAAGATCTTGGTGGTTCTATTTCTTTTTTTTTATATTTTCCAGTTTTATAGAACTGTAGATTTTAGTTGCTACAAAACTAAAATGACTAATTATTAGTTGAAGTGTTTGAGAATGTAAATGTTATCTCACTAAAAATTGGTTTTCTTCAACATACTAATTTTTAGGAATACATCTGAAATGTTTTAACTTAATAGAGCAATATTGAGATTTGTTGGTTTTTGTCGCTTTTGAAGAAGAGTCATAAAATTATTCACCAACATTTGCATCTTTTCAAGGATTTCAGAGTCTTTATAGTTTTTTGTGCTAAATCTGAATCTGATGGGCTGGTTCTGAATCTGATGGGATGA